TCCGCTCACTCCGAGAGCGACGTCTTGCTTGGGAAGGACCTTTTGGATTACATTTGAGAATCTGATTTTTCTTACCGCTTCCGTCTCTGAGCCATAGTTTAATGCGAAGTTTCATCCCCGTAAGGAGGGCCCATTGAGTTCTATGGTCCTCCCCGAGTGAGCATCGATAAAGCTTCGCAGACCTTGTCTCTCGAGGGGGGGGGTAAGGGTGGTTATGTCTAAGAAGCGGTATTCTCGCTTCCTGCCTCGAGGGGAAGTTTCGCGACTTCCTCAATCTCTGGTGTCTTGACCTACCGTCTCTGAACAGAAGCAAGCCGAGAGTCATCGGTCATTGGAGGGATAGGGGGAAGGAGACTTTCGTATTTCAGGGAACCAAGAACAGCGGCGAGAGCGAAATTCTCATGATTCCCTTCTCAAAACACAATACCCCGTCGTTCCCGCTATCTTTCTCCGGCTTATTCGGCGGGAGCAATTCACTCGATCGTACCCGCAATAAGGGCTATCCTTATCAGTAGATATTCGTGATGGCGGGATGCACGCTGCTCTTCGGAATGAAGGGGAATTCCCACACTTTTCGTGCAGCGGGCTCAGCTGCAAGAAGCCTGGGAATAATCCCCCGGGGAAACGTTGTTCTAGAAGTTCCCTTCACGCTCAACCGTGTGATGAGCTGTTCGCGACACCATGCGACTTCGACTCGAGAGGCGGTCAGTGACGGGCGCATAATGCGAAAGTTTTTGCGATGACGCTAATGTTCTTCGGAAACAATAATAGACGGTCAATTCTTAGCTTCGCGCTCGGAGGGCCTCGCAAATTATCGAGCTTGAATAATCGACGAGAATGCTTCACCACCACGTTGTTCCCACCGCTTGGGAAAGTTTTTGTGGAAACAATCCCGGGGCCGCACTTGAAAGAAACTCTCAAAGTGTTTTGAGCCGACCGGGATCCACGCGCCCCTGCGCGAACATAATAGGCGTTTCAGAGAGCGGTCTCTGGTTGTGCTGCTGAAATTGGGTTCTTATTTGTTCGCCGAAACAGGTGGAAGCGCTTGACTCTCCAATCTTCTGGGAACGTCGGGGATGATGTGGGGTAGCTTCCGCGTCTGGAGAACAGAGTGCGGTCTTCAAAACACACAATTATTGTTGCAGAGCGCCCCAAAAGTCCTCGACGCTTTCTCGCGGTAATGATATAATGATCCTCAGGCGGCGCTGCCTGGATCTCTAAAAACCCATTTCGCTTGAGAACCTCTATTCTCAGGCGCTCGACCATCGAGCGCGGCTATCTAAGGGAGAATGAGGCGGTGAGATTATGGGGCTGAGAAATTAATTTGTTTCCTCTTTCCAGGGCGGAATCGACCACATCAGATCGAGATTTCCACGTTCTTTCAGCACAGCCTCCGGAGATGATGGTGAGTGGGTAATGAGGCGTTTCTCCACAGTGTTCAGAAATTCTTGATTTTCCGTCCGTACAGACTAGTAGCTTCGTTTCAAGATCTCTGCTAAATTATCTGATGCTGAAGTATCTCGACCAGACTGCAACGGGATGCGAACCCCTGATACCCAGTACAGTAGAATGTCCTCATGACGGACCTGGAAGGAGCGGCGGGAGCGGTCCGTTATATCCGAAGTCCGTTCAAATCGGAATGGACCGTGTGAACCATCGGGGAAACCGCTGCAGCCATTCTAGAGGAGCGCATGGGGCTTTTGCTTCCGAATTTCCTACTCACAAGAATGGGTCCATTGTAACGGATTTCATTAGCACGGCGGGAGAGAGGACCGGGGCCTGGAAGTCTGTCTGTTGTATCCGGAAATCCCTTGTTGGGTCCGCTAGAGCCGAGTCGATTGACGTTGAATATCCCACAGGCTTGTAAGGGAGCGAGAAGTCGGTCCGTTAGAAGCGAGTGTTCGCTATAACGAGGTTCTACTATGTCGAATATCCGACTTCGGCAGCCGCTCGATTCAGTAAGACACAAGCTGAGTGGACAGTGGACGGACGTTCAAACTTTTGTCTGATGCACTTCAGATGCGAGCTAGGTCCGGATGATTCTCTCTCTAGCTGATCAGGCTCCTGACAGCCTCCTGGAGTTTGTCCGTCCTCCTGGACTTATTATCACGTCTCGTTCTCCTTCGGATTGTCTCACCCGCTGAGTGCTGGGATTTCTTCGTTGACAACCAGGCGGCTGGCCGGATGGACGGTCTCTGGATGTACAGTCTGACGTTAGCGCATTAAGCCGCCGAAGAAACGAGTCATACACACTGGGTTTGGTTTGGAAGGAGAAAAGGGGAATAGCTACGGCTTGCCCAGAGGGATTCTCTGCTCTGTTTCGAAGGAACCACCGGATTCTGGAACAGTCTCCTCTTCTCTCCCCACTGCGATAGCCATCACTCCGACAGGCTATCTGGAGATTCATCGGTTATAGTATTCCACCGGGGGAGTTCACCGGCACACCCGCCGACTAGCGCAGCGAATCGATCCATCCATCGGCCATCCGGACTCTCTTGTCGCGTACCCATGGATGGGTCCGTTGCGGATAATTACTCCCGGAGAATCATGTCCTCGAGCAAATACACGGGCGACGGAATCGCGACGGACGGCTCTGGGTGAGACGTGAACTCGCTTCGACTGAGAAGAGGGATAGTGAGAATCTCCGCAAAGGACAAGGAAAACGAGCTGATCGAGCATCTCGAATCTCGAGGAGATTCCAGCCATATCATTCTGGTGGGATTTCCATCTGACCTCGCATTGCCATCCTCGATACAGCGGGGTTCCAAGTTGGGAACTGGATCCATTCCCCGGGAACGTCCCTTGAGCGGGATGTTCCGAGCGGGACCTGGATTTTTCAATCAATTCTCTCTCATGAATACTTATCGTGATCCTGCCTACTCATCCGGAATACCTAGTCGAAATACCATGAATCTCCCGATAGAAGCCTCCCTCCAACACGAGCCCCTCTTCCCCCCTCTGAGGCATCGTGAGGAATGAGATGTGATACATATCCCATCGAGACTCTTGACATTGTGTGTTGATTGTCAAGCCGCTAGGTCACCCTACCCCCACGAATACGGCATCGCTTTCCCTATGCAAAATCCTTCTGGAAATATTATAAGCACTTCTCCAATATCAGCCCCTCGAAGGAATGAGAGCTCCCCACCGGAGGCATTCGAAAGAATAGGAGCCGGAATCACTATTAGGGGATTTCGGGTATCCCGTGCTCCCGAGACATTCGTATGCCCTTCCTGTTCCTTCTATCGAGGATCTGTTCCTTGTAGGGTATAACGGTCTCAATTCAGAAATTCTCGTTATAGGGACCGCTCGTGATGCGGGATCCACTGTATCGTCAAGCCTTGATTAGCTCGCGTATCGCGCATGATCGTGATCCTATGTGAGCCTTTTCAATTCTTCGTAATTGAGTCGTGTTCCCTGGATCAGCTCTGTGAATCGGCCGCTCTGTCAATCTCTGCGACGCATCGGTCTTATCCTTTCAAACCAATGAAAAGTGCTAATACGGAGGGAGCGTGCCCATGGAAACCCTCGAGGATATTCCCACATACCCTGTTACTCAGGCCACTGCGCGTAAAGAGCCGAGAGGCTCTCGGTTCTTCGTGATCTCAGAACTCAGCCCGACGCCGGCTGATGGCGGGGGGCTGTGATCGCAGGCTGTAATTTCCTCGGACTAGACGACGAGATATCCGAAGAACAAGGCCAGAGCTTGGAGGTAAACGACCGAACTTGTTGGACGACCGCGAGCCGGGGTTGCGTCTACGCGAGATCCTCGATCGTGAAGATACTGATGCCGAACTCGTCTGAGCTGAAAACTCTCGCCATCCATTGCTCGCGAATCCTGCTCATTCATTACAGGATCGCGCCTGCAGACAAGCGAGGAATTCGGCCAACTGCCGGAAACGACTTTGAAGGGACTACTCAGTAGGGGGATTATTCCTACGGATGTCCAAGTAGTGCGGTCATACCGTTCTATCCTGTTGGAGAGAAGATGCATTGCTTCCGCGGCAGCTATTCCCTTTTCACGCCGTCGCGATCTCAGACGGCTATCAGCGTCATCCCCATTGACGCATTGGTCACCTTGCGGCCGAGGCGTCCCAACACTTCTGACGGCCATAAGTCGACGCGTTTAGCTAGATTGGCTCCGCTCCATCTAAGCTGGCTCGCGTCGGTGGGAGTAAGTTGGATAGCCGGATAACTGAACGTCTCATATTTAGAGGCTGAGCCGAGCGGAGCCGTTTCTCGGAGTCATTTGCGACGATGAAGATTGAGGACTAGCTTCGAGATTCCGGTCCTATACCTCGCTCGTTACCTCGGTCACAATTTCTCTCGCTTGTTTTTGCTGCTTCCGAGCCAGCTGCTACGATCGCTTTGACAAGCCGTTTACGAGCGAGCAAGCCAGCCACAGATCCGCCGCATCCGAGGCGCTCCTCTTCTCCCTTTCGTACACATCCACATGGGAAATACACAAACAGACCGGGGTCTGGCTCCGTTTATGTCGTTCGTCGCTCATAGACTGATTTTCTCGTTATGTTTCTCGCTCGCCTGAGGAACGGAGTCGGCAGAGGAAAGTGAGAATGGGGGAAAGGAAGGGGGAAGGGGGGGGGGTCGAGTAACTTGCGAGACATTTGGAACTCGACTTCAAAAAGATTTTCCGGGAGAACGCGGATGATTCCTGCTCCGGAGCCAAGCGCGCGGCTTCTCGAGAAAAAATCAGAAACACATCCCGGAGACTTCCCAGTACTCGGTGCTAGTTCACTCGGGCTCGAATTTGAGAGGGAAGGGAACATCAACCGTCAACCGCGAGGCCCCCAGACGACGAGAATTGCATCAAGTGCTGCTCGCTCGCTGAACCGCAGGAATCTCATGAGAATCTTCGAGCTGATGCATAATTCGGTTCGAATGCATGAAGATCCCGTAGAGACGAAGAGAGTTCGAATGTACTACCGGGCTCAACACGGAGAATTCTCATTGAAAGAAAAAATGCTTTTTTCCCTCCGCAGAAGAAGACGATAATGAATACGATGAGGACTCGCGACATCCAATGAGTGACCTCGAGGAGTCAGAGGAGCCAACGGTCACAACGCCTCCGCGATACACGTCCAACACCGATGGTGAGTTTAGACCATTTCACTTCGACTTTGCTTGTGTGGCCCGGAGCCCGCTCCCGAACAATATTAGCGAGGACTCCAAGCTGAGATGTATTGTATTCAGTGGAGGTGGCCGCCGCAATGGTTGCCGAGCCGCCACTCACATGGACCCGCATATTGCATCGCAGCCAATATAATCCAAACTTCCAACATAGCCTCGATCGTTTGTTCCAATGTCATGATCTCCTCGGACACCTCAATTACCTTCTGCTTCGATTCGTGAATGGGCTCCGTTCCAGAGCTGCGACACATAACGACCAAGTGTTGCCTGTTGCGGAACCTGTTGAGGGAATAGTGACGAGAGGACTGTGGATGCTTTTCGAAGAACGAGAAAGTCTTCCCGCAGTGTGAAAATCAATTGACAAGCTTGTTGTCGAAGGAGCGTCAAAAATGGCAAAACAAATGGACCGCTGACGCAGAGCGGGAGAATCGATGAGTAAACAAAGTAAGATAAATGGGGTGAGGCAAGAAGAGGGAAGCGCCGGCGGCAAACGGATGCGGGAGCTAATGATTTTCTTTCTCCTTCACTTCGCCTTCCGGGAAGATCTGAAGTCGAATTTGAAATTCGATATTCGAATCATCACCGTTCTTGCATGGAAATGTGCAGTTCGGCGGAGCTATTCCTCTCATCGTCTGTTTTGCCTCAAGGACGCGAAAGTACTCCGCTCTCACCGACCGACCGACCGACCGACCATGTGAAGGAGTCTGTGAGAGGCGAGCTATTTCTCTGGAGATCTTGGCTAGCTGGCTGAAACGCCGTCGACGATCTGAATATCAATCTACTGCACTGAACGACCTCGGTTGAAGTGTTGCCCGCGCACACGGAATCGAATTTGCCGATTCCGTCCCGCATCCCTCATTCTCTTCGCCTTCTTGCCTTCTATCGAGTCGACGAATCGAACGAATTCTCCCTCGCAGCTGGACCTAATAAAAATGCAGCTGGAAGTTCCGAGAGGAGCAAGATCCTGATTCACTAGGTCTGATGGCGGGGGCGAGGGGAGGGGATCCGGGAAGAGTATTCGTGATAGTGTACATAATTCGAGTTCTCGAAGTCAATTAGGCCTAGCAGATGCAGATCCGTGAAGGATCGGACGTCGTTTTTCATTTTTCGGCGGAGCCCTACAGGATTGACCGCTCGTGCATACGTCCGTGAGCCCATGTAATGCCTGAAGGACCTGCAGGAGGAGGCAGCACCAGCATGGAAAAATCATTATTCCTCCCGAGTCTTCGACCACCGGGCGGTATTATCCGCGTTCGAGAATTGATATTCAATGTACGTGTCTTTTACAGCTCGATCGCGAGTGTGCGGCCCCAAAGAGACCCAGTGCGACAACGGGAAGTGTTATCCCTGGATCAAGAGGTGCGATGGCATCTTGGACTGCGCGGATTCCTCTGACGAGGCAGGATGTCGTAAGTTTCATTACCTCATAGACATTCGCCTATCGCCGAAGGATAAGGATAAATTCTAGGAACCCGTTCTTGGCTCCGCACCGACAAAGCAATCTTCCCCTCGGAATTCGGCAGCATTACCTTCGACTATGAGCGATATGTCATCCGAGGTCCGAGGCGTCATAGGGGGAAAAGAGTGTTCGTAAACGACTAGGAGTCTTCTGAGGCTCCCCCGGAAGGGCCCCTATCATAGTGTCCCAGAACAGAGCTTGCTGTCATTGTGATTGTTCTGTAGTTTGTCACCCGACGAAGCAGTGGCAGTGTGACTCGGGGGTGTGCATCTCGCGCGTGCTGAGATGCAACGGTCACGCAGATTGTCCCGGTCCTAAGGATGTTTCGGACGAAATCAATTGTCACGGCGAGTACAGCGACAACTTCGACAATTTCGACAGGAAGGAATACAGCGATAATCTTCTGTTTCTCGGTGACGACTGGAAAGTTTGGGATCCTTGTGAGTTGTTTCCTGGCGCACCGTTTCGAGATTTCGCGTAGCGATGCAAGACGTCTCAGGAGCTCTACACGTTTCGGTTGATGTCGGGAAAAACTCCCCTCAGACAACAGTGCTTGCGCCATTCAATCTCTGCAGGAATACCAGTGCAGAGAAACCGCAATCGCTTGCAGAGCGTGCCGGCTAGAAATACCGCAAAAGAAACTCCGGACGTTTGTGGAGGCGAGCGAGCTCATGTCAGAGGTAGCGCTAGAAGAGATTAGGGGAATCCGGGAAATTAGCGCTAGGGATATCCATCTCATGTCGCATACACTACCGAGGAGCCGCTGAAAAACGTCGGGCGCCTAGCGGCGGAATTCTTCGTCCGTCTACCAAAAGTGCATGAAGGCTCCCCGAGCAGAATTCCGTCCAAGAATTTAGGGCTCCGAGTTCACGCAGCGCTCGGAGGAAGAAAAGGGGAGCTCCGGGTGCGGACAGAAGAGAATCTCGAACGAATTTCAAACTTGGCGAGATTCGTTGGCTTTTCACTTTAGTTGTAAATTTTCCACTCGAATCAATTCCACGTGTTTGGATTTGTTAGCGTTGGGCGGCCGGGAATCTTGATGACTCTGTCTGAACGAGTCCTCTCTTCATTCCCCTTTCACGCCGCGGCGCAATTTCCTAATGGCTCCTTGGGAAGATGTTATCAATTGGTTCCGAGTTCCGACGGTCGGACGACGTCTCTATGCGTTCCATCTCTCTCAGGCTGGAGGGCTTTTCTCTACCCTAGTCCTCTCGGAACTCGCTGGCGCCCAGAACTCCGAGGAATCCGGAGTCTGGCCGTAATTCGGAGTGTGTGGGCAGACGAGCGAGCGAGACCTTCCAAGTCTCATGTCTTTTGATACAGCTTGTGGGAGCAGATGCGACGCTTATCGTCGAGAGATTATGGGGTTTTTCTCCGTCGGCGTCAGAGCCAGAAAGCTTTTATCCTAATTGGCCTTGGGAACGGAACTTACAGACGCACATGCCGCCTAGGAGAGGGGAACCGGTCATGACACTGACCAGAACAGTTCCCTCGGGTCCTCCTTGTACTGTCTGCCGTGCATTCAATCTTGGGTCAGAATAATAATCGCTGTTAACGGTAGGCAGGCACATCCCAGAGCAGCTATTTAATCGCTTCTCCCTGGTCGCTCGTAGCCGCGCAGCAACAGGGCCTCGAGAGCATATCAGGCGGTCGACGATCTGGATAGGCGCTTAATGTCATGCCATTCGAGGGAGGTCCTCCGATAGATGTGATGACCCTTTAGCGGTGTATTTCGAAGTAAGTCTCCACTTTTCGTGACCAATTTTCTCTCCATGACGCGGATTGAAGGCAATTTCGATTCCCATATGGAAGATGTCCCCCCCATTAGACATCTCCTGTCGCAGCTCCAAGCTAGAATTCCTGAAACGGCTGAGCGAGGTTTCCCTCCGTAACATTTGCGCTCTGAAAGATAATTTCGTCCAAGCGGTTCAGCTCGGCTTTCCGCTATTGAAACAGAAGAGCAAGGATCAAATAAGAAGACTTTCGTCGAAGGTTCTGGGCTGAGGAGGGAAGTGACCCGAAATTCAATAACTCGCGCGAAGAGTCCTCCGCTAGAGCTTATCGTGGATTACTGAACTTATGACGTCGCGCCGCCCTGTTCTCCCGGAGCTATCGATATGAAGCTCCAACTCGTGTTTGACCGATTCTCGTGAGCTCACATCGTGGCGGATTCCCAGCTTCTCGACCGAATATCAGTGGGAAAATGAAGGTATGTTTGCTCAAAAGCAATTCCGCTTCGAGTAAACGCTCATTGAAAGTCGGAACATCAGTCGAAGAATGTTCTGACGCGGTTTCTCCGAACCCTTGTACTTGGATTCTCGTCAATGGGGGCGACTTCTTCCGACCACAGCGCCAGAGCGTGCGAGAAGGTCCAGGGCTCGTCGCGGTCTTGACTTCGCTGAGCGGGCCGCCGTATGACCTCGCGCCGAGGTGTCTCGGGATTTTATTTACATTGCGTTTTGCTCGACCCCAGCCTTCAATATGACGAAGAAGCTGTTTTCTGGATTTTTTCCCGTCGAGTTCGATTTGTACCTTCCGTTCGCCTTTCGGAAAATATAAGTTTCCCTTCTGCGAATCGTCGGTTCCATCACCGACGTAATCATCCATCGTCTTGGAATATTCTACCGTTCCGTTCCCTTGTTTGATTCTATTCAGTGATATACATGTTCTTACGATTTAATTCGGTTTGATTAATTTCACAGCGCCGAGACGTCGACCCAACACGTACGATGAGAATACTACTCCTTTTACGGTCAGTCGCCCCCGATTCGAGCCCGTCAGTACCACCACGTCTCGCTGGGATGTTTACGGCCCGCTCCCGGATAGTCTCGCGCCTCCCTTCGAAGACGCTCAGAACGTACCATCGACTTACGCTCCCTATACGCCGAGTTGGAACTCTCCACCTCAAGATCGTTACTATCCGCTGAACTATCCGACGGTGACGACAGCCGCGACCCCGCCACCGACTACGAGACCGCCAGCGGTGGAAAATACAACACCAGCCGCCGCAAGTTCCCCCGCGGTTGCACCCCCGATGATATTCAACGAAGTCTGTGTTCCCAAACGGCATTTCCAATGTTCGTCTGGCCAATGTATTCCCAGGTGGCAGAAATGTGATCGAGTTGCGGACTGCTATGACGCTTCAGATGAGAAGCAATGCAGATGTAAGAGAAAACTCCTCCCGTTCCGCGTCTCCCGAAAACCTCCACTAACTTCGAGTGTGCGGCAGGCGGTACTAACAAAGGACACCCATAGGTATTCGAGAGAGGTCTACCCCCTCTGGGTCGCGTGATATCCATCCCGACACCGTGGACTCCAAGATTTCCCTCACGAAAGTAATCCTCCGATTCTGGAGATCGGCGGAGTGTGAGCTTGAGGGTACAGATCCACGCTCTAAGGGTGTTTCTTTCGATCATCGGTGTGCGTGTCGCTTGATGTGAGGGATGATGCAGACGACAAGGCTTTGCTGCAAGTTTCAATCGCGAGCGACAAGTTGCTAGTTTACCAGCTAGTGAACGAGCAACTACATTTCGACATAGATGCTCTGTTCTCAAAACTTTCGTTTTCGAATCCAGCGGGAGCACGCGAACGCTCGAGCGAACTTCGTGTTCGTGTCGTCGTCGCCCTGATTCGCTCGATTATGAATCTCGGCTCAATTTATCCGAACAATCAAAACAAGAAGGTACTGATGAGATTATTCCTCTCTTTTTCTCGCCCTTTCCCTTGATGCATTGAAGCTTGCGACGACCGACTCCACTTCACCTGCGCAAATGGACAATGCATTGCCAAAGAGCTCCTCTGCGACGGCTGGAATGATTGTCGGGTACGTACACACGTTTCTACACCGGCAACCCTGTGGGATCACGTTATGTCTGGGTTGAGCAGACTGTGCTTTCTTATGTATGTGTGTATATTTACGTAGACACGGAGAATGGACATATCAGCAGTATATGGTCACAGCAGAAGATTTATAATATGGCGAGGGACGCAGGGAGGAAAAAACGCTCCGGATGCTCATAAATCTCCCGAGCTGAGGTATTTATCAAAACCTTATCGTCTCAGGACAAGAGCGATGAGAGACACTGCAGTGCTGCTGTACAGTGTCGCGCGTCCGAGTTTCGATGCCGGGACGGGACCTGTATTCCTCGGTCGGGTCGATGCAACAATCGTCTCGACTGTCGCGACGGAAGCGACGAAGGCTCGTTCTGCTCGAACAGCCCCGATGTTCCCGTTTGCAAAACCAACGAGTTCCGATGCAGCGACAACCGCTGTATCCCTGATTCGAAGCGTTGCGATCGACACAAAGACTGTCCCGCAGGAGATGATGAACGTGATTGCGGTAAGTCTGTTCTGCCGTACCTCTAATCATTTCGAGCAGGATGGGCGGGCATGGGGCTCTGCGGAGGGTCGGGCAGTCATGGGCAAGGAATAGAGAGGAATAAGGGTTGGCAGAAACCAGAATCGGGAGCCGAAGATTAGAGGATTGACAGAGCATTCCGCCATCGGCGTTGGGTCTCTCGCTGACAGCCGGGAGTGTTGAGCTCGAATCGTCGTGAACTGAGTGAGGCTTGCGAACGGGCTCCTGCAAATCGCGCTCCTGGGAATCAAGGAAGTCGTTCGAGAACCAGTTGCGGGACGGCTAATGTGGCAAGGAACGTTGGGAGAGTTTCGCTTTTTCTGCATGCAGAGGAGAATTGCTTCTCGGGGATTGGCTTCTTGGAGGTCCAGACCACAGAAGACAGATCCCGTATACGCAGTACTTGAACTGCTCGATCTGCGAGAGGGAAGGGGACGGAGAGAAAGAAGAAAATCTCCCTTATTCTTATTCGGCTGAAGCTACGCTATTCCCCACAGAATCGGATCGAAGCTGCGCGGCTCAGGAGTTCAAATGCCCCGACGGCATCTGCATTCGTCAAACTCAACTCTGCGATGGCGTTTCCGATTGCGGCGACGGCGCTGACGAGCTCAATTGTGAGTAGGGCGTACTGGATTACCCAATTAGCAATTTTCAAGGGGAATCGCTCCTCTACGGCACCATTGGGAGAATGGCGCTCCGGCAGGCGCGAGAGGACTCTCACGGGAACGTCGTCATTGCAGGCAAGCAGCACAGTACGGTTGAGAACGAATTGAGTCATAAAGGCGACGACGAGAGAAGTCTCAAGCACAGGGAGCACGAGCGACGCAGACACCAGGAACTGGAGCGCCGTCGCCTCGAGGACGCTCGTCGACGTCAGCAACACGAGCAGCAACTACAGAACGAGAGACGAAGAATCGAAGAAGAAAAGCGTCGGGCGGAAGAGGCTCGCAAAACTCGAGAGCACTGGGAACGCAAGGAGCGTCTACAGGAAGAGGAAGAGAGACGCAAAAAACTTGACGAACAGAATCGACGGTAGGTCGCTCGAAACGCTCGCTCTCTACAGGAGTCGAGGCGGAAACGCAACAGTCAGGCGATATCCTCCGTTCGAGCTCGATTATTATTGAAGTCGCTTACCGAAAAAGGAAGACAGCTGGGACATGAGACGGGAACGCACTCGTTCTTCATGTGTCCGCCATCATACATGAGGAACAAGAAGTTTATGGTCGCTTCGTCTGGCGAGCACACTGAAATTACGAGCTATAAAAAGCACCTCATGTCGTTGCTGCCGCCGTCAAACAGACCCTGGTTCTGTCCGCCGCGGAACCTCAGCTGCTGTATCGTCCAAGTTCGAGGCTGGACTTCCCCAGCCCCGTTCCCCTCTTTTTCCTCACAGAAAGGAGGGGATCAGGAAGGGGAGGCGGGATGGTGTCAGGATAGGACCGAAGGACGCGTTCCAGTTCTAAAATATTCTTTGAATTATAGGGAACAGGAAGCCACCAAGTGGCTCGAGTCCAACTTGATGGAATACGCCAATAATGTGACCGACGGCCTGCAAAAACACGGCCAGTGCTTTCCTGGAGAGTTTTCGTGTAGAAACCGTGAACAGTGCGTTGCGGCTGAGCGAGTTTGCGACCGACGCATGGACTGCTCCGATGGCTCTGATGAAGCCAATTGTGAGTACAGAAGTGGGTAATTTGAAGAGACTCGTTCGCTTCTCGAAACTTTGACTTTGGGTGGATAGCCGAGCTCGCTAGTCAGTCGGTTTCCCTCTCGCACATTCAATTGTGCGTTCGGTCGCTTGGTTGGTTGGCTAGTTACCTTGGCTCTGCCGAACTACGATTCAGATACGATTCAACAGACGGTGGATTATCGATATAATTGCTCTTCCTTTTCAAGGCTGTGGACCCAACGAGCATCGCTGTGGCGACGGACTGTGCCTTCAGCGTTCCCAACACTGCGATGGGATCCCCGACTGTTCCGATGGCTCCGATGAAGTCGATTGCCCCGATCGAAGTGAGTACTTTGAGAGATATCTTGGCCTTGTGATTTGACGGACGAGCATTTCCGCTCATCGAATATACTGAGGAAGAGAGAGGATGCGCGAATATGCTCCGAGCGATTGGAGGAATCGCACGGGAAAACCTCTTCGCGGAAAAAACAATCAGCTGAGACAACCATTTCGATGCACGCTGCCCAGAACTTTGTGGAGCCTCGAAGTTTCATTGTGGCGATGGCCAGTGCATCAAAGACACCCTACGGTGTGACGGATACTATGACTGTAACAATTTCGCGGATGAACAGGATTGTGGTAAGCTCAACCGATACAGTTACGGCAGGGAAGCGCTCGCATCCTCGCTCTGGCAGAAGCGGGATCGGTGACGCCCCCGCGGCACAGTATCTTTCCTGATACACATTTTTTTTCGTGCCTCTTCCGAATCGATTATTATTTCTGTTGAAACTCGCGACGTCCCATAAACGGCTGCAACACATCGGATAATAGTTGCGCGGAGTACCTGCCTGCTTAGGAGAGTTTCCGTTCTAACGCGAACTTAACGCACGCTGCCTTCGGATCAGAATTTCACCACTGTGAGGCGTCACAGTTCAAATGTCAGTCAGGACTCTGCATTGCCCGGGACGAATTCTGTGATGGGGTCCCGCAGTGCCCAGACCGCTCGGATGAACTCGAGTGCTGTAAGATGCATCAAATCTGTTAAGATGAGAGATCGAAACGCTCAAAGGCGACCGCAATGTGTATAAAATGCATGATACTTTGGCGAATGAGAACTCTGAGGGGAAATAAAGTCCCTCAGGGCTCTTTTTCTCCAAAATGAGAAAAAATATCAGAACAGAGTGAGAGAAGACCTGTTGCTCGATTGGAGAGGAACTTCTGAACGAGAGCATCTCTGAGAATGGTTGCCAAACTCGACTGTATTTATGGAAGAATAAAGTGCCGGAAATGTTTATACCGAAATTCCGAGACTGATTTAGAGCGGTGAAGTTCTCGTCACGCACTTCTCTACCAACGAAAAACCCCCCATCAATCACGAATTCCCCTTAGCTGATAGGGTGTCTGTGTTCTTTGCTTAGGGCGTTGTCATCCCTCACAATTCACATGTGCCAATGGGCAGTGCATTGAGCGAGCTCATCGCTGTGACGGCAAAATACACTGTGCTGATAACTCTGATGAAGCTGGATGTTCGGGTACGTGATCGCGTCTCGTCTGAGAGCGGGCGTGCTTACGAGCGGGCTTCCTACGGTCAAGCTCCTAGTTTCATTATATTTTCTATTTTCTGTCCCGCAGTGAACGATATCGACGTCCGGGTCTACCCATCGGTTCTGAACGAGACCGCAGGTCACAACGCAGTCTTGAGGTTCGTAGTACTGAACTTATCGCTTACTTCCCGATATTTAGATATTCCCAGTAATGTTAAAGTGGAAGATTTTCAATTTGAGATCGTGGACGGCCACCCGATCCCAATCGTCGTCGATTCCAAAACTCTGACGTCGAACGCTCCACGACGATCCTAGCGCTCAGGATCTCGCGTCTCACTTTTTAGATGTCGTGACGAAGGTCCTCGGCGTCTCAAGGTTCACTGGACCCGAGCTGACGGCCGACCCCTGAAAGCAGGACACACCGACGTTCGCGGACGATTGACCCTGGTCAAGGTCGAAGCTGAAGACGCAGGAGTATATCTCTGTGTGCCGACATCAGCAGATGGCGAAGAGATTCGTGCCGGACAAAGGAGCGCTATTCTCGTCGTTCTACCCCGTGTGTATCCCCCTCGGCGGTTCATCCGCATTTAGACAGCCCGTGCATTATGTGATGGTCTCAAAAAGGACCTAAGCTATTTTGCTGCTCTGTTTCGCCCCTCATGTATCGGTGGTGTCATTATTGCACGGACGGTGAAGGTTCCTCTATCTCTCCTCCTCTCTGTGCCCACTCTCAGAGAGTGTGTATCAAGGATATTCTGATGACTATTTGAACATTCAATCGATCGATCGGTCGGCCGCTCTGACTATTCGAACATTCAATCGATCGATCGGTCGGCCGCTCTGACGACGCGACCACCAATCCGTCTGTATCTCAATCGTCATCACTCTCTTGTTCAATCGCTAGCGGCCGTTTATCGAATTTCAAGGATTGGAGTTTCTTCGCCGCTCTGAACTCCTTGTAGTCGGACAAAACACACATACATGATCTTTGAGTATTGAAATGACGCTCGATCGATTCAACCCGCGTGCAACCAATCATGCATCGAATTTCACACTATATTGTCGCCACTGCTGTTCGTCATCACGCACACCTGGAAAATATAAACACGGTTGTCCTTCGACTGATATGTCCCATTGTTGTCCTTTGAGTTTTGTGTCTACGCTTTCGTAATAAATTGCCCGAGCGAATGCATGCCGAGCGTGATCTGCGCGGCTGCCACGCGGATTCCCCGACCCTGATGTTTGTGTGCTCTACCTCCGTTCCTCGACGCGCTCAGAACGACACGAGCACGGGAACGCGAGCCTGTCTCCCTCTGGCTCGTTTTTTCTTTCAATACGAGATGTCTCGCTCTGGAAAAACTGGTATTAAAAGTGGTCGGACAATATTGTCACGATGGTAACTCTCGGCCTCTATCTGATATGCTTATGGTGAGGTGAGTCCCGGCGGGTTCTGTACCTACCAAGCGGCTCACAAAATGAACGTTCGTTGCAAGCAGCTTCAGGGAAAATTCGTAAAATGCGCGCCAACGCCGGTAAGTCGATCGGTGCCACCGCATCCCCGGGCGTCCTCGTCTTACTTCCTCACACCACTCCTGAATCCTGATCCCGGAGAGTTCTTCCAAGTGAATATTCGAGGATACCTTCCACGCGCACCCAAGATCCAGATCACGAGTCAAAGCTAATCTCCTCTTTTCCACGGGATCCTCCAGCGTCCGAAACCAGACCAGTGATCGTAAGAAACCCCAAGGATGAAGCCCAGAACGGGACGACGGGATGCGAGCGCGACGAGACCATGTGTCAGAACGGTCAATGTATTTCGAGCAAGTACCTTTGCGATGGGGATTATGATTGTGAGGACGACTCCGATGAAAAGAACTGTGGTCAGTTGAAATCTTGGCAAGCCTGAGCTCCTGTCCTCCCTGTCCTGCTCGTGGATCCCTCTGCACCCCTGCGACATCCCTTTTGTAATCGAACTTATAAAATCGAAAGTATAGCCGAGAGCCAACAAGAGTACACAGCGGGAACACGCTGCCTCCGGCCTCAATCAGGGTGTACTTGTGAGCTCGGCAGTCGCGGAGCCTGATCACTCCGACCGGAACTTCGTGAGTGATACTTTTTCCAGCTCAGCAATCGGAGTGCGAACCGAATGAGTTCCAGTGCGCGAATAAGAAATGTTTCCTCAAAGCTTTCTGGTGCGACGGCGACAACGACTGCGGGGATAAAACCGACGAAATGGACTGCAGTGAGTTTAGTCGCTCGACAATGAAGAGACCCGCTCTGTTCAGCTCCGATTCCTCCCGACAGCATCGATCGAATAATCGACTTAGTATCTCTCGAATATCCCCACAGAAACCGTGGTAGTGGGCTCAGCCTGTAATCAGAGAGAGTATCAGTGTCAATCACAAGATCAGTGTATACCCCGCTCATTCCAATGCGATGCCGAATTCGACTGCCAAGACAAATCAGACGAAATCGGCTGCGGACCACCAATAATTGTCACTCCTCCTCCGAAGGTGGGTGTTTTCGAAATCCTGCCCCGCGAGTCCGTCGATTCCGGATGCAGATAGGCATGAAATCGATAGCGTACGAAGTCTCGCGAGAAATCGGACACGAGAAAAACTGTTGTTCGGAGGAAAACGCTGGCTAGTCCAGGAAGCGAATGGTGGCAGATGTTGTTTGCAAACAGTGAAAACATTGCAGGTGGTGACAGCGTCCGAAGGAGACACTGTCAACATCAGTTGCGGAGCAATCGGCAACCCGGAACCGTTTATAAGCTGGAGAAAAAACTGGGGTCACATACCTCCGCCTCCTAGAGTCACCACTGGATCAGAGAAAGGCGTCGGTATCCTGACGATTCGAGACGTTTCCCGTTCGGATCAAGGCGCTTGGACTTGTGAAGCCATGAATGCTCGTAAAAACGTCCTAGCTGTGCCGGATACGATCCTAGTCGTAAAAGCCAGAGGTAAGTCGGTCGCTGAATCTCTGTGCTTTTCCTTGACCTTGATCCCGGAAAATCGTACCCGTCAGATTTTCAATAAGCTCAGCCCGGAGGGACTTCCACCTCGAGAGGAAACTCGCCGAGTGGGAATGCAAATTTATTCGGATCATATTGGCACCATCCTGCACTTCACGGGCGGCTTTCATCAGGCTGGATAATTCCAGGTTTATGTCCGGCTTCGAAGTTCAATGACAAAGCTACCACGGCAGCCGAATGCATCGATTGTTTTTGTTTCGGTGTATCGAAAAATTGCCGATCGAGCAATATGTACAGAGTCCAATTGAACACGAGTGTTTTGTCAGTCCACGCCTTGGAATGGAGCAATACCCAAGGATACAAAGAAGTATCCTCCAAGTACAGCCCGCTGCACGTAAGTGCGCCTTCGTCGTCGCAATCAGGCCCCGTCATGAAGTCGGATCCATTCGTGGCTGGTGGCGGGACGTCGGCCGTCGTGTTAACGACGGAATGTTGAGCATTACTACATCGACGAGAATAATCGTTGCAGAAGGCGATATCGCATAGGGGCGTGGAGCACGTTATCGATGGAACACTTATCGAGCGTTTAGACCATAACCACAAATTATACTGGAGCGTCACACAGGATTTGATCGGCGGCAGAGTCGCATCCTATGGAGGATTCATCCGATATTCCTTCAAGTAGGTCGCTCGACACATTCTCACCTGGAAGTCTTGCTCTCTGATTTCGAGGATGAGGATTACGTCTCCTCGAAGCCCTTTACGTTGATTCCCTGAGAATTAATCCTTGCTCGGGGAATCGGTTGCTCTCGTCCAGACCGTTATAACTCGAGAATGAATTTCAGATTCACGACAAGTCCCACGGAGGAACGAAAATCTCCGGACGAATTCGCAGATATCGTCCTGCGGGGGAACGACATCGAGATTTTCTATCGGTCGGGAGTCCAATACGCTCCGGATCGGGAACACAGTGTGAACGTGCAGCTGATTGCAGTGAGTGCAGCCTAATTTTCGCGTGATGCCGCCACATTCGTCGAGGCTTGTCACAGATGAGAGGTGGATTTGCAGCGCAACTTCACTCTGCCCGATTCTTGCCAGGGTGCGTGGCATTACAAATCATCGTCGACGTCATCGACTCCTGCAAGTCGGGAAGACATCATGATGGTTTTGGCCGATCTCAACGGTTTCCACATCCGGTGCAGTTATTCCAACAGTTTCCTCCAAGCCAGGTGAGCTGAGAGGGGCATTCATGTATAATTCCATACATATGTATATTTATAAATGCACCGAATGACGGCCTCATAATCACGCCTACAATTCCAAAGCATAAAGAATGTTGAAATGGATTCGGCCAGCTACTCGAATCCTCAAGGCGTGGCAGCGCACCTCGTAGAGCAATGCACGTGTCCCGCAGGGCACGTAGGGCATTCATGTGAGGTAAGGGCGAGCTGATTCAGGCTATAGCTGAGACATTCCGAAGAAGCCAGGTCGGCCTCGACTGACCTGGGGGGAGCTGATCGATGAAAACTGCGAGGAATCTTTGCGAAAATCTTAACTTGGTTTCTAGCAATGCGCTGCCGGATATGTTCGTCGGCAGAGCGGCGCCTACCTTGGCGCTTGCATCCAGGGAGTTATCCCGTGTCAATGCAACGGTCATTCGAACACTTGTGATCAAACGACGGGAAAGTGTCTGGTGAGTACCGAAACTCGAGCACGAGTCTGTTCCTGACTCTGGAGAGCTCAAAGTCGATGATCGATGATATAATCCCGAGTTCGTTCCACGCTCTCCCCAGAATTGCCAACATAACACGGATGGAGCCCATTGTGAGAAATGCAAGAGGGGCTTCTACGGCCAAGCTCACCGCGGCACTGCTTTCGACTGCCGACCGTGTCCTTGTCCACCAATAACGGTTCCCCCGCAGTGAGTACATGCCAGAAGACACACGATGCAATGACTGTATTCGAAAGCGAACTTGACAGCCCTCGTGTGGTCATCAGAGAGCGGCACAGCGTTCGCCTTGCGCCCTGCAAATTCCCTAAAGTTGCAAATCTGATTCAGCCTTTTCACAAGTCGCATCACCGGCTATCCTGCCGAATGGTTCGCTCCGTCGTGTCAACTCGACAAAGATAATGAGGTGACATGCCTCGCATGCCCCATCGGCTACGAAGGCCGCAGATGCCAAAACTGTGCCCACGGATACGAACGAAGTGATCTCGACAACACGTGCAGACTCTCAGGTGCGACGATATAAATACCGACTTCTACCTACCTAATTTACAATAGAGGCTTCTGGCTTCCCGCGAAAACATTGGGGGGCTCGGAACGGAATCGAGTCATGGAAGGGGGAACAACGGGAAAATTCTAAATTCTACGGGAGATTCCTCAATCCGCGGGAGCTGATGCAATTCGCCTTTCCTGACTGCGGAACCATCGCGTCGAATACGTTGACATACGGCGGCGGCTCGCACGAGTTGGCGATACCTCGTATTTGGACTGACTCCGGGAATGGAGTTTTGACAGCTGAATGTTGACTGTGTGGATTGTTCCAGAGTGCGAACTGGGTCAGTATCAATGCGGAGACGGCAGCTGCATCTCTCGGAGACAGCGCTGCGATGGCAAATACGATTGCGAAGACTTCTCCGACGAGCAAGGCTGCGGTGAGTTTGGGGAGGTTTCCTCGGGTCTTCAGAGAGGCTTCATCAATTTACCCACAAGATAGCACTTCGTCATTCAATGCAATCGAATTTCCGATTTACAGCTTGTACACTCAATCAATACAAGTGTCGCGACGGTGTGTGCGTCGATGCCAGCGCGCGTTGCGACGGGCGCGCGGATTGTCTAGATATGTCTGACGAACAGAATTGCGGTAGGTCTCCTCGCTCGTCCGAATCCAGAAAAAATGGAATTCTTAGCCGATTCTCTGGCGATATGCGGGGCCGCCCTGCTGAGAAATATCCTGAGGATGGATTTTACTCGTGCTCCTCCCCATCGTAGGCGCTGTCCGATGCGATGCGGCTGGCTCGTTGAGCGCCGACCCCTCGCCCAGCACAGGACTATGTCAATGCAAACAGTTGGCCACAGGAATCGCGTGCGACACTTGTCGCTCCAACTCGTTTTATCTACATGGTGAAGCTCCCCATGGTTGTGTCCGATGTTTTTGTATGGGAGTCACAACTGTGTGTTCATCGTCCAACTTCTATCGGGAGCAGGTAATATGCTGAACGGACGGAAAAAAAGTTCCGCGGGAAAACACGTTTCGCAACTTCGCCCGTCTTCTCGGCGATCCGTCTCGCTTCACTCTCGGCCTCTCCCGCCATGGCTCTGCTAACAAAGGTCTCTTCCCGCAATCAGGAAGTTCTGCGATTCACAACATCGACCGAAGAAGTCCAAATCACTGACCAACAACGTACCGGGAGTTCATACCTGAGCTTGAAGGTGGAAAATGCCCGACGCGAATTAGTCTACACAGAGAACTCGAGCTTCGGATCCGACGTTGTTTACTGGCAACTCCCCGATCGGTTCTTGGGGAAGAAAATTTCGGCCTACGGTGGGGAATTGCGCGTGAAACTGCGTTATGAGGGGAGCGGAGTCTACCGAGACATCGAACCGGACGTCATACTCGTTGGGATGCGACTCGTGATTCATCACAGATTCAGAGATCGCTTGCTCGGCATGTTCCCCCAACAGCTCTCCGTCAAGATGTACGAGACGTCTTTCGTGAAATCCGATGGCCATCCGGCGTCGCGGGAGGATCTGATGTTGGTTCTCGCTAATCTTCAGGCCGTCCTGATCAAGGCAACCTACGTGGACGATATAGAACTCGCCGCGTGAGTAAAACTTCCGAAAACCCAGTCCGACAGTTTTTCTTACGAAAAAAATATTCATCCGACCACAATATTATGGAATTCCCTCGGTATTCGAATCGAGGGAGATTCCACAGGTTTCTCTGCGAGGTGTCGTCGACGATGGGGCTCAATTCGTCGTCGGAGCTGACTTTGAGTTCGATTTCAGACTCATCGAAGTGACGTTGGACGTAGCAATCGCTCAAAATACCGGCCAGACTCAAGCATTGACGGTGGAAAAATGTCGATGTCCCAGAGGTTACCGGGGGCTTTCCTGTGAGGATTGCGACCGAGGGTACACGCGATCCGCATCTGGCCCATATCTGGGTCTTTGTGAGCCTTGTTTCTGTAATGGGCATTCAAGTGACTGTGATCCTGAGACAGGAATATGCCGTGATTGCCAACATAACACTGTCGGAGATTTCTGTGACGAATGTGCGTCGGGATTCGTCGGCGATGCGACTGGTGGAACTCCGAGCGACTGCGTCGATATATCAGGTAATGGAACGTGAGGACGGCGGGAGCGTAAGTCGATCGGCTCACTGATATTCGACATTCGCTCGGAGTCGCGACGATTCCTGATTCGATTTCGTTTGCTTGCAGAGCCTTCGTGTCAATGCAGCGAGGCGGGCAGCACGGGCCCGGATTGCGACATTAGTGAGCAATGCGCCTGCAAAGCAAGCGTCGAAGGCAAGAATTGCCAGAGGTGCAAGGACGGCTCTTTCCATCTGGAGAAGGAGAACCCCCACGGCTGTACGCCGTGTTTCTGCTTCGAAGTAACTTCGAAGTGCGTTTCGAGCACCTACTACCGATCCGAGATTGCGATGGCATTGGCCGAGCTGGACGATCCGTTCCAGCATAACTTCCAGCTCACAGATCGGCTGCAAATGCAAGTAATCACCGAAGGGATCGTGGTCAACCCAACCCAGAACTCGATATCGTTCGCGTCTTTCTCGAGTCAAGAGACCCTGTTCTGGTCGCTGCCCGACCAGTTCCTCGGAAACAAGCTGTCGTCTTTCGGAGGCCGCCTTCGCTTCACGATACACTTCACTGCGGAAACCGATGGCGAGGGATTCGACGATGCAGACATTCAGATAACGGTCAGTGATTACCGAAGAAATACGCCCCCTGGTAGACGAATTTCGGTGTTCTCGAACCAATACGGTGTATTCACGTGGCGTTTCACTTGCACCGCTGTCGACCATCATACACTTGCTCGTGGAATGTTTCCCTCCCATGGGCTCCGTCCGTTATTTTCCGAGGCTCCCTCGGGATTTCCCGATTTATCGGTTGATATTCTGTTGCAGGGGAATGGTATCACCTTGTTCAGCGTGCTGCATCCGTCACCAAATCCCTCAGAAAGCACAACCTACAACGCGTCCCTGCGCTATACCGAATGGAAACATTTCGACCCGGAGCGAGCGGTTTCGATCGGCGCGACTCGGGAAGATCTACTCAAAGTCCTTGCAAACATCGAAGTTCTATTGATACGAGCCACCTATAGCAATCGAATGGTACACACCTCTCTCCAGGATGTCTACATGTCCAATTCGGTTCCTTACGTAACAGAAGACGGTCTTGCGCGTGAAGTTGAACAATGTACCTGCCCGCCCGGATATGTCGGATTGTCTTGTGAAGAATGTGCCCCGGGCTATCTGAGAGATTTAAGTCTGCCCCACGTGATACGCTGCTCACGATGTCACTGCAATGGACACTCCGAGTCGTGCGATCCAAAAACGGGACAATGCACGGTAAGACACCAGCTAGTGTTCGAAATGGCGGATGCGTCCACAGGAGAATTCGATGAGAGAAACGAGAATCGAGACGGGATTTCCTTCTCCCGCAGAGGTGTAGACACAACACCACCGGTACCCATTGTGATCGCTGCGAAGAGGGATATTATGGAGACGCGACCGTCGGTACTCCGGAGGACTGTAGACCGTGCCCTTGTCCTCATATGCAAGAATCCAATCAGTGAGTTCTCTAGAGTTCAATTTCAAATGCATCATGACTCGTAGCTGTAGGAATGAGAAATCCTTTCGAGAATAGAGGCTTTCGTTCTCGATTCCATACGGTCGTCCTGGGCAACGTTCGGAATTCGTTCCCGCATTCGGAACGGAACGAGGCCTCCGCCACTGAGGATTCTCGTGAGGCCCTCAAATCTAGGCCCTCCGAATTAAAAGTTGTGTCTCTCTTCAGATTTTCCAAGACTTGTTTTCTCGACACCGATGGTCAGGCTACATGCAATGATTGCCCTGACGGTTACCTCGGACGACATTGCGAGATGTGTGTACCCGGGTTCTTGGGTAATCCCGTGCGACTGGGAGACAAATGTGTACCCTCTGAACACCACAACAAAAGCCTCGGTGCTATCAGACTCCGAATCCATCATCCGAAAGTGCTCCGATTGGTTCCCGGCGAATCCGCTGTGTTGCGTTGCAGCGTGGTCGGACGAACAACGGTGAGTTCTCCGCCTCGTTATCAAGGGGCTTATCCGGAACATGGGCTGTGTTTCTCGAGCGGGGAGGCATCAGACGAGTCACAATCAGGTCGAATCTCTATTCCAGGTTCCGTATTTGATTAACTGGTTCCGTGAGAAGGGTCAGCTCCCTGCTCGAGCGACCGACAAGGGAGGCGTTCTCACGATCACGGACGTTCGTCTCGACGATAATGGGACTTACGTCTGTATGGCACACGCGACTGAAGCGACGCCCCATCTAGCGACGTCGAGTCAGGAAAAAGCCGCCATCATAGTCGAAGGTCTGGAGCTGAAATACGTCCCCAGAGTCCGCATTGAGCCACGGTATGCACGTTATTCGAGGATAAGACCCCGGTCGGGGAAATCTTCCGAAATCGTTTTCATTCAGGAACTCCTCGACTTCCAGTTTCCTCGAGGTGAATGCGGGTCAACCGGTGGTGTTCCGCTGCATAGCGGATGGCTATCCACTACCGGAACTGCGCTGGGAGAAATCCGGAGACGGCATCGTATCACCGAACTCCACTTTCGTGGATGGCTCGTTCAGGATCGGTTCGGCGCGAGGCTCCGATGAAGCAGAATATTTCTGCTCTGCAATTAATTCTGCCGGGTCTCACAAGGCTCGAGCCGTTCTCTTCGTCCATGGAGGTAGCTACACGGACGGCTAATGACGGTGATAAGTCGCAGACGAGGGACTCTCGTTCTTGTGTTTTTCCCGCAAGATTCGTGTCTCGACTGTTTTTCCTTCTCTCTGCAGACGATATCGGAGCTACTCGGGCGCCTCAGGTTTCTGTGAGTCCTCACAATGTCGAAATCGTAAAAGGAGAAAACATATGGCTCCGCTGTTCTCCCTCGGGACATCCGGCTCCGAATATCACCTGGAAATTTTCCAATGGTCTTCTGCCGCACAATACGCAACAAGTAAGATCTCGAGACCCCCTCCTAGATTCGAGTGGTGTTGAATCTATGTGAATTACTCTTCATTCAATTCCCGATTTTATCGTATAGGTGGGAGCCCAGCTCCTGATCTACGACGCGCAAGATCACAACAAGGGAAGCTACTCATGTGTTGCCAACAACAAATACGGAACCGGGGCCGCTGACGCAAAAATCACTATTGTCAACAGTGAGTATTTCGCTTATTCCGATGACCCGTTCTCCCGGATGGGACTATGGTGACGAGGTCGTCCGGGGAGCTTCATGTGTTTCCCTGTCGATGATTGATCGCCAGGCAGCATCGGAGTGCTAATCGCAAGGTCTCTGTTTGTCGCAGACCGGAGCGCACCGGTGGTCCATATTCAACCCGAGAAGCAAACTGTCCGCGAGGGAGAAGAAGTTCACATCAAATGCTTGGCGAGAGCCAATCCCGAGGCGACGATAACGTGGTCTCGAATCGGAGCCAATCTGACCTTCCGACATGTGGTATGGGATCTCCGGATTCCTTTTGGAATCTCAAGATTGGACCGGAGAGGGATTGCGCGGCGGATCGATTGATGAATTCAATTTCCTGACCATCTGCTTCCAGTTTGTGAACGATGAGCTCGTTATTGAATCCGTACAAGTTTCCGATCGAGGCATGTACGTGTGCACCGCTGAAAACCGCGAGGGGTCATCTCAGGCCACCGGACTCCTCGAAGTTGATCGACGTGAGCCTCCACAAGTGAGTGAATGGATGCGGGGGCTCTGGGCGCGCTCCGAAAGTCTCATGAACTCGAAGCCCCTCCCTCAACCAGACCGGGGAGTCGTCGAATCGGGAGCATTGGAGACGTCAAGGCCAAATTCCGTTACCAATATCGCCTCTCGTATTGCAGATCGATATTTATCCCGAATGGATCGAGCCCGTCGAATACGGCGCTGCCGTACTGGTTCAGTGTCGGGTTCTGTCAGGTATACCGAGTCCGAGAGTCGAGTGGTCACGGAAGGATGCCGTGCCGCTGTCAACAAGCATCGACGTGTCGGTTCCAGGAATACTTCGGTAGGGGATCCGTGTAGATCTTCTCCTACAAATCACATGTTTCTCGATAGATTCCTCTGTCTTGGGTATTTACGGTGATAAGCGCAAAACCTAATCTCATTATCCTCTCAGCTTCAACCGGTTCACCGAAATGGACGCTGGAACGTACGTTTGCTCGGCGGAAAATATCCTCGGTTCGGTCACCGCGTCGGTTGACCTACAACTGAAAGGTGTTCCCGCGATCCGAATACTCCAACAGAATCCGTACGTAGCACAAACCGGCGATTTCATCCGATTGGATTGCGTCGCCCGAGATGCCACCGCAGCAAAGTCGATCCAATGGCACAAGCTCCACCAGGCGATCACGACGTACTCCACTCAGAACGCGCACGGATCTGCTCTATCTCTGACGATTCGTCGCGTGGCACCGAGCGATGCTGGTTTCTACGTTTGCAAGTCGAAACAGGATGACCGAGAGGTCGAAGAACGAATTCACGTCATAGGTAGGACCAAGAGTACGCAGAACGGCCTGGTGCACGGAACTCCCGAAGTTCTGCCTAGAGCGAGCGGATGGATGAGCATGCGTTGCTTGCGATAATCTTGTCCCGAACCCCATCTCTGACGTCTGACTGATCGATTGATCGTTTCACTGTGCGCCTGAATGATGATGATATTTAGCGTCCCGACAAAACGACACAACACACAGAGCCTGAGCATTCGAAGACGTTCGATCATCACACGCAGAATGGCGATGCAGTGGTCTGAACTTGGCGACAATTTTCGGCTTGCATGAGCATGTTCCTCCGTACTTTTAAATATGATGGAGACCGAGCTTTCGCCCTGGAAAACTCGACGAGAATCGATTTTGAAAATGTCCGTTCGACTTCACAGTCGAGTCAGGGATCGATGGCGTTCCGTCGCTGCATCTGGATCGCGATGTTGTTTCCGCTCAGTTGGGGAGTCAAGCCGAGCTTCGCTGCCGGCTAGAGGGAAACGATAAAAACATCCGTCTCGGGTGGAATAAGCTGGACGGACGACCGCTGGTCGCCGACGGCGATCAGATCGTCGTCGAATTCGGAACTGTGCATTTCAAGAGCGTGACGGAGGAGGACGCGGGTCTGTACGAATGTCGAGCCGTTCAAGACTCCAGGCTGCTGTTCTCGAGAGTCACCAGATTGGCAGTAGTCGGTGAGTATCGTATGAATGTCTTTCTTCTCTCCAAGTCTTTCGAATGTTTGAAGATAGTGGCGATCGAATCTATCGTCGATCATGGTTCCGTCAAGAGTAATCCACCATTGTAAATGTTTCGAAAAAATTCCATGCTTCCGATCAGGAGCTTTCGCTCGAGGTGAGTCATTTGGGGCGCTCCCGGAGTCTAAGGGCAGTCAAGCTCCTGATACTGATCCGATGATCAGACGGCTGACTCAACGGGGTAAACTAACGAGCTCGGCTTCCAGGTCCGCCCCGTATCACGGTGAATCCATCGGAACAAAGCGTGCATCCAGGTGAGGATGCCAGAGTCACCTGTATGGCTTGGGGTAATCCCCCGCTCAGCCTGCACTGGACGAGAGACGATGCTCCTCTTCCGCTCAACGCCTATATCTCGAGTGGTGGCCAACATCTAGAAATGAGGGGTATCCAAAAACTGGATGCTGGACAATACAGATGCACGGCCGTGAACGCAGCGGGTCTGGCGTCGGCCACAGCTAAGATCGTCGTCGGTGAATCCAATCCCACCAATGCTGGCGGTCGCAGAGGCGAGGAGACCGTTCTATTGGGAGCGAGTATAGACCTCAAATGCCCTTCGAGCGGATCAGTTGAGAGACACGTGGAATGGGCCCTAGAGAAGCAGAATCTACCGGCGCACATTAAGATACATCGAGGAGCTCTTCGTATAGCTAACGCTACGCTCAAGGACGCCGGCAAATATGTTTGCACGATAAAAACTAAAGAAGGGAGAATACTCGGGAAAGACTTCGTCATGCTCTACGTACGAGGTGAGCCATGGCTACATACTGCGTGGTGGTTGTTCCCTTCCGCATTCGGATGGAGGCGGGGGTAAAGCTTTGCCTCGGATCGCTTGATGACCGTATTCGTGAATCTTTTCCACAGAAGCAAATTCGATCGAAGTTGCGATTCGGTCTTCAAAAGAAATAATCCTGGCTGGCGATACCGTAGACCTGCTCTGCCACGTCACCGGGACTTCGCAGAGACCGAAAGTCCTCTGGAGCCGCATGGGAGCCTCCTTCCTACCGGACAATGTTCTCGTTGCTGGGAACATGCTAACTATAGCTGGAGTACGAGCGGAGAATGGTGGAGTCTACCGCTGCCTCGTGGAAACAGCTGAGGGATCCTTCCACAAGGACTTCACCTTCGTCATCCAGAGTGAGGATTCTATTCCAACAATCCTTCAATGCTTTTTTCCCATTTGTTCAACATTTTTCCACGGAGATTAGGGAGCCCATGACTGATTCTCCCGGAGCGGAGCGGCATCTTTTTCTAACCATGGATACTCTTTCTTTTCATACTAATCCTAAACTAATCGCGGAACTTTACCTCGCTCCGATATTGATAAAAAATTGTGAGTGCAAATAATCCGCGGGGATTTTGGGAGGAGTGACATGTTATTGCTGACCCCCTTTCACCACCCTGAGTGATCATGGTTGATGAGATCGGACGCACTTACGTATCATTAGTCCATAGGCTGATTCTACAATTGAACGGCTATTCCAGGAATGCCCACCATTGACCCGACCAAAGTTGATGTTAAACACGTTCTCGTCGGTGGAGCTTTCGAAATCATCTGCAACTCTTCACTCGAAGAGCCCGTTTCGTACACTTGGACGAAACTTCCGTCAGGCAAACTACCAACGAGTAAGGGCCGAGGATTTCTGATAATTCAACCATGAGTTTGAGCGATTAGCCTACTGAAATGGTCAAAATTCTCCTCCATGCGATTCGTGCACTCCAGTTGCTTACAATCCATGACTTCTTCCAATTCACTTTCAGGAGCACGAGTGCGAGAGGAACTTCTGGTTCTCGCCGATGTCACGTCGGAGGATGCGGGAACCTATATATGTATCGCCAAAAACAAGCTTTATCGGCTTGAAGTTCCAACGCACGTAATCGTCACGGGTTCGATTCCCCGATTCAACCAAGCTCCCCTGTCTTACCTGGAACTCCCGTCGATCCCGGACTCCTACAAGAAATTCGATATGCAAATTCGCTTCAGACCTGACAAAGAGGAAGGTCTGCTACTATACAATGGCAATGAAGGCCACGTGGAAACCGGTACGGAAACGAGATCGCATCCGGAAGAATACTGAAATGCAATGCTTTACTCGTGAGTTTATCCCCAAGTGTGTCGGATTCAAAGTATCTCACTAGAACTTCTACTCTTATTTAAAGGGGATTTCATCTCTCTCGGTTTGACCAATGGCTATGTGGAGTTCCGATTCGACATCGGATCTGGTCCTGGCCTACTCAGAACGCCATTGAAAGCCTCCCTGGACGAATGGCATGTGGCGAAATTCGGACGCTTTCTTCGAGAGGGATATCTCCAACTCGATGAGGAACCCGAAGTGCGAGGAACGTCTCGAGGGGCGATGACAGGACTCGACCTCAGAGCCCCGTTGTACATGGGGGGAGTTCCTGATTTCAAGAAAATCTCGAAGGCCAACGGTTTCACGACTGGATACATCGGTACAGTATACTCGCTCCCGGATAAAGATGTTCCAAGTCGAGTAATCACAGTCGGAAACCATCCGCGCAAAGTTCTTAAACGACCATTCCTCCATACAGGATGTATCAGCGAGCTACTTATCGGCAATAGATCAGCTGCTCTCCAGCATGCCAAACATGAGGGCGTGGGTGATTGTGACACCTGCGCCTTGAATCCTTGCGCCAACAGCGGTGTGTGTCAACCGTCTCCTTCCGCTACTGGATACATCTGCCTCTGCATTCCCGGATTCACCGGTGATAATTGTCAGCATACCGGTGAGACAACCAAGGAGCGATCTTCCATTCGGATTCATTCTGATGTGTACCACCGAACCATCCGAAAAATGATTCGCACTGGGAATAGGAAGTCAGATACGTTCTCTCACCTCTAAAATTCTTCCAGGCGAAGCGTGCTACCCGAGCGTGTGTGGTGAAGGCGTTTGCGTCAATAGACCTCGCGGTGGCTTCGACTGCTTCTGTCCGTTCGGCCGATCCGGACTCAGATGCGAGAAACAGGTTTCGATCCTGGAGCCCTCGTTCGAGAACGACGCGTATATCGCATACCGCCTACCACCGAGGATTAAGGATAAATTCAATGTGTCGATGAGGATTAAGCCGCGCAAACTCGAAGACTCCTTGATAATGTATTCGGCTCAGAACGAAGTCGGTCAAGGCGACTTCGTGATGCTCGGCATTAGGAACAAAACTCTGGAATTCCGCTTTAACACAGGCTCGGGTGAGTTCCGACAATCGAGCGAGGCAGAAAAGATGTCATCCTTCCAATGGAGGCCTGATGTACTGAGGGGGTCACTGACACACTTCGCTCTCGTCTAGGGATGGTCCTGATAAAGAGTCACGACGTTTTGAAGCCGAACGAGTGGGTTCATGTTGAGGCATCAACGATCGCGAAACTCGGCCAACTTATTGTCAGGGTGAGTTCATTCAAAATTCCCAAGGAAGACGCATCGACCGACTCGGGAAACCTCGATATGGAGAAGGCGGCAAATCAATTACAGGGTGAGCGGTTCACGGGCACGAGCAAAGGCAAGACGAAGGGGCTTGATCTGGAGTTGCCTCTATACGTCGGAGGTGTCTTGAAGGAATCGGTCAAACTGCACTCTGATGTTGGCGTTCAGCAAGGTTTTAGCGGATGTGTGGCGCACGTGAGTAACCAGTGAAATTGCGATTTGAGTGAGTTTCTGTCGTTCTCGCCAGAACTGGTCTACTCACGCGAGGAAACTCCTTTCTCGGCTCTAACAGATTGAGGTGAATGGCATCGGCCTGGATTTAGCGACATCGGTGATCAGCGCAGCTAATATCGACAATTGTGGCGGCCGGGCACCGTGCCACATCAATCCCTGTTTGAATGAGGGCATATGCAGAGCAAGAGGCGCCGGGTCTCAGGTGGGTGTGATGTAACCCCGAGCTTTGAAGTATGCAAGAGATGGCAGATCTCCAATCTCTCTGGGAGTTTTCTGTAAGACGAAGTTCCGGACGATCCTTCCAGGATTATGAGTGCATCTGTCGCTTGGGTTACGATGGGCCCAATTGCGAGCGAGAAGATTCGGTTTGCCACAGAGAAAAACCTTGCCACAACGGAGCCGTGTGTCGAGCGCTGAATGTCACAGCATTCTCCTGTGCATGCCCGAAGGGATTCGGGGGCTTGCGTTGCGCTGAGAGCTTGGAGTTCCATCAAAGCGCTCAGTTCAACGGCAATGGCTGGCTCCAGCTAGACAGGGGATATCTTCCGCACAAAGACGAAGAAACGGTTAAGCTAAGTTTCAGCACAACAGAAAGAGACGGTATACTTGTATTTCACGGACAGAAGCCGGAAGCTGAGGCGAAGCTGACAGATTATCTCGCTCTGGTGATCTCCGAAGGTTTTCTTCTGTACACGTGAGTGGGGTTTATTTCGGACATTCTTGAGATCCGGAGCTTCTAGAGATTATTTTGAGCGGGACATACGAGACTATGATTATCGACAACGGAGAAATGTACTCGTTCCCCAGATTCGATATGGGTAGCGGAGCGGCCACTATCAGAACCGATGTGAGAGTGGATGACGGTGAGCTGCACACAGCGGAAATTTGGCGTAAAGAGAAACAAGGCCACCTCACTCTCGACGGCGTTGAGTTCAAAGGCACTTCGTCGGGAAATCTCGTCATGCTCAATACGGGTTCGTGAATCACGGCCACCCTCTTTCCGAAACTCTTCTCTCAATGGCATTGACGCTCGAGCCTCTTCGGAGATTGAGCTTCCATGGAGTTTCGCTTATGAATTCTTGCTCTTTCCAGAGGGCGACATCTATCTGGGCGGCTTGCCCGACCCTCAGAAAATGACCGCAGGACGATTCGAGACCAACTTCAAGGGCTGCATTCACAACGTGCATGTCCAGAAGTCGTCAATGCTCGACCTATTCGAAATAGCGGTCAACTCAGTCAACGTGGCCGAATGCGGCCAAGAAGCTCTCGCCAATAGCAGCCCGACTTCGTCCCAAGGCTCTCCGGAGCTCGAGTGAGCTCCGTATCTCGAAATGAGCGTGAGAGGGGCAGAACCTTCGAGCCTCGAAGGGAATCGATTCCGACGCTATCGTGCTTCCGGATCGCCATCGAAAATCGTGAAGAGATTGTATTATGGATGTTTGAGACAAAAGTTGACATGTATCTGTGTACATTATTAGGAAGAGACAATAAACAAAAGTATGATTGTATTCGTATAAATCCCATGGAGTTCTGACTTCGTATATGTACAAGCACCAGCTAGAAATGCGTCGCTTCAGACATCTTTGGTATTCTAAGAAGCTTAATTGCATCATAGATCATAGCTCTTTGTACCAGAACCAAAGTGTTGAATGACAAAGTGCTCGAACCCCTCTGATTTACGTCTCCTCGCTTCATTCTTCACTCGGGGAACTTCGCTCATAAAATAGAGGAGCAAATATGGAGAAGCCTTTCGAGCGAAGGGGGATTCACCGACCCTACTACAGTCGGCTCGGGGGACCACCAGCTCTTCCGAGAAGGCCAAGCTGCTTCAATCGATTCGATCGTCATATCCGTCGCATTCGGACAACCACCGATCGTCCCTTAATCATCCACGGTGCAGATGGTTCCCCGGATGGTTCCAACCAGGACCGACCTCGCTCAAAAACACTTCATGCCCTCCCATCGTATTTCTGTACAATGTTACGAAAAGGTCGATGGGAGCATGCGCGTCTGCTGGACCCATCCTCGGAGACTCGAAATCGGTTAATCGCAAGGTCGCGGGCCCGACTCATCGCGCCTCCGCTGTAATTCCCTCATGAGTCAGCCACAGAGAGCCGGAGCGCCGCGTGCGGCTGCTCGTCCGTGCAGGGCTGCAAGACTTAGTGCGCCGTTGAAAGACCAAGGGAATCCGTCTCTGAGAGCAGCTCGTCCGCAAAAGCGGAGAATCTTTTGCTGGAATCGCTCTTTTCTCAGCGCATGTGGTGGTTTAATACAAGTTCCTCGGAGCTCAACTGGTGAGTTGACCCCTCGGTGCCGTACGTTCACACTCTATATCACGATCTGGATTTGCCTAAAAGCGCCGCGATTCCAATCTTTCTCATTGAGTGGGGGATGACTTTCTGTTTTTAGGTTTGAGAAAGTGCTCGGAAATCCGTCGCACGCGCCTCAAGGGACCGCCAGCGGGAAGCGGGCGAAAAGGTCTTTAGTCGCTATACGGCAGAGATTGAGTGGACTTCCCAATGGAGGACGAGGGAGCGGCCTCGAGATTCCGAATCACGCAACGCCTCTGCCCTCCAATGATGATGACGACAATATCCCGCTCTTCTATGCGGCTGTGATGTAGGTGTCGTTCTCGGAAATATTCAGATCGTTTTCAGACGATGATCCCACCCTGAACCCATGGCGATGCGAGCCACTGAATTCGATGAGCAACCTCGATGCTCTCCAACGAAAACACTCCCGATCCGAGGGTCGGAGGGTGTCCGAGGGGAATCAGCGAGGGAAATAGAACAACTGAACTTTGAATGCCGAAAGGCCGTATAAGGGTTACAATAAGCGGAACTTTGCCTGTGAATGGACCTCGACGCCGGCATGCAGTCACCGCAGTAATATGAAGAATTTTTACAGTCACGATTTCCAAGCAACCAAGTCGGATGAGATTTCTCTAAGGAAAGGACAGCTCATTGCGGTATATGAGAAGTCAGCTGACCTCTGGTGGTACGGGGTCGAGTCGAGGAACGAGGGCTGGTTCCCATCAAATCACGTTCACGCCATTGAAGAGTCGCGATCCGAGAATCCCTCCGCCTCGTCCGCAGGATCAGATCAGCCGATACCCCCAAGCGTGCCGTGCTCGACGCCATACCTCAGTCTTGTAGGGCCCTTAGGCTCTAAACGTGGATCGGAAGTCGCAGCGATGGACAAATACAGCTCACCCACGCACGGATCGCAGCACACGGTTGTTACCCTGCACTCCTTCCAGGTAGCGAATCCAAGCCACTCGACGAGAGGTCCTCCGTCTTCAAATTTGAAATCAAACAACACATGAATTATCTCACCTTACTTCAGGCCCGCAACTCCGAGGAACTGTCATTTTCGAAAGGTGAACGTCTGACTATATTGAGCGAACCTAGCGACGACCCGAATTGGTGGTCTGCCAAGAACGTCATGGGACAGGAAGGATTAGTACCGCGTAATTTCATTCAATTAGAGCTGAGTCAGAGCTCTTCGGACGCCAATCTGGACTATACGGGACAAGCCTGGTATTACGGATACATATCCAGGGCATACGCTGAGGTGAGCTCTAATTGGTGCGATTATCGAGCCCCAGCCGGCCTCGCATATATGTTTATGCCTGATCCTTATTTCTTATTTCCCACAGGTTCTCCTAAATGCCTTTGGGTCGATTGGAGACTTCTTGATCAGGCTATCGGAAAGCTCTTCTGGTGATCTCGCGCTATCGGTTAGAGCACCCGGTCGGAACCACCATTTCAAGATCCAAGTCCAGGGAGATACGTTCCGCATCGGTGAGGACTTCATTCGGGCGGAATCCATCAGAGGGCCTTGATGAATTTCCGGATAAACCTCCGATTCGGGCATGTCTCACAATCCGGTCCCACGAGATCATTACTTACCATCGCGCGCTAAAATCTCCTCGTTTCTAGGTTTCCGAAAATTCTTCAGTGTCACGGATCTCGTCGCTTACTTCCACCGCTCTCCGATCTACACTAGTTCAGAGGGATACCGATTGTTCCTCGTGAAGGCCGCGAGGAGACCTGGAGCTTGATTGACATTGTGTCGCGAAATCAGGGACAAATCCCTGAGCGAGAATCTACTCAGTCGACGTCCTTGGGAGACAAAGATTTCATGATCTCATCGGGTATCCGGAAATAAAATGAATATAAGATTCACAAGCGACCCTACGCATTTTGTCAGAGACCACCCATCCTATCTACTCCATATGGGACGATCTCCGTGGCCACGCTACCGCATCGGGACTCAGTATTCGAAAGATAAATCCGGGATAGGGATCACCTAGTCTCTTGTATTCTGGAATGGGCACGCTAAGCATGCCCCTGGCAACACGAACGAGCCGACCCTCCGACGATAGAACTCCCCGTCTGGAATCGGAAAACTCTCCCTGATTTATTCCAAAATAAATCAATCAACAAATACAACAACTTAATGAAGTTAAGATTATGTACAGCTCATTCCAATATCGAGCAGAATGACATATTAGCTGGAAGCAATGTACGAAGATGGATGACAGGTTATGTTTGTTTTGCGGAAAGACAGCGTTTGTTCCCGCATGTGCGTTTCCGAATTCGAGGCATGAGCATGTCGCTCGGAGCCTTCGTTCCCAGCGTCAAGAGTTTCGGTGGAACGGTTTCCTACTGAGCGGCTCCGATGTCGTATGAGAGAAGGTTCCGACTGTATTCGATATCGGAAGGGTACGAGTACAGGTCTTGGCTTTGAGGATGGACATATCGGGGTTGGTAGCGACTCTGCTGGAATTGCGGCTGGGGATACTGTTGGTAGGCATTATGCTGGAATTGCGGAAACTGATTGTATTGTGTCTGCGCATTTCTAAACTGCGGCTGGAAGTTCGCGGACCCGTACTGGATATTTTGGTACGCAGTCGGTTGATACTGCGGATTCGGCACATTGTTATACTGTGGTTGGGCGACGAAATTCCTCGAAGGGCTCACGCGACCCGCTTCCTGGTAGATTGAGCTGGTCAGCTGCTCGTACAGCGACTGCGGACTGTTTACGTGCTGCACGTACGGATTGTTCGTATGGGTTTGGATATTATTGTAGCTATTCAAGAAGTGAGACTGATTCGTCGCGGGGGCTTGCAAGAATGTCGGCGGTAGCACATGAGCCGGTAGCTGCCCCGTCGGACCCTGTGGCGAGGTCGGAAGCGTCGGAGAGGGGGCTGCCGTCTGGGGAGCGGGCGCTTGCAGCTGGTGGAGCTCCGGAGCGGCTGTAGTTCTGAATTTCCTTCGGACCTTCCTTCTTCTCTTGGGCTGAGGCTGAATCATCGGTTCCTCATAGGTAGCCGGAGTGCTCGCGGGAACCGAGGGGATAATTTGGCGTCTGGGAACGGTCGGACGCGCGGTGGGTTGCGGGAGCGGGGTGGTCGTTCGAACAACGACTTTTCTGCGGAGAGGACGCTCCCTGAGAGTGGAGGGCGTTGGTCGGAGGCTCCTCCCGTCAGGGTTCAGGGGTCGTCGAGTTCTCTCCGTACGAACGCGAGGGGATCCAGTTGGGCGTAGGGATCCTGTCCCGGCAACTCTCGAGCCGAAATCTCTCTGGGTCGTGTTTTCCTCGGGTTCGTCATCGTCATCCAAAGCTCTCCTTTCTCTCCTCCTTCGAATTGAATGGAAGAATCAGCAAAAGAGACGAATCGATTAGGGGAGCAATCAAGAGGGCTCGAGTCGCATAATTACCTCTTCTTGACGCGTCGGATCCGTCGCGGCGGGATTCCTTCCGGTTGCGATGTCGGGACCGGCTGCCTTAGAGGGGCTTCATATTGTTGCACTGGAGCCTGGACCACCGGTCGAGGTTGCGCTGAAATAATCCAAGTCATTCAGTGCCTTATTCGGTCGTCCTATCCGGTCGACCTTTCACTGTACGTCGCGTGCAACCTCCCTTTGAAGATTCCTGATGAGGTCTATGAGTCCGATTTTCGATCACTCACCGGCATTACGTTGAGCCTGTTCTGCTCTCTGCTTCGCTTCGGCTTCCGAAAGAACTTTGTATCCTTCTCTTCCGGCCTCGTAATGGACAACGATCTGTTTTCCGTTTGAGTCTATGTATCCATACGAGCCCCTCACGGTACCATCCGGATCTCGGGTCTCTCTCCTGAACGACTCGTCCCCGTTCGAAGCCTTGCCCGTATCGTAACCGAACTTGTAATCACCTTCGAGTCTCTGTCCGATGCTGACGTAATGAACCGGCGCGGCTGGATGAAGTACTGAAGGTTTCTCGGTGACTTCATTCCTCGATCGGCTCGGAGCAGATACGATGTTCTTCGGGGGTCGGTAGGGCTCCTCTTGAGGTGGCTCGGGTTGGATTCTCTGTCGGACGGGCGGCCGGTAGGGACGCGGCGTCGGCTGATAAACCGGAGCCTCAACTTGAGGGGGTGCGTATTGCCGTGGTCGGGGCTGGGGCTCAGCCGGTGGTCGATACTGCACCGGAGCTGGTTGAGCGGGAGGCCGATACTGCACGGGAGCCGGCTCCGGTTGGAATTGTCGAGCTTCGTACTGGGAAGTTGGAGGGGGCGAATATCGCGCGGGGGGAGGTGTATACTGAGGGGAAGGGGGCGCATACTGCGGAACAGGAGTGGGCGCCTGGTATCGTGGGGCTACGGATTGTTGGTAAGGCGGAGCTTGATAGGTGGGCACCTGGATGGGTCTCGGTTGGTAGGTCACCGCCGGTGGCTCGTAGTATCGAGGGCGTTCTGTGGTCGTGGGGTATGACGAGATTGGTATCCGGAACCCGTTTTGGCTGACGCTTGGAATTTGACGACCTTCATCGAAACTGTACTTCGATGTCTGGAGGAGAGAAGGTGACTTGAATCTCGCTGATACCTCTATTGCTTAAGGAGGAGGGCAGCGGGGACGGTCTGCCTCGCTCCCTTTCGCGGCCGTCATCGTGTCTCAATGGAGAGGGCTTTTTCGAGAGATGATATTGTACGAGCTCTCACCTGAATGCCTCGTGGAGCGAACGCTGTATCACTGATTGGGTTTCCATTCAGGCTCTCTCGATCATAATTGAAGGATTTGCTTACATCGTAGTTACCGCCATCGCTCGCGGGGGAAGCAAAACTGCGGAAGGGAATCGGTTCCAGTCCACGGACGCTCATTGAATTGTCCTCAACGCGGTCTTGGAGTCGACGTCGGAACCAGAACTCGTACGGAAAAGGGACTTCTGGAGGGAACTTACCTCCGTGACGGAGCGCGGAAACCCCCATTCGTCGTTCTGCCGTTATTCTGGGCGTACTGATTGAAATTGGTGAAAGGTTCGAAGCTCCCGGTGTCGCCAAACGGGTACTGTCCGGCACACAGCGACAGCACCGCGCTGAGCACGCCCGCTTGAATCTGGAAGGGAAAATCTGTGGTTCAGAAGCAAGCTCTTAGACTTCCGGAGACATTCCGTTGGATCGGAGATATTCGTGATAGAATCCTCGAAGCGTGAGAAGGGGCGATTCCCGAGGCGTAGCCGATGTGGCATCTAAATCAGTGGCGGCGAGCTTCACCGAATCGTACCCGGAGCCCGGGACTTTCGCTACGCGTATTTCAAGTTTTTTCGCCACGCGTGTTTCCCGTTTTTCCGCCGGTGAATGTAGCAAATGTGGGAATGAGTGTCTGACGAGCGAGGCCATAATCTTTAATTGAGATATGTCTCCGATCTATCATCAGTATATCGGCGACAGGAACCCTTGGAAGAACCTTCGCTGCTGTCCACGTCGCGATTGTAAATCAGCTGCTAAGCTTGGTTGCAGCTCGCACGGCCGCTCCTTCGGTCATTTGCGAAGCGTGTGGGCATTCTTCTGTTGTCGTAGTGGTCAGTGTCGGTTGCCGTCGGGTCATTTGTCTCGCTGCCAGTGCGTCTTTGAGAGTCTGTACGTACAACGGTGTGGCATTGCTTCGTGGTTATGTAAGTCCGGGTCGTGGCCTGGGGCGAAGCGTAACACCGTTTCGAAGGCTCGCTGCCCCGCTTTCACTCGGTCCGTCCTGATTATCGCCAGAATACCTCAGAATACCGACCACAGCTCCCCTCCCCAAGATCTTCGCGTACGGAGGTCTTCTTCAGTAGAAACGATCATTTGCGCGAGAGACCGAAAACATTTTCGCTTCTACCCGCGTGAGTCCAATAGTTCAGAAGTGACTCTCATGAGATGCAGATCGGGAGCTCAGAGGCTCGCCTCCAATGCGGTCACACAAGGTGGGGGCGCGGACAGGTGGTTGAGGTATTCGACGGCACAGTCATCCCGAGCTCATCGAAGTTTCGCCGTGGAACTGGAGCCTTCTGAGCCCTTCAGATGACCCGAGACTAATTGTGAGATATATAGATATATATCTCGCACTTCTCTCCCGACGAGATTTCACAAAATTACGGAATACTTGTTGGTTTTTAGCGTCGCGAAGACAAAGAGCATATTCGTGACCGGAACCTTAAACTCCTTTCCACCAAAATTCAAATCGGAATGGAATCCGTAGAACACGTGTGCTGGCACCACGGATTTGAGTTCTGTGTCCCGCCTCGATGTTAACGACGTACTCTGCCATACGCGCCCATAACGATGAATGATGATTAAGATGACTCAACATAAGCGCTCGGACACCTCACACGTTTCTTTCCGCCCAGAATCGCCACGAGAAAACAACATCCTCAATCTGAAGATTTTTCGTCGAACAGCGGAATTCGACACTCATGAGAGGTGAATTCCATTAACGTCGAGGGTTCCCATGGTGGAACCAGCATCCTTCCATATCCAAGCATAAAGGGACTCGCGGGTTTCACCCATAATTGAATTTGAATCTAACGAAAATAACATAGGATAATGTCAGAACGAAGGCATCTGAAAGATACACGCTGCCGCTATTTCAATCTTCAGCTGAACTCTCAGGGAAGTATGATAATGAGGAAAAAGTCGCTGTCGACATGGCTGTCGCATCGACACTCACCGAAGCAATCACGTGTTGCAAAAACCCCGTTTCGAGGAACATCCGACAACACGTGAAGCAGTATCGGCACAATTCCGCTCCCGGCAAAGAGCTCGGGCGAGCGAAATTACTAGTCGAAACCGTTCTCTCGAACTCAGCCCCACAAGTATTCGCTTCGATTTGGAAATCATCTACCAGGGGGAAGGAGTTCATCGAGAGACCGACTCCTGGGCTCGGAGATCCGACTGGGGGCTTCTGCTAGCACAGCTGGACCGTCAGATGCGCTGCGAATTCGCTGCCGCATGATGAGCTCGCGTGTCGGGGGCTTGCAAACCTTCCGCGACGAGCGCAGTAAGCCCCATTGTGTAGCACTTCCAGAAACAGGAAATATCTGGAATCACCAATCACAGAGCTTCGTTCCCATGCGGACATCTGCCGAGACGGCCATTGAGGAGCTTTTCCACGATGAGCGGGATCGGCGGACGGTATGGTAACCGTGACCGGGTTCTACGCCGACGGATTGTTCTAATAATTCAAACAGTCGTTGCAAACTGCTCAGAGGGAATTCGTTCGCGGGGGCAAGGATCGGCGATGAACTCCAGCTCTAGCTCCGGGTGTTCCACTGCGTAAATTTCCAGTCATCACCATATTTTTCAAAATAATGTCACTGTCGATCCGGGTTTCGGGCAGGCCGGTTCCCAGCCGATTCGGGGCGGAACACGCTGAATTCTTTGATGTTTCGGCTTATCTCGTAATAATAACCCAAGGTTGTGCCCTTCGAGACGCTTTTGACAGTTTTGTGAACGCCGACAACACAAAGTGTCCGCAGTTGCGAACACCACTTCCCATTGGCTCGGTGAAGCGTCAGCGACAACGATGAAGCTTTCGAGAAAAATCAGCGAAGGAACATCTGACGTAACGCGGTCGCTAGTGAAGCGATACATTTTTCCGCGCGCTCTCTCTTACCACGAAAAAGTCTCGCTGCCCCTCAAGTGTAGATTACTTTTCGAGATCGCTCTGGACGTCGTCGTCGTCGACAAGTATGACGGCGCTCGTCGCTCTTTCTTATTCTTAGCCCTTCCTAGCGATCGAGAGCGCATTGTTTTGAAGCGCCTCTTGGGTACTCGTGGTTCAACAGAGCTCGGGTTGTCAACGACAACTCAGCGTCAGCCTGCTGAGGAGAGGGCATTCCTTAATGGAGCTGCTTGCAAAACAAGACAATCTTGTCGTTGAATACACCACAAACCGAAATTCTCCGCCAGTGACCGCTAGATCAAATTAAAAAGTTGTGAAACACCGTCAGTGATAACGAGCCTCCAACAGATGATCGTTCGCATTTCGGTCGAACAGAAATGGTAAGGGATCCGCACTGGTCGCTGTGCGATCCAATTTTCCCACAGAATATCTGCGCAGCAAGCGCAATCTCTTCACGAATTACTCGGTTTACAGATTCGCGTAATGTCTGTTTGGATTCCTTGAAAAGGGGTTGTCGGCGACGCAAACGCGGAAAATTCCAGAGCAACTAGTTTCAAGGCTACAATCGTTGATGATCAGGTGGGAATCGATGGAAAATGCTGCTCTCCACTCGAATCAGAAATGAGCTGAACTTGGTCGGCGCCTCGAAACTAACGGAGTCACGTTCCGTCGCCGGGAACAATGAGAACGTGTCGTCGAACCGAAAACCGTCCACCGAACAATGCGCTTTCCGGCTGATGCGAGCATGAGGTTGGTATCTTGGCAACGTTCTCGATTTCAGCCCTCCAAGATAAGGGTTGATCGATGGCGCAGCGAACGGTCCTTGGGGCTTGAACGTAATCCGTCGTCCACAGGACACACTTCTAAACTTGGCAACAGATTTTCTCATGGACTCTTCTAAGCAGACATCTATGCCTGACCTAAACCGAACAATGATCGCGTCCGGACTTAAGCAGACTGATATTCTATGCAGGACGATTTGAACGAGTTTGCTGGCACCAATCGATCAGTCAGGTGATTCGGAATGAGAGAAAGACGCTATGATGTGGTGCACCCCCACAGAAGAAAGAGAAAATACTCAGCGAGTGGAACAACGTTCTTTTCCCTAACGACGAAAGAATGATCCGGGACGAGGGAAGATGCCTGGTCACCAGAATGCATCACAAAAGATTTTGAGAAAAAACAGAATCTCAAACTCGGGGAGCTGGCGCCCACAAGTGGGAACAGATGTGAATAACTATTCTTGATCCATGTCCAGAGCAAAAATTCGCTTCTGGACCGTTAGTCGTAGTTTTTTGTGCTGGAATTTCACTTCACTGTGCAGAATGAGCGTCTTTCACAGAGCAAGTAAAACTTTGACAGCCAACCTTTACCCTCGACTGAAAAGGGGAGAAAAATTCCAGAATACTACGGCAACACGATCAAACGGAACGATTTTCGCTCCGAACGAAAGACCCAGAGCCCCATTTTTAAGCCCAGCACCCTGAACGAGTTTTCAGGTCGGACCTTGCACCAATAGTGGCGGGTTTCCAGCAGCAAAACCCACGGATCTTTCCCGGACTCGGCTTCCACGAAGCACCTTGAACTTCTTGGGAACTCCAATCCGGTAACCCGATTCGAGGTAGGACCGGGCGCGGGATCGATCACTAGCAATTACCCTTCGGGTAGGAGGGCTCGGGCGACTCCGATTTCTGAGCGACTTCTGTAACATCGCTTTGACCACGGTCCGGAATCTTCGAATCACTCGACGATTCACGACTGCCGCGAAAAGCCAGAGAAGTCGGGGATTTTTTTCGAGAGCCGGAAGAGTCACCTAGTTGAGCAGCTGACTGTGAAAACGCGGATTGACTTGCACAATGAAGCATGGACAGTCGCTATCAATTGACTCCACAAACAACAAGAGCGGCCAAGAGTTATAATTTCAGGCGATTACTCGTGCACTTGCCCGCCTGCTGCAGAGCGTATCTCATCGAACGCTCGATCTGCATCGTCAGCCCCCGCCTTGATTTTGACATAGTGGCGAAGATAAGTCCTTAACGAAGACCGGTCTTCTATTGTGAGAATTTCATCTTGTCGACAGCACCAATCAGACGTTCAGCATTAACCGATTCAATAGCGCCTCATTTGATTGTCGGGCGCGACCCGTTGCGGAAATCCCGTAATAAGCGAAGGTGAGCCTGCGATTAGTAAATCACGCTGGCGTAGGCGTAGATCCCGCGCAGTAGAAACGAGAAGGGTTATGGGAATTGATTCACTTCGACCCTGCACGGGGTCGTGTTTCCGACTCCGTGTGGAATCTCAGGATATTCGGAAGACGGCCGACACACAGATAATTCACAGCTCAAATCACATGTCGAAGATTTCTGGTTCGATGAGGAAACGGAACGAGGATTTCTCCCCATGAGAGCGAGAACTGTCAAGGTGAGGACACAGCGCTGAAGGGGGCATTCGACACCTACTCGGCACATCACGGTATACTCGGTATCGTGTCTTCCCGGGCCTCCGCACCGAACTTCGATTGCGGGAAATCGATCACCCTCAGGCCCTTCGGATATCCGGAATAGTGAGTCTCGGAGAGGCTCTCGTCGGACTCGGAGATGTGGGCATGGGTGACCTCTCTCAAATAGTCGCGACTTACCTAAAATGAAATGTGAGCCGTAAACTTACCCAAGCCATTGCGCGAGAGCTAGGGACTGATCTTCAAGTGAGACGAACTTGGGGCGAGCGCCGGCATCGCTGCCGCTCGGTGAGGGCTGCTGTGAGGGACGCTTCCAAAAGACGTCGGATTCAGGGCCGGTCCCGAGTTATATCACAGCCGGATGGGGACTGGCGACAAGGCCCAAGTACTGCGAAACGACAGCATAATTTTTTCGGTGTCGCATAGATCGCATGTGCACCACCGGTTGGGTCATCAACTAGCAACTCGCTTCTCGATGGCCTCACGATGCCCTCCCGATGATAATCCTCGTTGTTCATAACGCTCTCAGAAAGCGATCGGGGTTCCGCGTGTACCCCGGTAGGTGTTCTGTCGGATCCACCTCGTGAGTGGGAGGGAATTTCGGCTCCGGTGACGGTCAATCAATCGAGCCATCATCGTTTCAAGGAGTTCTCACCAGTCAAGTAGCTGAATGCGGTACCGGAAATGCTGATGCAAGTCGAGTGTGATCTATGGGTCTTCCGGCGCCGCTTCGAACTCTTCTTACACATGTACAACTCGAAGCTCCTGCTCACGGGATGATGCGATAGGTTGCGTCAGTCTCAGAGTTCCCGCCCCCGTTAATTTGTTTGCAGCTCAAAATCAGCTCGGCAATGCGAGACTTCCAAGGAGAGGGAACGATTGAATGAGGATGCCGGTATGGACGAAGCGGGATTTCCCTCCTGCGGAAACCCGAAACGCTTGTGTTTATTCAGCAAATACGACGGGAAAACTCTCGCCGTCGGACATCGCTCATAAACAGGATCCTCTCTGAACTCGAGCTGCTCGGTATTCGCTTTTCTAATTCTTCCGACACCAGAGTTGCGATCGGAGAGCACATTCTTCACCCGAAAAATAACAATTTCCGCGCGGATATTAGAACGAGATATTGACAGAGGGAATTGACTCTTCAATCCGTGTTCTGGGCCCGATGTATGGAATCAATTTTACTCTTCAACTACGTTCTCGATCAGAAACACTCGGGTGAACTTCGATTTCCACACTCGATCGTTCGGAGGCGATTCGCTAAGGATAAAATTTCCGATCCTGTTAATGGCTCTTGCTCGTGCCGTCGAGACTTCAATGTCGATATGGAAAAACAGAGCGGGAATACAGTTTTCGATCGAAATACGCGTAGTTTCCTCGGAGGTTCCAAGAAGCGGACATTTTCTGAAAAAAACTCCAAGAAGCGGACAAAGTGGACGAAGAAGGACGTGCTTCTTCCCGTATCACAGCCACGCTCCTGGCAATTCATTTCTCACGTCGATAGAGCTGAGTGAGTAGATTCTCGAAAATCCTCGGCTCGAGCCCGTGACGTCGCTTCATTTGGTCGATAGTAGCTCTGATGCCCTCGAAACATCGAGATTCGAAAGCTTTGAATTCTTCTTTCATCTGAAGCTCGTTGTAGATCGCCTTCACAGTGGTCTCTTCGTGCCCACCTTGAAGATGAGAAACTCTGTCATACCAACTTTGTGGGCCCCGGATGCCGCGAATCGTATGAGTGCTTGTCGAACCTCGTTCTCCTCTGCCCACATTGCGCAGAATATCGCACTTCTGCTGTGGAGATGCTTTCTGCAGGGCCCGGACCAACAGCCACGAGCACTTTCCATCGGTTATATCCGTCCCAAGCTGCAAATGGAACGCTCTCGAGGATTTCTGCAGATTCTCGCTCGTGTACTGAGATGGAAAGAGCACCTTCCCAGAACGACGATTTCGAGATCGCGTGAGAGGGGAGACACCGCGACCTTCTCGACGGTCGATCGGCTGTCCTCTGACAATCGGACGCCTAGTTCATTACCCATATCTACTTTCTAGGTAGGCGAGTCTCTCAGGGCTCGATCCGACTAAATGAGGAGATCGGGAATCCGGAGCCTAAGACTCTTCTATTCGCCAATTCTAAGGAGTAATTACCTTTCCGGACTGATCCCCGTAACAGTCCAAGAAGTCATCTTGAGCCTAAGGACGGAAAATTCGATGTGTTCACGGAAGGAATAGAGAAAACGAGAATTCGTCATACAAAGTCTGACCTGAAAGTCACCTGAAATATATGTCCGATCTGCAGAGCTATCACCTCAGCCGCTCTGTGCATCTCAGGATCGCAGATATCGGCCAAATACATCCCAAGACGAATTGGTAAGGTGAAGGTGTAACACGAGGTCTGGAAGGTTTGAGATGGTGTCTTGGCCTCAACTGTGATCTCCTTAAGTTGGGGCAGAGCGTTCGGAGGTTTCCCGATAGTTCTCACCTTGAGCTCCACGATAGATTTGTAATGCTCCTCGTCGTAAACACCTTTTTTTTCGCTTAGCAAATCCAGACATTGACCCTGGCAAGTCCGGTAGTTGACCTAGAATGCACCAGGTAGTATGTACCTCAGCGTCTCGCGGCTCTCGATTCTTCCTCAAGTCAATATTCGGCATACCTCATGCAAGAGTTCCACGATATGCAAGTACGATTTGTGGGTGCGGAACACGTCTCGGATCACTTTCAGAGAGGCCGCTTCCAGAAGAATGGCGTCATTGATGGCTTTCAAGCCCACCTGACGGAGGAAAATATTGGATCATGAGAGCCCCGCAGAGAGGAGCCCCTGATTCCCGTTCTCGGAGAAGAGTCTGTGAATGTCTCTCACGAAGGAACATATGAATCACCTCCTCGAGGAGATACCAGCATTTCCTGTTCCGTCGCGTGATGCTCTTGTCCATGATGTCGTCCAGTATGAGATAATGAGCCTAAAGGGGGCCGAGAGGACTCTTATCGAATATCATGCCTCTTTCTTTGAATTCGTGAAACTGTCGGCCACAAAATCCGACTCGTGTACCTGGAACATTTCAACCACCCATCCGAGGACGGAAGCGTTCTCCAAATCGACCTCGGAAACTGGACCCGGCGACACGGACTCGAAAGTTTGTATTACCTGGAGCAAAGTTATTCAAAGAATTCTCATGATTCGTAGGAAGCCGAACGGGGTCCATTGATCGCGAAAGTGAAGCTGACCTGTAGGAGTCGCAGGAGTTTGCCATGAGGGACATTGTATTGAACAACTTTGTCGAGCCACTCGATAAGCAATTTCATGCTGGAAGTCCGCGCATCGTGTGAAGGGCGTATCAGCTCACGGATCCTTCCAAACGCTCTTTGGACAACTGGTTGCTCGGCAGTAAACACCTGAAAAAAATGTTCATAGCGAGCCTCCTGAAGCCCTGAATGAGGCCCGGGGTTCGATAGGTGCTACGAGCCAGAACCACCGAGCATTGAGGGTTCATTCCCGCGCATCGCGAGCGCGTGGTACGTCTCCGCGTATTCACTAGTCTACCGAATGTCTGACTTGCGACGAGTAATGTTTCGCTCTCACATCGTCAGCCGGCATTTTAGGGAAGGCCACGGTATTGATCAAATGGGACAAGCTTCGTGATACTCCGTAGAGCTGGGACGCCATAACAGAATTCCATCGATGTTCTACATACAAAGGACCTCTCGAGTCCCTAAAATCTCTCGTGGAGGGGAGACTGGGTTACAGACGGAACCCATTACTGCTCCTCTCATTACCCTGGGGCCCGGAGCCTGGTTCCCGCGGGATTGCTCTTCTCCCAAATATCGGATGGGAAATTCCGCTGCGGTAGCCACGGGGGGGGGAGGGGGAGAATCAGGACACGGCAGATCTCCTATGTACCTACTGCCAAGAGGAGTTCGCAAAGGTCGAAGCGCATACGAAATATTGTGAGAGTCATACCCAGAGACTCCACGAGGGCGTCCAAAAGTCTGTCGTGGGCAAGTATCGATGTCAGATAGCTTTCGTAACTCACCTGGGAGCCGGATCGGGGTTCATTCGGGCTGTTCATCGTTGATTTGTGAGCGTGATTCCTGGCGAGACTGGTTGGCAGAGAAATGTGAGACGCCACATCAGAGGTCATATTCCCATGATGTTCGCTTTCCTCCTCAAGAGGAAGCTCCCCGGCGGGCGGACCCTCTCTGTTCCGCAATAATCGTCGTCCTTCCTTGAGCCGCCTCTCGACTGCTCGTAGAGTAATCCAAAGAAGTTGACTCGTCGCAACATTTATCCCTCCGAGAACTGCAGATCAATCGGAAGCGGAAATTCCGAGCCTGCACGGACTTTCTCTTTATAAGGAGTCGTCACGTCGTCGAATCCTCCCATCATGCACCTTCAAGCTTCTCGGGGCAACTCGATTCATTTCCCATGCCCCTCATTTTATGCATTTATGTACAGGAAGGAGGCCGCGTTCGCTTCTGCACGCGTCATTGCAGTAAAATCCGCTCCGACTCATCGGGCTCAAAGAAATGTCTTCTGATCACTGCCTCAACTAATTCAAAGTCCGCCTGGGGTTCGCAGAACTCAATCACGATGAAGCCGTGCTTCTCGGGGAATTTCTCAGTCCTGGTGTTTTCGATGAACAGGTGCAGTACGGTGCATACGCATTTTGCAGCCGACGGGCCAGTGAGCAAGTTGACTGACTGAGCATCCCTCCACCTGAACTCCGGGTCCAGTGCTCTATGACGACTCGTATAGGAGCGTCCTCTCGATATTTTCTCGTTTTTTTTCGAAGTTCGAAAGCCCCTCCCGCGTAGATTGATACCATACGATATATGTACGATGATTTTTCGATAACTCGGTAATCGAGACGGCTCCCTCCCTCATCACTGATAATAATGAATCAATCTCGAATAGATAATGGTGCCGAACTGGAAGCTCTTCATTCTAGACACGTCAGGTCGTGGTTATGAAGCTCCCCCTATCACAACATCATCATGTATAATATTGATGCTTCAGGCACTCGTGAGCTGAGACTCGATCCATGAGATGACATGGAATTCATGGGAAAGGATTGAGGAGTCGGAGCTGCTCGCTGGAACTCGAAACCGGCCGACACTCCTAAAAGGCGTCTCGCACGGGAGCCGGAGTGTGCCCGTTGATCTTCCGGCGAACAGACGGAGATCGTAGAGCACCTCGTTTGTTGAGATGGCGCGAGCCCGCAAGATGCACGGTTGATCTCACTCTATGGGACAAGACAATAAACTCGGAATTCACCGTTCCGTGAAGCGTGACGCCGCACGGGAGCGGAGCGGGCTCGAGTCGCCCGGTTACCGCAGCGCTTACTCAGAAAACTGCCATCATGGTTCATTGTTACCACTCCATCTTTTATTCACGGCTATTTCTTTCCTCGCGAAGTCTATCTCGACGTTTTTATCGTATATACATATATATAAATTCATGTATATGATCATGATTCTTGTATACCATCCATTTTTCAAAATCGGTATCCGTTGGGAGGCTTTGCGTAGCTAGTTGGGCTACTAACACCAAATTCGCGAAATATCACCTTCAACCAGAGGATCGTTTTACGTTTGCTCACATACTAATAGCGTGAGACTTTTCTCGCATTTAAATAATCGAAATCGACAAGCAGCCGACAGCAGTGTACAGTTTCGCTCGGATGAGATTCGGCCTAACTCGTCAGGTGGGTTACGTCAAGTGTCTCTCTTCTCGCGAGACGGCTGTGAGAGAATGGGTCCGACGCACGGGTTGGGAGTCCGTGTCCGCCTCAATTCGTCTGTGCTGAAGATCGAGTCACCCGTTTCTGGAAAAAAAAATTAAATCATTCGAAGGTGTGTCTCGGGCCAAGGCTTCCCCCCGAAGGGTCTAGGTCTAGGACAACAGCATATCGATACCTCGAACGCTAAAGAAAACAGTGATGTACCTGCTGCCCGTTGGATGCTTGTTCCTGTCCCAGGCGGTTTCGCTTCCTCGAACCTTCGCGATTCTCTTCCTCGACAAGTCTCTTCACGTTCTTCTGGTTGTCTAGCTCGAGGGCGATTTCGGTAGGCACAACCGATCCTGAGTGATCCAATAAGATCGATTCCGAGGGAATGGCTTGCGGCGCGGAGGCGGCTGAAGAACTATTCAGAATATTCGAGACAGCTTGTTGGACCTCGCTATCGTTCGTGTTGCTTATATTGTGGACTGTATGGTGTCCAGACGCCAACTCCTTCTTCGAGCCCTGGGGCGCCGCCGACCCTCGATTGGTGCTCTCCTGGATTTTCCGGGGCGGCGTGAAACCGAGCTCGCACGGCAGATAGAATTTCGAGTTTTGGGGAGTACTTTTATCGGGCAACACGAATAATTTGGCGGGCAAGCGAGCTTCTTGAGGAACTTCCCTCATGTTGAAGTTCGAAGTTTTAGCCATGATCAAGGCTAGAGTGAGGTCGCATATCGCATACAGTCGGTGGTTTGCGGTTTCGCTCGTTGGATCCTGACGGTCTTTCGATCGTTTGATGCCCTCCAAAAGTTTCTTGAAATACGAGAACGAGTAGTTTTCGTTCTTCGTGCAATGCGGCTCCAGTTGGAACCACAGGCACTCTTTGATGCGATTGAGAGCCGATACATCGGAGGGATCTTCGTACAGAGGATCGTGGGCCATTAAATGAATCAAGTATACCACTACGTAATCGGGCAAGATCGTGAGCAGTTTCGCTGTGGTGATCGGATTCGCTTTGAGGTATTCCCGCCGGCGAGTGATATTATTCAAGAGATAATGTCTCATCTTGGCTTTGAGTTGGGGTCGAGGCTCAATGCCGCCGTACGACAATAGAGCCATAAACTGAAGAGGTAACTGTAGGGACATGAGTCGTTTATGGAGCTTGGCCGCGAACTTCTCCCGGACCTCGTCGACGGGATCGGTTATTATCGTCACGAGTCTCTGGAACTGGGACTGGGTGATGACGTCGGCGTAAACCGTGCAAGAACATACTTTCAAGATACAGGAGGCAGCCCACAGTCGCAGATAAGATTTCTCGCAGTCGCTGACGTGTTCTTTCTCCATGAGATCGCCTTGGTTTTTGAGCATTCGCACCAACAGTCGGAGGGTACTGGCCGCATTCCCAGTTATCGCCTGCAAACTCTGCTCCATCTCAACCTCTTGTTCGGGCTGAGCGTTCTGTTGCTGTTGTTGATGGAGATTCGATAAACCCACGAGCCACCGACCCATCATTTTGAGGCCGGCCAGCTTGCAACGCGTTTCATGCGGCAGAGCATCCTGGTCACACCACTGCAACTCGCTCATGCGGGGCTCTTCTTTGTCGGTCATCAAGAGCTCCTTCACAACAATTTTACTGACGATGCTCTTCATTTGTTGATAGAATGTCTCCGGCAACAAGAGAGCTATGTGTCCCAGTGATACGAGGGCGGTTTCGAAATTTGGCGATTCGAGAGTGAGATGATGCTTGAGGTGATCGATGACGACGCCGAGGACTCGGTCCTTGTTGAATACCATGTTGTAGAGACATTGAACGGCGTACTTGGCTTGTTTTGGGGTTCCGTTCTCGACGAAGTTCTGAACTACGGGCTGTATGCGCTGCGCTATGTTTGGGAAACTCACTTCGAGATCTTTGCTCACGTTCGACAGGACCAGAAGCGTCTGGACTTGGGTGCGCGCACAGTCGAAACCGAGGAAATGATAGATGATTTCGAATATTTCTTCCGTCATGAAAGCGTTCGGAAAAACACCGGACAACGTGTGCAACAGTTCCAAACCCCGATAGCCGGATTGCGAAACGTTGCACTGAACGTCTATCTCTCCGTTGCCACGGAGAGAATCTTGAACGTATTCGAAAATTTGCTTGATGCCGGACGAATCGATGACGACCGGCGCGATTCTCTCGAGCATCTGCTTTATGGTCACGAAGAACGAGTTCGTCTGTACGGGGAGACCGAGAGCTTTCAGAACTTCTTTGACGCTCTGCTCGGCGTTTGCGCACGTTGCGCTCCCATCCAAGATTAGAACCATGTGTTGATATGTTGTGGGTGAGGTTTTGAGCAGCTCGGCGAGTTTAAATAAATACTCTTGAGCTCTGACGGGCTCGGGCAGGTTTCTCGCCATGTGAACGATCCGAGTTTGTAGCTCCTGTTGTCGGTCCGCGTCGTTTTCTTGACCTATCAGCTGCACGACCTGTTTGATCTGTTGTCGTATGGCATGTTGGCATTTCAATATTTCGATGAGGGCTTTGACGGCGTGCTCGTCGCAAGTTGCGAACAGCTGGTACAATTTGAATGTTCTCACCTGCGGGAGGAATATTCTTGCTCAGAATCAAGCGAAGCCCTGCTCTATCATGCTGCAAAATTTTCTCCCAAACATCGACCTGCTCGGCTCTGAGGGGGCTACTCACTTCGTTTGGTAACTGATAAGGCACCAGGCAGCTGTGGAGGATTCGCTCCACGATCAATCTGTCCTCAAGCTCACTCTGATAGTAAATGTGAAGGACCTGGGGGAGCGAACCGTGAGTCTCTGATATCGAGGATGAGTAATCGACAATAATTAGACAACAGATCTATCGATGTCGCCTCATTCTTGCCTTGTTTTTAATCCAGGAAATGCACTCAATTATATTGGGATCTTCGGTCTCACTCGGTCCACAGGTGAGATTTTTGTATATGTGCGCTAATCCCAGCAGAGCTTCTCGTCGAACCTTGAACTGGAATCAAGGCATAATGAAAGGCGTCATTTCGGATTAAGCGAATCGCGATGTCGGGAAGGGCGATCAGTGACCTTTTAATCCTAGATGTTGAGAGGCATGCTTTGACCTCGAAACTCACGTTCTTGTCCAGGGTTCGCTCTTTAACAATGTTCAGGAGATCGATGCTGACCGATTCGAAATTTTTCTTCGCTGCTTCCACAATGGCCATCACAACTTCGAATCTGAATTATCGGAATGTGGTCAAGCTATGAGATCTAACCAATGGGCCTCAAGCACATGTACGGTATCCAAGAGCTGAAAAGCCGCCGGGGGAACTAACCTGACGCTTTCGTTAGGGTCATGTTGCCGTGTCTTGAGGGTGTTCGTGATATCCGCTCTCAGAGATGGTTGGTTCAAAAGAAAATGCATCGAGTATTGAACGCATCTCATACGGACCTGAGGACACGATCTCAGTTTATCATAAGCTCCAGGGGTATGTTTCCCGGGCTTCAATTGGTAATTGACGGCTAGAAGCTCTAATCGTCGAGCCTTGCGGAAAGTTCCTAGGGCGTGTGGAAACAAACCTGGAGCTTGATGTCGTTGAAGCGGCCAACGAGCGCATTCCATAGAGCGGGGTACTGACCGGCAAGGTTCGAGTTCTTCTCAGAGAACATTCGAGCGACCAATTTCGTCACCTTAGGGATAAGAAATTGAGCAATGAAATCCGGTGGCGAAAGAGAGACGAGTTCCTGTATCAGGCGCCGTGCATTCTCATTCTCGAGCCATCCCACCGAAAAATACGGTCGAGTGCGATGAACGAACCTCTAGTCTCTCGTTGTTCTCCTTGCATTTCAGCTTCATCTCCAATTGAGGCAGAACCCCGGCCATGGTCTCCGGCAGAATGTGATTCAACTCGTAGATGAGCTCGTAAATTGTCGGAATGAGAACTGAGCCACCGGTTTTCCCAAGGACCAGATAGTTATTGAAAAAAGATTGTAAATGGGGTCGCAAGGCATCCTTTGTATTCTCAAGTATTGCTCTCGACAGCTCCGCGGCCACCTAGAAATTTCACGGAAGTTTCGCAACCGAACGCGGATCAGGTATCATGTGACGTTCGTGGAGTCTTTGGGCGTCGCTCACATAGTACAGAGACTTACCTTATGCGTTCCTTTTTTGGGCGAAACAATGTAGGCAAGAAGAGTGTCCATCAATTTTTGGGATACGGTATCAGCTTCGTTGATCAGAGGACACAGCATATTCACCATGAAGGATCTGACGTTCGAGCTGTGGAAATCACTGCGGAGAATCATATGGAAGAATATCATGTTAGAAATGATTGATATGATTGGAAATAGATGTCCGATCAATGTATCCATCCGTACGATGGGTGGGGAACGGCTCGAAAGCTCTAACTCACTTGACAATGGAGAGGATGAGAGCATACAAGTTGCAGATGATGAGCTGATCACACTCGATGTCCAAGCAGATATTGAAGGTTTTGACCGACGCCAAGTTTTCGAGGAGATAGAAATATCGCTTGAAGGTCGGGTTCTTCGGATCTTCCAGACCTATGAGTCACAAGCGAATCAAATGAATTCCGGATAAGTTTGTCCGAATGATAGAAGTCTCGGAGAATCTGTACAACCTCGGTGAAACTGCTTACCTCTGAGTTGTTGGATGAAGAACTCGAATATGGCTTTCAACTGTTCCGGATCTTTATACGGGGCTTCAGGCGCGAACACCCTGTGGGAATCGGAAACTTAGCTCGGAGCCTACTTTGAGAATCCCGTTCAGTCTTTATCATTGAAATAGCAGTTGGCACCCGAAGAGCAGCAGTGAAACTGACCTGAAGACATCGGCGATGCAGCAGGCAATCAGAAGTCTGACGTCCTTCGAGTGATGATCCAAGAAGAACTCCGAGGCGAGATGCAGAGCCAGATCGGAATACCTCGAATTGTCGTCCTCCTGATTCATGTTTTGGAAGGCCTGCGCACATTCTTTCAGACGCCTCGCCAGATCATCTTCCGGAAGCTCCGCGAATATCTCCTTCACCCCCGGCGGGTAAACCACTTTCAGATGTGCCATGTTTGCACAGGGTTCAGCCGAGCGTTCAAATCCTCGGACCGCCGATACGCTTGCCAGACATCACCTAAAAATAAGCATCGGTTTCCGGATTTTGTTTCTGACTTGCTTTCGACAGCGTAACAACTGTCATGCTCATTCGTGAGAGGCAGGACTAATCGACTGATCGATAACATCTCAATCTCGCGGTAGTTCTAAACTCCCGACGAAAAACAAGAGCCAACAGAAGCCAGCGTTCATCATCGATTGTAGATATTGTGCGTGGTATTCAAGCATCGACCATCGCTCTCTTCACGGAACGGAGCGCTCCATCCCTCATATCGCAATCACGATGTTCCTCGGGCGTTTCAGAGTCGACGCGATTTGAGCTCGATGCTGAGCAAGTCACCTTCCCTGGCCACTTCGAAATCGCTTCCAGTACTCATAGGAAATTGATTTGGACAGCTATCTAATTGCACACTGGATTCTTCGCCACAGTAAGCTTCGCTCTGACTCAGCACGAACTTCCAGCTCCCAGGTCGCTGCAAATAAGATCGTTGTGCCCTATCTGACGAGCATTGAGCGGTCACTTGGGACAGCTCGAGCAACTGAGGTGCTCCGAGTTTATTCGTCAGAGTTCGCAACACAGATTCAATCGAATTCATGGCCTAGGTCGCTGATTCGGTGCTCGACTGTTTTTCGCCGGGGATCGACTCGAGCTCATTCCTCCCCGGATCGGTGAGCTTTTCGCCCTGATACACGGCCAGCCTCCTGGGAAACAATCAGTGATGACGGGAGGACGCATCGATGGTCTTCGACCGGTTCGCCCCGATCGATGCTCCTGCTGTCAATGATTCGCTGTCGTTTTAGATCCCTGAGTTTTGCTCCGACTAAAACAGAGAACCCGGAGCGGGGCTTCGGGAAGAGAGCGAACCGAGCTGTCTATGAGTTTGTTTACCTCGGACAAAGTGTCGTCCCCAAAAGCGTTTTAGGCTTAAGATTGCGGTGGTGCCGAGGTACGTAGCCTTGTTTAGGATCCCAGTTAGGTCACCACAAGCACCACCCACAGTTGGGTGCTAGCCACTTCCACGGAAAACACGTTTTTCGCGGCCGATTCCTACCGAATCGAACGTCTGCCGGGAGATTGGACTCTTTCAAGAGGAAAACTTCACAAAATGTCGCCTAGATGGCGGACATGGCGCTCGCGTGGCGAGGGGGCTTGCGCGCCCATTTTTGAATCTGATCACTCACCGAGCTCCGATTTTCGACTCGAGGGACTTCACTCTATGATTCCTTCTGCCGGCGCGGCTTCGTCAAGTGACCCAGTAAGCGGCCAGGACACCGCAGCACGGTTGGGAAAGTTGTCATCTTATGACCGCCTCCACGGGGAATCTGTCAAGGTGGCCTACGAGTGTGACCTTCCTGGCCCTGCGGGCATCGATGACGAATTTTCCTGATCAGAATCTTTGTCACAGAATAGATTACGATTAGGAATCCATCGCGGATGAACTTCCTCGATCCTGCAAATCGGCCCATACATCAGGAACATTTCGGGTATTCCGCGCGCCAAATCGATCCCTTGAGGGCACCAATTCAAAGGGTAACACGATGTGAACGAAACATGCTGAAGATGAGCCGAGACCGCGCATCCTAGATACTCGCTTCCTGGCGATGTCCGGAATGTCTGACGAGATGAAGCCTCTCAACTAAGTTTGTTGCGCCGAGGAGAGAGAGGGGAGAACTCCATTCGGGGAACGCCGCGATTGAGCGCCCCGAATCATGACCAGCCAATCCGGCTATGCCAAGCGATCTGAAGTCTGTCAGAAGGTCGATTCCGCAAAGGAAATCCTTCGACGTGAGCCATTTTCTTTCCCCAACGCTCGGGGGAGTTTCTTTCCGGCCTGAGAGAGCGCATTCGGGAATCTGGCTCTGAGAGACCTCGACAGACTTGCTCGACGTCTCGGCAAGCTCCGAGTACTGCTTCGGGCCTCGGCTCAGCTCTCGGCCGACGTTGGAATCGCATTGTATACTGGTGCTGTTGTTCGAACATAGGCTCCAGTATCTCAATGACTTTCCCTTCGAGTGTTCGCCTCCAAAACGCGCCTCTGAAACTTGTCGAACCGAGGAGTCAAAGTATTTTAGGCAGGACTTTCTCTTGTTGCTTATTATTAATGGCGACCCCAATCAGGCAGGGACAAGCCCTCTCCGACGGAACCTCTGCGGAACAAGGCAGAAACATGACGGAATATCTCAGCTGATAAGTCCAAATAGCTCCGACTCGCGGTGGATTCGCATTCGAGACTTGGCGCGCAATGACCCTCGCCACGCGAGCGCCATGTCCGCCACTCACTCAGACGACATCTGTCGAGGTTTTCCTCTGAATGAATTCGTATCTACCCTCCTATCTCCAGGCAGATTCCCGAGGCGATACTTTTTGGAAGATGCTTATGAGAATCGGTGACAAGAGATAAATTGCCTCTGAAATGATATTTGCAGTGAGGCGTGAATCTTTTTCGTCCAGCAACCCGGCTCGGATTCTGAGGGATCGTCTATTGTCCGAATTGGGATATCCAGATGGAGGCTCGGATTTCCCACTAGTCTTAGCATCATCCGACTTCCATCGCGGCCCCTGAGTCGGAATTTAAGAGCACTGGATGCCCACCCGGGGCGAACCATTTTCGAGGAAACGTCTGTCGAGTTCGCGATTGTGGGAGTTTTCTTGCGGACGCGGCCCCAGACTCCGTGACAATGTCCGCTGACAAAATTATGTGCATTCCTCTCCCAGATTACGGTAGGGGATCCCGATGATTGATATGCGTGCGTACGAAGCACTTTTTCCCTCGAGGTCGATAATGCTCCCGTCAACGTCGTTGATCTGGCTAGCCGTCAGCAAGGACCACAGAATGTCCCAGCGGTTTAATGGGTAGCTAGAGGAGAAAGGCTCCAGCCCTCCTCAACGTCAAAGGAAACTCTGCTCTCCACTTTTGAGGCTCGTATCGGAGGATTTCCACCGTCGATTGTTTCTTCTCTACCCCGCCTCCCGGAAACTCGATTTTCCCTTGTATGCTCTCGACTTCTTCTCGCATGATCACCTCATCAAACAATTCCAATAAAATACAAACATTTGAAGCTTCGAATCATATCGGATCATTGTCGGGAAGCTGTGGAGACCTGGAGGCGTCGAGCTCCGCGAAAGAGATCCTCGTCCCCTTTCTCGATGTGAGCCTCCGACGGTCCCCTCCGACACCCCCTCATAAACTATCGATTATACGGGTTATCTCATGGGCTCGGTCGATCATAAAAGACCAGTAGCTCGTCTCGCCGAGGACTTTCCGGAGAAATATACCATTGATCATGTAATTCATCTTAGTCTCTTCAATAGTGCTCTCTTCGGGATGCTCCGATTTACGACGTCGTTGCCCAGTTTCCACTCTGACTACCTGAGCGAATAGCTCAATACATGGCGGCTTTTGGCCCTGGCAGCCTGTAGTATCCGGTTCAGGGATCTGCCCCCGCGAACGGCTATTCCAGAACCAGAGTGCTTCCGTCACGCTTGAATACAAGCCCCCCGGTCTCATTTTCAAGGAAGTTTCCCTGAATTTCGAATTCTCTTTGTTTAAAATGAATATCTCCTCCAACCCAAAGCCGCCCAGTCTAGCCCGGGAAGCGACAGACATGAGCCGGAGAGTCATCTAATTTTTTATGGACTCGTTACGAGACTCAAAGGAAGAATACCCCTCAAAGACGTATCTGATCCCCGCGAGCTGCCTCCTAGCATCGTTCGAAAGACGCTCCGGATGCTTCAGTTCGACCGAGCGAGACGGCTCATCCACCGTTCGTTGCCTGTTGGAGTCTATCGTTCCGCATAGCTCCGCCCGGATATCCCAGAGGATGGTAATGATTGTGCGTGTGCCGATGTCATCTCTATCTCTTCAGGTATCTCACGGGGAAATATTCCACGAAAAGTAAGCGAGAACCAGTCCTGTGGTCCATTAGTATTTTAATTTCGATCACGAGAAATCCGAAGAATCTCCGGGAAGAGCCGTGACCGGGGTATCGGCCGAATTCCGCAGGAGATTCGTCGGAAGGAAAAGTCCTGTGGAAAGCCCCCGTATCAAATAGCATGGAAGGCTCGGATGACCCGATGCCACATCGACAATTGGACATGCCTCTCGGACGGGGCATACGGACCTCGTTCGGAGGTCAAAGTCTGCCGAGTTCTTCTATTGGAGGGAATTTTCGGATATGCGGGACGACACCATGTCCTCACCATCTGGGAACGGGTTCATCCGCTCTCTTACGGCAGTCCAACTCCTTCCATCAGATGTTGAATGATGGAGTTGTGGAAAAGTCTTCCACAACTCCATCATGCACCAAGAAGCGGGAATACTCCCTCGAAGACCCGGGAGCCGCTCGAGATTCTCGGTACAATCCGGTTTCGGAATCTTTCTCCGGGAGAAGTGCGAATCGAGACGGTGTCGCACTGAAACATCATTGCTTATGGCGGTCAGTCAAAAATCAAGGATCCGACACGGGATATTATCCACTCCGATATTCTCAAACAAGATTGCCCGATAAAGGTTCTCCATCGGATCGAGAGATTTTGGTCCATCGAGGTCTGTGAGTACCTGATTCGCTTTCACTGGGACCATCCGGCAGCCTCGCAAGCAGCACAAAAGAGGGTGTTCCCAGACAAGATGGTCCTTCGTCAGTGAGACATGGGCCGCGATCTCTTGGACTTCGCATGAGTGAATTCTGAAAAACCCTGCACGTTGCAACCTTGCTTGCTGAGAGGAACTAGACAAGAGTCGAATGGGCAATCTTCATGACGATCACTGGACGACCGCCGCCGAGCTCCACAGAGGAGTATGAGTCCTAAAATTATTTTCGCGGACTTAAGATCTACCTAACCTTCGTAGTGCATGAGCCTCTGCACTTCGGCATGTCCCCGATGAACGCCGTCGCGGGAAGGAATCCAGTCCTCGGGAAACTCGCTCAATTAGAAATACCTACTCACATAGAGCAGCCGCTCAATCTCCGCTGCACTTGTTAGCGCGACACGCGCGGTGATGCAGTAATTGGCATGAAGTACTTGTTTTGATCAGGCCGTTTGATCGTCCATAGAGGATGTCGGAGCCAATACCCATGCAGGGGCTGAGATTATTCTTCAGGATAAGCCGCGGTTCAATATCGAAATGCTCAGGTTATCGAAACCGAATCTCGAGCAAAACTCGAGATGAAGTCACGATCGAGCGGAATCGTTCAGCCTGACGTGATCGATAACAATGACGTTAGATTATGTCGAGGAGCTGAGGGCGTGCCCACAGAGAGTCGAGAAGGAAGTCGCTACACGCTTCAGCGTTTCTCGAGCTCGTTCTCCTCCTTGGGCGGGAGACGCGCGGAACTCATGGACGAATCGACGACGAACCTTTCCAGGGCATCGCACGAGCAGGAATCATATTTCCTCGACGAATTCGGCGAACATACATTCACAAACATAGGCGCGGCGCTTCGAAGCTCCTCAAGTTTCTTGAATGAATTTCCCTACAGATATCCGAGAAGTGTTTCCCCCATCCACGACTGGCTTCGGGGGCATAGATTCTTGACCATTAGCCAGTGACGCGACGCCAACGGAGCGAATTGAATTTTTTCCCCGGACCGGGACGACTTACGACCCGTATTTATAGTCGGCGTGACGTGTTATTGCCCTTGGTGGAAAAGAGGTGAGTCGCTATCACTCTACGCCTTGCTCCACGTTGTCGCTGTTCCTCTGAACTATCTTGCCACAGCTGTCGATATAGTTATGCTGGAGGTGAACTCCGAAACGCCTGTACGCGTCTCGTCCCCTGACCGAGGGATACGCAAACCCGCTGAAACAAATCAGGGTACCTTTTTGCCCGAGATGCTGGAAAGAACCGACGATGGCAAGAGAAAACATCGACATTCCGAAGCGGGGACCCCCTCGACCGCCTTCGCAGCACATCGGGTTCGCCATGATGTCTGTCTCACATAGTGGAGGAATACAATGGGCTTCCGACTCAGCTCCTGATCATCGATTGAGCGAACAAAACCAAATCGGAGGGGTCATGACCTTCGTGGGAACCTTTCTCTGTTTCTTCAAACCAGAACAGCATCCGGAGACAATTTTTCCCGGAGAAGATCGCAGCGCGTCGCCAGGAGGAACTTTCCCGGCGGGGTTGGCAGAGGCAAGTTTCGGCGCAGAACACACACGCTCAATACAACTCTTATCCAGCGAGGAATGAATTACTCTTCCCAGAGGATCCAATTCAGGCTCCGCGCGGCTATCCAGAGTGGCGTATGGATGTTTGCCATTATCTAGCGTTCGATGTATGGTCAATGAGTCGGGCTCCGCGGGAAGTGATTCGGAAGAAGAGAGAGCAAAACTTATTGACGCGCCGTCCCCCAGTCCCTCCCCCCTTCAGGCAAAAAAACGGACTTCGCGACTCGCGGTGCGTGTTGGCGGCTCGCAGGAAATACGCTTTGGCAAACGAGAACGCTCGCCGTTAATTAAAAAAGTGGAAGATCCTCAGTTTTGAGGCTTCCCACGTTAGAGCCGACAGGAATTAAATTCCTCGATTTCATGTCGCACACACCGGAGAGGGAGGGACAATAAACGGCGAGGGCCCACCAGGAGAGGACCCACGGGCAGTAGAGGAGGAGGAATATACCAGTGGTGCTGCTGCTGCCGCAGAGGTGGCAACCGTCGTTCGTTCGGCTCAGCAGACGCTTTTCGAGAGGGAACCGCGTGTGTGGGTCGTCTTCACCGTTGGTGCGCCGTCCGTCTCACCAGAGACCGAGAGAAGACTACGCTGAATGATTCGGAGACTCTGAGTGCGGTGACGGCAATCGTCGGTTGAAATAATTTTCTCAAGTCCGAACGCCGGACTCCGGTCGCGACCATCGAACCGAGAAAGTCCGGCTACGTTTGTGTGCTTCCAGGATGGACGTCGTAGCTTCGTACCTGGGCTGCACGGCAGCGGCACTGCGCCTTCTACTCGGTGTCCTTTGTGGTGAGTTTACGGAATGCTGACACAAACATTATTTCATGTCGAGAAGTTTCTCACTGCCCGCTTCGGACTTCATGGATCTTCAAGGCTCGCCGCTACATCGAAAATTCCCCGAATTGTCCAAGGGACCGATTCGATTTTCACTGACACACCGACATTTCAATGTCATCCGTAGATAATGCGCGCACCTGCGTTGCCTCGATTACGAGAACACTGTTCCTTCGAAAGAAGTGGACCGGATTAAGCTCCTAATACCGTCGCTCCGGAACTACTGCCCATCCGATTTCTCAATGCTGTTGGCGCCCCGCACACCGACTCGATTTTCAAAATTGCGGTGCGGAGAGCCACTCAAGCGAGGTGCAGAACGTCGATTGCTCGCCTTGATTGAGCGAGCCTGACGCATGTCACATTAACGACAGCGTGCGACCAGACGGACAGCTACCGTTAATTACAAACCGCAATGGTGTCGAGCGCAATCGAACTCTGCTAACTTGTGGTCTTGGTCGAAGACGACATAACAGATTGGATTGTTCGAATCCCATCCATGAGAATTGGCGGTGAGCGGATAAAGGCGGCGTGAGGTCGTGTTGTATGCGTAGCGCGGCTTGACCTCACGCATGGCTCGCTCACGGAGACGTGGCGCTCGTAGGTAAATCGATTTGTTCGCTCTCCGGACAACTCGCCATCGCTTGACACTGCCGTCCATTTTCATCATACCCTGTCCTGGCGAGAGACATTCTCCGCTCGGACGAAGCATTCTCTCGGCTCATCGTTGCATAGTCATCCGGAGAGCCTCTAATGACCACCAGCTATCGGAAAAGTGCTTCGAATGGATTTTCTCGGGGTATTCCGAACGCGATTCAACATTGATTAGGAAGCCCTTTCGAGGGATAGAGGACACGCCGTTGTCGTCATCGGGGATGTCCGAAGGGGAAATATGGTGATCCCCCCTCTCACCCCGGGCTCGCTACGACCCTCTCGGCGGAGGTGTTGTTCCAGCGCGTTCCCTGGCAGTCACTGACTGATCCAGTCCACGGAAGCGCCGGTCGATTGATCCCTTAAGCGCTGACCCACCTCCTAGGACGTGATGAGACCGGCGTCGGCGGGAAACGCTGATGAAATTTCTGGAGACAAGTTTTCGAACAGCTACTTGCTGCCCCGTCTCGCCTTCTCGTCGCAGGAAAAGATGAGCTGTGATCGGCCTAATCACTTTGCAGACATGTTCGAAGGCCGAGTCTCTCCATGACCTCGGGACATCCTCACGTCCAGATCTCCATGAGTGTTTATCTCGACCCGGTCAGTTGGGGGGCGGGGAAGGAAATCGTTTCTGACTCTTTCGAGAACAGTTCGAAGGCGCATCCTCTTTACTCATCCATGTGTCGCTCGGATTGACCGGAGTCTCCTCATCGTAATTCGCTTTGAGAGAATCTGATGCATTGTATATCGTTTATCATACGAGCAGCCATGATGACATGGAACGCGAGCGTGTCTTCTGCGACACTCCGTGGATTCGGCTCCCCATGCATGCAGAACGAGTCCATAAATGTTTACAATCGCTGTCACGGCATGCCCGATCTATTCGGTCTGTAGAGGAAAGTCTGGAACTACTTTCGAAGAGACCGCGAACAGTTGAGTGCGGAGCCATCGACCGGTGAGTCGGTAGACATCGTTCCGCTCCTTCGCGATCCTTCCCGGATCGAATTTCAAAACACGCACCGTGGAACGATCGAGACGGCGATCTCATTCAGAAGGTTTCCCGAGCCAGAATCACAAATGAATCAGAGGAAGCAGCTCCGCCGAGACCTCTAAGAGACGATTCGTGTCTCGAGCAAGGGCGACTTAGGTCGGTTAGAGCGGCGTCGTCATGCTACCGGTGGGCGGGAAGCGACCTTGAGCAGCTCCAACTTGCCTCCGTTAATTTGAGGAGGAAGTCGTCTTTCACCTATGAAGGTGGAATCCACTGTAAGCCTTTCTGTCTGATGAGGACTTAACGACACGCATCTGCCGTCGAAGAGATAGAAGTGTCATTCCTCCATGGGTAGGGCACCAGCAGTTGATAATTATGATTCGGAAGCCGGAATTAAACAAGGAAGTTATCTTTCCCGGTTTCTGACAGCAACGGAATCTCGCGTAGAATTCTTGTTTTGCCTAGAGATCTAACGAGCGTGAACGGGACAGTTGAGAATTGTAACATTTTATGCGGAAGCTCGATGCAGCTGTTTCCGCTCACCATCCGACCGCACGGAATTACAGGAAAGACTCGCAATTTAGTTTAGCCTTGATTGTTCGAGAGATTCTCCGCGGCGCGGCGTCGAGATCCAGGAGAGCCATTTAATTGTTTGAATCAGCACGGCAGAAAAGTCGTCGTGATCGCTGCGCGCGCAATCCCGGAACCGGCCAATGCGATTGATAAAGCCGGGTTCTCAATCGAATTATTGAGGAATGGTGCTCGGTAGAGATCGGAGCCAGACTCTCGCACTGCTCTCTGGGGTGTGGAACGGCATTCGTCCGCTCTGTCAATACTTCTTTCTTCGACTTCTCGGAGAAACGCTCTGGGGGAACTCCGGAGCGAGATCAAAAGCTTGACAAGATGCTGGGAACAAGCGAAGATCGGATCGGGGTTTCCGGTATCATTTCCGATCTCGTATTCCGAGACTCGAAGAATTCCTAACGAAAGTGTAGTCGTCGTCAATCATCGGGGAAGCCTGGGGCGGGGCGTCGAGTCGTCAATTATCTCTAAATGGAGGAAAACTGGTTTTCCCCATCGTCCAGTTGACTTGAATTGTGCGTAGAGGTCGACCCTTCGCTCGTGACATTTGGCAGCTTACCTCGTCTCCGTGAAGCTGCTCCATTCGGAACGTCTGTGGCGGACAAATTTCTCCGACGGTCAGATATTTCGCTCTGAATCTGAAGGCCGGAATATCTCATCAGGAAACTCGAGCATGCTTCGGCCGTTACAATGGGAGGAATATCTCTGACGGACATCGGCTCTCGTTCTCTTCCTTCTCCTCCGATAAAGGGATTCCGGCTCGTGGATGAGAGCTTTGGCTCAGCAATCAATCGCCGCGGGATGCGTTTTCTGATGAGTGACCGCGGATTTATTTCTGTTGTTGCCTTCTTTTGCCGGAGTTTGCTGACAAGCTTCTGTGGGGGTGGGCAGTCGACCTTCCAAGGCTTCTGAAGGCTTGTGGAAAACGAATCGTCGATTATGAGGATGGCTCCGAACTACTCGTGAATAGTTCCATCGGATCGGGGAATTCCCCACGATGGTGTCGGACACAGTATTCCTTGCGAGGAGGGGGAGAAGCTTCGAGGACGGAGAAGTAGACCAAAGGTCACATCTATCAGCGGTCATATCCAGGAGAAAAAGCGGCGAGGTTCATCTTTTTCGCAGACTAAACCGATACGGACAAGCCTCGTTGAGCTTCATGGCTGACTATATCGCGCGTTTTCAGTAGACGGATTCCCTTCTTTGCCTGACCCATGGCGATGACCGAAGGGAGTCTGGTCACCGGCAAAAATCGTCTGGGTTCGAGCTCGTATCTCATCCGCAAACCGCCCTTATCATCGTTGTGATTGCAAGCTCAAAATTCTGTCTCTCACTATATAAGCCAAATAAGCTGGTTTCATGAATCGCATCCAGCGGGAGATCTCGGATCCGAGGGTCTGATCACTGATCACCTCGACCCGTGGATTAACACCTCAATGAGAGCCCTCGATCCTGAGGACGGCTCTGATTCTCAGATGGAAGCGAATTCTCTCGCTGGTGGGAAACGCGGAAACGAAAACGAGCGTGGATCGACATACACCAGAATTCTGATGCGGGAGACCTCGCGACCTGCCTGAACATTGCTCACCTGTCTCCGGATCTACAGAGAGCATGATCTATGCTTCCGGCAGGGATCTCCTGCGTCGCCTCTTTCTTCCTGATTGGTTTCTGGTTCTCGCTTTCGGAAGCAAGAATGACAACATCGCCTATGAATTCACGTCGATTCTCACAGAAAATTCAAAACGATGGGGCTCAACAGGAGGATCATTTCGGTTCCGATGAGCGTCTTTCAGTCATCGCCGTTCTGAACTTTCCATTCAAGTGGCTCGGGTCAACGTCGCGTCGTTTTTACCGCCATGTGAATTATTGACAGAGCGGGAGAAAAGAAAGGCACCCATGTACTGGTCCGATAGACAAACCGAGTCCTTGTTTGACTGATCGAGCTGGGTTTAAGTTGAAGTTTTCAGTGCTCCCGGACTAAGTCGAAGTCGCTCAAGTCGAGGGTGGAGCTCCCTCCAGGGCTACGGGCTGCTGCTGTCGTGACTCATGCTCTCATTTTTTTCGTGCCGGGGCAAGGAGTCGATCATTAAGCTCTATTTTAGCCAGCATATTATCGAAGACGATTTCATTTGGATTCGTCAAAACGACAAGCTCGGGCGAAGTTCATGTCACAAGCAAGCCCGCGGCGCAACTTGATCCGCCTTCTTCCTCCTCGACCGAAAAACACTGAAATCGGGGATCCGTGCGAGAAACTACGCTCCTCGCAGCGTTGTCCTCGCTCTCCTTGGGTGGTGCTTCCCGGGAAATGGTTAGCGATTCCGATCAGAACTTCCCAGCTCAAGCGAGGCGACCCACGATGAGTCTTGACGATTCGTAGAGATTTCGTCAGTAGAAGACGTAGAAGACCTCTCCGATGTCCCGGATGCTTTGTTCCGATCGGGACGGACGGTTCATCGGCTCAACGATGCATCGATTGTCAAAAAATGAATGAACGGGACCTTCGAGTGGTAGAGAAAAGATGCGCGCCTATGAATGAGCTCTCTGCCGAGTCGAGACGATGGCGCTCGATACAGCTCGCATGTGGTTCGCGAACACCGATACGGGGTCCCAGATGTGATGTGAAACGATGATTTGAGAGATCCTGGAGGCCAATTAGAACACGTCGTTACTAGTTCAGGCCTGCCGAGCGTTCGGGTTCGGAATGTTTCTGACGCAGAATTTGTATTGCGACAGCGCCTTCATCTGCGGCTGGACTTCCTGCTGCTCATTGCCGTGATTCTTGTCTCGCTTGAAATCAGTGTTCTATATTTTGCCTTGCCCGAGCTGTCGCTTTCAAGAGACGCATTCTATGCAGGAGCTCCATCCAATGGTCAAATATGCTGCGGAGTTTTTCACGGAGGACTCTGCTGGTCGTTCTGCTGAGTCAAACCTATGAGGAACCGCTCTTTGTTTGTTCTGAGTGAGACTAAAGTTTCTCTAAACAATGGTCTCGGTCTGACCCACGGGCTCGATGAATTCCGACTTCCATAATTATCTCCAGTGTTGCCGTTCCTTACGCAAGGACTAGTTCACCCCATTAGATGCATCGGACTCCGCAAGTCAAAGAAAACGAGCAGCGGAAAACGGTCCCGACCTCTGATCTCGCATCGCTGCAACGGCCGGCATGTTGATTTGATGTACCGATCAATGATGTCGCCTCCCGAATCGCAAGAGGCCAACGGTTGCGAGACAAGGCGATCGAACAAGACGCGGGCAGCAGCCAAACGAGGTCCGCCGTGAAATGTAAAGCAAACAGAAACACTGGAGAGAACTTGCGCTTCTTGTTCGTCAGTCTCTCGTATCGCTCGATGGCCCTGACTGCTTCCGTGAGCGAGTCCGGAGGTCCATCACGAGACCAATCTGAGACTGTCGACTCAAACAACGAAAGAACATCTCAGCTCTCGCCACGCCCTGTATTTGGGTCTTGACTCTCCTCCTTGGAGATCATGGCAGTTTATCGAGGGAGGCGAAAGAGTAAAACTTCTGTACACTAGAAAAACATTTCTACTGTGTGTTCGATCGCGCCTGTTGGAACTCATCGCGCGCAATCGAGCTGGCTCCTCCGAGGACATCGATTCGAGGATGAGTGTCTATCGCTTCTCAATTCTGGGCAGAGGGAATCCAAGACAAATGAAATTGGTCTTTGGGAATCGCAGAACGTATTTTTGCGATTCCGCAGGAGCATGTATGGAATTTCGTCGCAACGCGAGACCGAGAAGGGACGCCCCAATGCGGCTCTTTAAGGGATGCCTTCTCCAGACTGAGGTATTGTAAATACGTATATCGAACAAGATCTTCTGAGTAGAGCCATTCCGTCTGGGTGCGTATCTCACGCTTGAGCTTTAACGCAGACATCCGAATTCTCTCCGTGACGCAGGCGACGATCGCTCGCACGTTTATGCCGCAAGAGACGGGAGAGCTTATGGAGCTCGGCTGCTCAGACCGTGCAATAGCCACAGCTAGCTCAAATCCCCATGTGGCAATTATTACGATACAATTAGAACATTGAAACCAAGCCTAGTCTTTTTCGAACAATTCATAAACTGCGCCTCCGAAGTGAAACTCCGCAGTGAAGAGAAGGTCAGCGAAGGATTTTCGCTGCAGGAAGTGAGTAGCTTTGATTTCGAGCGGTAAAAGTCTGTTGATTCGACTTCAGTTCCTCCAATTCCTTGCAGGTTACCCGTTGGCTATTGTATACCGCAGATACATCTCTACTCGTAAACCAGTCGTCCAACACGCGTTTTTCACGGTGACGGGCCTCGCCTTGATTATATCGAATTATGGCTGGGACACAATCCATTCCCTGGCAAATATTTCCGTCGTCTACGTTGTGATGCTGTTTGCTGGGCGGACGTCAGCTGCGGTTGCCTTCAATTTCCTATTCACGCTGGTAAGCTCACGGAGCACGAGAAAATGTCCTCGAACCTCTTGATTCGGAAAATCCTCCCAGGACGGTGGATCAAAGTACTCCAGCAGTCCTAACAAGGAAGAATTCCCCCCTGATCCATCAAGGGCTATCTGCTGGCCGGCTACTATCTGACAGCCACTGAAAATTACGACATCAAATGGACGATGCCGCACTGCATCCTCTGCCTCCGCCTCATTGGTGTGAGCTTCGATTACTACGATGGAGGCGAAAAAGATCCTGTAAGTGTCCTATCGCTGAGCATCTTGATTTTTTTCCCATCGTGACCCCAATACGATGGTAATGATGGTCACACCACAGCTGTTTGGTGCTCCGGCTGATGTCGATGCCAAGAGCAGAGAGCTCCTTGATATTCCCGGGTGGTTTCCTGCAAAACTTTCTTCCCTGTCGGGCAGCTCTTTTATTCATCGATTCGGAGTTCTCTGTTGTCCTTTACACCCGCCTTACTCAGCACTAGCACCCTCTTGGGGAAAACTTAGAAATTCCTTGACCCGGCGGACGAAGTCAACGCATCTTGGATTTGTCCGTGTCTTCTGGGGATAATTCCTATCTGCTCGCCTAGCGAATGAATATGATCCGCGTTGTTCAAAGGAGCGCGCCCCTTAGAATTATTCCTTTCTCTCTCTTTCTTCTTACTCTCTATTGAAACTGGCAGGACCTTCAATTTAGGAAGTCAGCGATCTGCGGGCTCGGCAAATTCGCTTCCTGACGCATGATCCCTTGTCCACGCTCGGCGACCTCAGTCGATATGTAAAGCCTGTATTCTCTTGTATTCTTACGGACGGTGGCATAGTTTCCGATCTGTGTGAGAGCCGCGGCGGCTCTCAACGAGACCATGCGCGAAGTCTCCCGAGCTGAGATTTGCACGGCGCTCCACGCAGGAGGCACTCGGCCTATTCTCTAAAGAGTTTTCTTCTCCGATGAGCCTCAAATTAATTCTCTCTGGAACGGCATCCAGCCGAGGAGTTATAAAGCATGGGAATGCAGCATATTCGGTCTTGATCATCGAAGTTCGGGTACATAAGGATTAAATTGCATTTGAGCTTGAAGCACAAGTCACGTTTCATTTTGCCGTGAAATAAAAACACCCATTCTCTTCCAGCGCAGCGAAAAAACCGAAGACGTAGGTCATGGCTCGCCTCTGTTCTTCTGATACTCTCACAAGCTTGGTCTAGATTGAATGTTTCGTGAAAAACCCAGTAACAGTCCCTCCGGTATTCCCTCCGCGCTCTCCTCGGTCTTATCGTCTAAATATTCCTATATTCTAAAGATTTCCCGAAGATTTGAATATCTACGCTCGAACAGATTCCTGACTGATGCATGCGATGCGTATTCGAATGTTCTCCCAGGGTCTGCGTCCTCTGGCCGGGAGCCGATGGACTAGCTTAACTCTTCGAAAATCATAACATCAAAAACGATCCTCGAATCGACTCTCACGGTCTGCCTTGGCCCCTTAGGAGAAACTGCCGATGGACCGTCGCGCAACAGCTTTGAGGGATCTGCCCACGCCTCTGGAGATGCTCGGGCATTCGTACTTCTTCGGCGGTTGCATGGTCGGACCTCAGTTCCCCATGAAGCGGTATCGAGACTTCGTTGAAGGCACTTTGTGGCCCGCTCAGAAGCGCGAGAGCGCAGACAGGTGAGCAAGCCGCGGAGACTCTGAGCGAGAGCATGGGGCACCCAAGTGCATGTTCAATGTCGTTGTCATTGTCCATTGTCTTTCAATCTGGTGCGGTTTCCTCTCGACTAGAAGTCGGGATCAGGATGGCACCGGTTTAGTCTTCTGTCTTCGGACTCCTTCGGGGGTGCCCTGATTGAGGGAGGTCCCCTACGGCGATTCCTCGCGCCAGCGCAGCCTGAGAGGGAATGAGTTATAATCCGAATTTTCCCCCATTGCAGTGTCCCGTATTCCGTACAGCGCCTGCTTTTCGGATTCGCGACGATGGCGCTGCACCAAGTAGGAATTATTTTCGTGAATGAGAAAGTTCTGCTTTCCGAGGATTTCCTGAACAGCTGGAGCTTGATGGCTCGATGGCTTTTCCTCGGACTCTATTCGACTGTGATCCTCCACAAATATGTGGCGTGTTGGCTCATGGCGGTGAGTCATGGATTTAGTTTTTTAGCATGCAATCCGTAGCCTGGGGGAGGTTTGATCACGATTTCCGATGCCATCCAATGGTTGGCCATTCAACTGTATCAGAGGTGTTCTCGCTTCCATGGGAACGTCAAGGTCCCGATCGAATTCCGTCGATTCCAGTTTCAGTTTCTCTTCTTTGATCAGGAGATGTCGTTATCTGCTTGGCTCGGGGGTTCCGGAGCAACGATCCGATGGAGAGGGGGATCAAGACGCTCGAGCCTACCGTTGTTCAGTCGAGCTTAGGGTCTGGAAGCGACAGTTTCTAATGAGAAAGGGAACGTCAGAGGCGAGATGGCGAGAGAGCGTCCTTGCGTGAAACCCGATTCCCCCTTTATTCTTTTCCGCCGTTTGCTAGCGGAGTCACTCCACGATGTTCCTCGAATCGAGTGGAGCAGTCTCTTGGTGGGCTCGTGGGCTGGGTAATCGCTTTCTCCTGGCGTTCCCCCCTCTTCGCGTCATGGCAACCCTCCCTCATCGTCACGGCTCACGAGTTACACCTGGATATCGGACTGACTCGTCTGTCCTAATGTTCAAGCCTCAGTAGCGTCGAGAGAGGGAGAGGATTCTCTTCTGTTGTTCTTACCGGGATACGCCGCGTAGAGGGCCGACTCTCGAGAAACAAAATGCATCAAAGCAAAGGGGATCTCGGAACCTGGATTCTTCTCAAGCGGGTTGAACCCTTCAGGAGGGGAGCTGCTCCTTGACCGGTCTATCGTACAATGGGAAGGACGAGCATGGGAAGAATCGTTGGGATGGACTGCGGAACGTTGGCCTATGGCAGTACGAGACTTCTACGAACTTCGACGGCCTCATCAGATCGTTCAACATAAATACAAACCGATGGGTAGCACAATACGTATTCAAGCGTCTCAAGTTTTTGGGTGAGTCGTTCTGAACGTAACTCCAAAAGAATTATCTGGTGTCCGAGCTCATTGAACCTCCTAGAATGAGAGAATATCCGCTCTCGATTTCGCTTCGGAAAAATCCTCGCCGTGTTTACTCGTAACCCAGAGCTCGACCATATTCTGAGGAAACGGAATATCGTTGGAAAAGCTCAATTCGTGCTTTACGGATGAGCGTGCCTGACGGATTGATCTTCCCTTTTGAAGGTAACAAGGATCTCTCGCAAATCGGCGCCCTCTTTTTCCTCGCTTTGTGGCATGGATTCCACTTCGGGTACTATGTTTCTTTCGTCATGGAATTCTTGGTGATGAAGTTCGAACGGGACATGACTTCGATCATCGACATGACGCCTTCAGTCCGAGCCGTCGTATATCATGAGAAGCTGCAATGGCTCCGTGTAATTTTCATGAGAGTTTACGTCTCCTGTTTGATGGGCTTCTGCATTATCCCGTTCACTCTCCTGAAAGTTCAAAAGTTCCATCGGGTGAGTGTTGAAATGGCTAAGACTAAATACGATGTTTCAACTCAACCCGAGAGCGAGGCATTCCCTCTCCTCTCCTCCTTCATGACTTCATGACGGGCTTCATGACTAATTCCTTCTCCTTCCTCGTTCACAGGCTTACGCCGCGTTCTACTATTTACCGTCTCTCCTGCTCGCCGCGTGGTTGGTGGCCTCGTTCCGCGTTATGCCTTCGCTGAGGAAGAGCGCGAAAAAGAACGGAACAGCAGTGGATGCGGCGAGCACCACCGCGCTAAAGAAGGATTGATCAAATCATCACCGGATCGACGCCTCTTCTTCATTGCGGTCTCCCGCGGTGGTACATGGCGTTGATTTTTTCTTGCATTGGAGCTCCGATTTTCATTTGAAGAAGCTGTTTGGGTTCCGGAAGCGCCCCTGTTGTCGTCTCCGAACGTTGGATATGCGATGACGTCGGGACAAAGCGTCTCCACGATTTTCTTTCGGATCCCTTCGTGATTTTGCCTTACGGTGATCCCAAATAGGTTGTAATATTTTAGTTAGATGTCGATTAAGGACACCGTCCGCTTCGACGCCCTCGAATCATCAAAGGTCTGACCTGATGAAGCCGTGCGACAGATGTTCCACGCCTGGCTCATGCAAACGTAGAGCGGGGTTCATCAAAATCGAGTAACTAGGCTCATCTGCTTCGGCGCGACCTCGGCAGAGATTACGCGTAGACCGATACGGATGCCTTGATCGAGTATTTGGTGATTTCTCTGATATGTGTATCCCTCGGGGGAGCCCCCCGTTATCTGCAAAAGCCGCAGCGACTTCGTGGAGGCATGCCTTTGTGGATCGCGTATCATCGCGAACCGGATCCATTTTCCTCGGTGCGTCACACGAAGCCCGCAGCTCAATAGATACAAGAAACGACGACACCCGAATTTCCCGAAGCCGATCTGCCGTAAGCTACGGACCTGAACGTTCCCGGGATCGACTTGAGGATACGTACACCCTCAGGCAAATTTACGGGAAGGAAAAATCTAGGTAGGCTGCTCCCATAGAAAACACCCGAAGGCAAACGATTTGATTGCCTGCCGCGATTCCTCGCGCCTACATGGAGTGGAGATCTGTTTTTTACGTCCCCCATAGATCTCTCTTGCGACGGACACTTTGGCGGGCCAAGCCCGAGTCCAACCTAATCCCGATGCGGCTCATTAGGGGTCGCGACACCTCCGAACTGAATTAGGGTGCTTAATAGGCGCGAGCGAGATTCTCCTTCTAGAGAGAAGGTCCCTCTGTCGTCTCTGTAAAATAATGAGCTGGTCGCTTGCCGACGATTTGTCCTTCTCCTGATCAGGATTGTTGACGCTTTCTAGATTTTCGCACTGTTTCAAACGGCTACGACTTCGCGCTCGTCGACGAAGGGCAATCATGGTTAAGGCGGAATTTTCGTACCAGTATGTCTTGACGCAAATACGATACGAAGAAAATATAAAATTGGGCGGGAAATGATGCAGGGAGAGCGGGCCGATGCTCACAGCGTACCAAGGGAAGAGCTACTTGTTCACCGCAGCCTACCCATGTCATGCTTCCATGACACGATTCAATACGTTCCGCGCGGTCAAGTTTCGCCTTCGCATAAAATTCAGGGTAGCGGAGCAGTCCGTGGCGATTATGGCTGGAGTGGAAACTTCCCAAGATATTGCTCGATCATGATTCCCTTGACTATGTAAGGCATCGAATCCAAAAAGATAATCAATGTTTAGAGTGCGTTCTTGTGTGGGGGTCGGAAGCCTCGAACGGAGAAGCCCGTCAAATGGGAAATAAGTAAAGAAGCGCGCACAGCTCGACAGCTCCAGTCCGGTACTTGCGATCTGTTAATAAATATGTTTATATAGCACTTCAGAATAATCTTATTTTCAACTTTTTCCTCTTCATGAAATTCGGCGAATTCCTGACTGCGGTAATATCGGATAGAAACATGTTCCATGGAGACACTTGCGAACATTTTTATTCAGAATCGTCGGAAGGCTTCACCATCCCTTCACCACACTCGTAATCTTCGCCTCGAGAAGCGTTTCGACAGCACAGCTCGAGCAATACAAAAAGGGGCCGAGCGAGGGTCTTTTTTCACGTCATACCTGTTGACACGAGTGAAGGGGATATTTACAAAGTCAGGCAACCCGCGAAGAACACCATTAGCTCGGCCGAATAAGTCTTCTCTTCCCACATCCAATCGTGGAATGGCTCAGGGCCGCACGCTCGGCGATTCATGTATGAGTACCGTTGCTAAGGACAGGGCGAATCTCATCGCGAGTATTGCCTGACTATGACGATTTCAACAAGGTCCGACATCCCATAGAGGGTAACCTGAATGGTTTACAGGCTCTACCTCAACCGCAGGGGGACGGCTTGTCGTTGTTATTCGCGCCAGAATAAAATTGCCATATGGACTTGGACAAGACCTGACCGAATATGAATGTTCCCAGAGCGGCGTTGAAGAAGGAATAGCCGATTATCTGCAAGATTGAATTCAAACGTCAGGAGAACTAAAGCGTCTTCATCCGTTTTGGGAGCGTTGACCAATGAAAGCACTAAAAAAATTGATAACCTGTTCTCTGGGAGTTTTATGCAACTGAATTCAAGTGTCAGGAAAACTCAAGCGTCTTCATTCTCTTCGGGAGCGTTAACCAATGAAAACACTAAAAAAAATCGATAACCTGTTCTCTGAGAGTTTTATGCAACTGAGCCGTTACGGTCAATCCTCGCTTACCGCTCGGGTCTTCCATTCTCGATACAGAGGATCATTTCGAGCCACTGTGCAGAGTAAGGCGGTTGCGGGGAAGACGAAGATGAACAGGGCGGCCATTGAGCCTATGCACGATATAGCGACATCTATGTTGGGCAATGAGTATGCTATCAGCAGCGTCGACCAGAACCACGCCAGGGACAAGATTATGCGCTTGGCGAATCGAGCCTGAGCTATACCCGCCCCTGAGCACGGAGGCAGGAGGTCATCCACCGCCGATCTGGAACGAGCGCGATGCAGATTCTCGTTGAGATCGCTGTTGAAGCATGAAACTCCTGTAGGAACATTCCACATTTTCGAAATATTGAGACCACCTTACCTTCCGCAATACATCAGAATTGGGTACGTGGTTATGATCTTGAGGCCCAGCGCGACGAAACCGATCAGAACTATTGAGTGCGACGGATTATACGCTGTCAATATGTCGGCGACGACACTGGTGCCGAAAGTCAGGTAGCCATAGACACCAGCGATTGAATACACTGAGCCGCAGATCAAGATGGCAGAGAGGATCGACTTCGCAAAAGTCGACACCTTCTTGTCCTCCATGCAGGCATAAATCGGGATGGAGCTCACGTGGCACTGCGAAAGGTCAGAACCTCCTCAGATTCGAGGAATGAGAACGGAGTCGGATGGTGGATTTCTAGAGACACTTTTTCCGCTCACCTGATATCCGAAGCAGATGACCGGGATAACCGAGAGTACATCTTCCCAGTGATCCGGCGCAGTTTTGACACCGGGCGGTGCTGGGAAGCCACCCATGTAGTACTCGTAAACCACCAAGCCGACGATATAGAAAACAGCGATTACTCCGAGGGAGCTCGGCCATTTCAAGAAGTCGATTCGTCTCGGGAAGCACAATGGGAGAATGAAGAGAACCCCAATAGCAATAACAACGTAGTGACGCGTCATGTACCAGTGATCGCAAAAAGAGGGACCGTACAAGGAGGCGAACGACCGGTCCGACAGATCACCGATGATGATGATGAAGGTTATGCAAGTCCCATAACAATAGAGAGCGATGAACATTGAGCACAATCTCTCCATTCGCCTCCCACATGTTCGGAGTATCACCTGCATTTCAGAAAGGGGTCTTCGTGAAGGTCTGCACTTGAAGGCTGGGTCGTAACTCGCGCATGCGCCCGACAAGATCCTCATGCCCGGATTTGGTGGGGCAGAATATTATCCAACGCTCATTTCCGCGACAAAATAAACCCGCTGTTCCCCAATAAGAGTCTCGCATCAGCGGCAAATCCTGCAGGGGATGGAGGGAATTTCCCTCGAAACGGGGAGGAGGATAACGGAACGGAGTGGTAAAAAAGTCGAGACCCCTCTTCCGTGAAGTTCGGTTGCTTGACCTTATCGGGAATTTTGCGTCTATTCCCCTCGCGACGACGCGACACGGTTTAAAATCCGCATTCTTATCCATTTCGAATATAACGGTTCGCGTCTAACGCTAGGCTACCAAACACTTCGGAAGCAAATTCAATATCACCTCTTGATACGTCGAGCAAGAATGCTTGTTTGCACAAAAAACCAAGATGAGCAAGGATATGACCGCGAAAAATAGCAGGAACTGTAAGGAAGATGGACAGGGTTTTAGAATAATTCACGACGAACAGAGACTCCGTGCCGGCGCTCCGCATCCGATTCGGATGGAGACGGAACTACATTTGAATAACCGATTCACGCACTGCTTGTATGATCATGGAGATCAATATACCGCCCGCTCTATCGTACGCTTCCGGAAAATCGAGCAGTCCCGCACCGAGAGCCGCATTGACGATGAGGAATACCGCACCGATCCAACCGCTTTTCACCTGTGGAGTAGATAAGACGAAACCTTCGATTGGCTCGAATCATACGAAAGGTGCCAATTCGCGATCATCGGGGAGAAATGGAGTTTCCACTAACCTCGGGTACCGCTTCTTCTCCGAGGAGATCAACGAGATCGCTACTGCTGAATGAGTCGACAGCATCGATTCTTTCCTCCACTTGATGGACGTGAATGCCCTCTTCATAGCTGGGGTGCGAAGAGGGACAACTGCTGTTTAGCGAGCTGCAATCGTCGCGCCGATTTCCAGTCTCCGCCATCTTGTGAAAAAGATGCCACAATGTGCTCCCGCTGTGCCTAGAAACGAACGATCATCAGACAGAGTATCTCGCTCCTCCTCGCTGCGGCTATCTCCTCAGTACAAGAGGAACAGACCCTCGAATCGGTATGCCGGTCCCATGCTCGCTAGAGCTTGCATTTTCCCGGATTCGCATTCAAATCGACTCCCGCAGCTAAGAGGCTTCTAGGCCATCTCTAGATTGAGGAGCTTGCCCGGGATCTCTGCTCACACAGGAACAGCGAAAGAACTAAGAGAGACGAGAGAAATTTTCCTTCCCGAGAGCGACTGAGATGATTGCTTCCGAAACGGAATTTGATTTGCGGATAGCGAATTATCTAATCGGTCCAATCGAGGATCGATGCGACTGCTCTCGAATTCTAATGCCCAATTAATGGAGCTTCAAACTCACGGCTCTCTTCCAAAGAACGAGGACAGGCTCAAGGAAGTATCCGACTACATCACACGGCCGTAGTTTCGGAAGGAATCAGCGACCATCGTCATCACGTCCGAATCTGCAACCGAGGCAGTCGCTGTGATACCTTTGCTTCCACGGGTCTCGTGAAATGTTCGAGAATCCGATTCCCAAACGGCTGTCTGGATCGGGATTAGGAGATTATCAAGAATCGAATGACAGACTGATTATGATTATAGAGAAAGTGCCCTATGGTGATCATTGGACACCTCTCACCGTATTCAATTCAAGGTTTGAGATCTCCCGACTAGGAATCCGTGTAGTTGCGGAATTTGGCTCACCGACAGCCTCCTCTATTCACGATAGTGTTACTCGCTCGTCACCGATCTCGTCAAAAAATTGGAGCTAGAGCCAACGTCCCCATGTGCTCCAAGGGTACAACACAGGCTAGCCGAGCGATTTACGCCTTCGATCTGCGATCGGCGGAGGGGAGAGCTCCGAGCACCTTAAGAATTGGGTCTGGATGGATTGGGCCCATGGTGTCGTCAAGGCCACAGGACCGCCCTCCGTCAATTCAAAATTTGGAACGCATGAGTTCTCGACACTTGGTTTCCCGCACGTTAGCAGTCACGTTCTCACTCCTAGACCTCTGGAATCGACTTAGCAGACGCGAATGGGATCTTGATCGGATAGTCAGACGGAAGCCGAGTTCAGGCGCTCGTATATATTGTTCATAATCCCTGAGTCAACTCCTTTCTCCGCTGTCTATCTACGATTGCAGACGACTGTGTGCCAGACGTTGATGATGATCTCTGCTCGCAACATCGGATTCATGAAGAATAGCGGTACTCAGGAATCTTCGACGCACCCCGACACCGGAGCTACATTATATCACTAGCAGCGCCAGATCCCCCACGAACAAGTCGAGGACGCAGCGATGGCCGCGTTGGATAGTTCTGGGCTCGATTCGGACGTCTGATCTCTACAGCGCCCTTTCTCCTTGAGGCTCACGGACTGGGATGGTAGGTACCAGAGGAACGCGCCGAGAGAAAATTCGAACCGTTTTATTTTAATTCACATAACGACCGATTGTGAGGCTTGCGGGATCACACCTCTCACCGACTCATTTGAATCGGCCCGTCTCATCGTTCATAATCTGGAGACCCCGGATCCCCCATGGAGAACTCCGCTCGTGTTTCCTTCTAGTCCTAGTCCAAGCCGGGATGTCTTCGGAGAAAGCTCTTCAGCGGCACTGATCTCAAGCTCCGGATGTTCCTGCCGTCGTGCGCGTTTATGCCGTGGGAGGGGGAAAATGGACAAATACTGTCGGAGGACGTACTGCCCTGATAGAAGATCTCCCTCAGCTGGCCAGAACGTTGAGAAAGTGGTATACTTCATCGCTATCGAACACACCGATCCGAGTTTGGCAGAAATTACAATGGAAAGGATGGAAAAGCATCTTATCGTCTGATTCAGATGCCTGATCGCGGCCTCCCCTCCGCCGCTTGCGTCGGTCCTTGGTCAAGGGCCCTGGAACTTGTACTGATGTATCGGGCTTGCAATTCAAGACGAACATCGCGCGGTATTGACCGGATTTCGTCTCATGGGCCTGGCAGTCCCGACAGAGGAGCGTCATGCATCCTGGACAGTTCAGAACAGCATCGCTCCGTGGAAGGGGCTCGACTCGAGCACTGGAGGAAGCCGGAAATATGCTTTGCTGACGCTGCCGCTGAGCCCACTTCTCATTGTCTTCGTCTTCATCGGGATCATAGAACAAATCGTCGTTTGCGTCTTCAGCCGTTTTTTGCGAGGATCCTCCATTGGGCTGAGCGGGATCACCTTCGCCGAGCCTTGAGCCTGCTGCGGAATTCAAATCTGCGTGTTGTTCATGCTCACAGGCGGGTTGGTCATCTGGTCGATTTTTATGTTTCGGTGGAGTCTTGAGTCCGACGCGTTTGTCGAGGGCGTCCTGCATCTCTCTTTCGAAGTCCTCTAAACAATCGTCCGAGCTGTCACTGCCCCGGACGCTGTCACTATCGCCCGCTTCGTAATCCGCATCGTAGATCTTCTCAAAAGGTTCCATGTTCGTACCTGAGTGGGGAGACGGTGTGGATTCGAATCTCCGGAAGTTGCTTATCTACGCGCTACTCCACTCCACTTCGAATCGTAGCTTCACGAGCCGCAGATCACGGATGCCTGATTGCGGAGAGAGGATCCTCATCAGAATGATTCGCTAGCCTGCTAGGATAGTCAAGCTACTGTCACATCTCCGATCCCCGGGAATGTTTACACCTCGATAACCATCAGCCGGCAGCGCGAATTTCTATGATGCGGCACATGCGGCGGCTCGGACCTCTTCGAACAACAACACGAAGCGTCTGCTGCAGGGTTGATCAAAAAAAATTTCGAGCTGGGCTACGGTGCTACTCACATGAGCTATCGATACTTCCTTGAATGCTGCTTCGCTAGTCGCTAGGCTATGCCGGCTTCTCTCGCAGACTTCAGGAAAATCTCTCCTGTTCACAGGAGTGCTAGCGCAGATTTCGGGGGATGCGAGTCCGCCCTATAGCTCGACCCTTGTATGGTAAGCTCGAGTTCGAGTTTAATTATTGGGATCTGAACATCGAGCTGTCACACTACCCGCATAACACCTGTTTCGTGAGGAACGACCCATCGGAGCTCAAACCGATCTGCGAGCCGCGTTACAATGAATGATCGAAGTATATGGTGAGCGCTTGGAACTCGAAGTATAAAAGAGATATAAAAGAGATAAGAGATAGGCAGGGCGTTGACGTTTCGGAGGCGCGCCCCAACGCCTTGGGAATTCGTGGAGGTTCCGAGCTCCCCAAGACAATTCGAGCTTTGAGGAGAAATTGATCGGAACCCTTCCTGTGACTCCGTCGGCGTCGAACAACTATTTTCGTGCGGTTTGTCGATCACGCGCGGTTTCTTATCCACTGGTCTACGAGGGAGATCGAACCAGAATCCTGTACCCGACTCTGCACCGCGGGCCCCCGAACCCTTGGCAAAGAGGCCGGAGGGAGCTAAGTGTCGCCGGGGATCTCCCCGTAGAAATCCCCTAAAATGAGGGCCGGGTACGGAGGCGAAAAAAGTCAATCTGATGGTTGTCGGCACACAGGCAACGCTGGAGTGGATGGATACCTTTCGCGAGGAGGGACCTAGAAGTCATCACGCTCAATCAGCCCAGTGAGCAGAGGGGAAGCCGTATCGTCATACGTACTCCCAGCTCAGATCCGAAATCGGGTACATGAATTGGCTCGGATAGTAATATCACTACCATGGGATGTCTCATGCTCGTCTCGTGTTTGACCTCCTGGAAGGTATCCACGACGAGGGACAGCCCGTTTTGAGACTCCTGTATTTTCCAGAGCCTTACAAAGGAGAATGGTGGACGAATCCAGCGAACAAGAGATCTTTCAGTGGAGAAAAAACCGAGGCACTAAGGTTGGGAATCGATTTTTGATGGACAAAATAACATACACGTTTTTTTCGACTGATTCGGAGCTCCCGTGTTAGGAAAATGAGTTCGGAAGAGGTTTCGACCTCAACTTCTGGCCCTCGGAACGCAGTTCGAGGCCCTACAGGGTAAAGGTTGCGACACTCCCCATATACAACGAGCTGCTCGGTACTCATTGGAGAGGTGCTTATCGAGATCATTTCGCTAGGCTAGACAGCTGCTTGGACCGCATCCTTCTCCGTCTCTTATTCTCCAGCGCTGAGCTCAGGAGAGCTGTCCCCATCAGAACTGTTCGCGGCTTGGTGACTCTCGCCTTTGTTTGAGTGAGCCACTTTCAGGAGATTCCAATACAATACTCTTTATGAGGGGGCTTCCGGAGTCGATAAACGATAGGATCCGATGAGACGAGGAGCATCGTCAATGGATCGGAGTTCGTGTTTACTCGCTGATCCTCCCTCGTCTGATCCATCCGAAAGCGACGATTCTCTTGGTTTCTCGCCTCTTGAGCTTCTTCTGTGAGCATTCCAATGGCCACCGTGCGATTGCGAATTATCTGGGTGCTGTTGACTGATATTCCACGCACCGCGGGCGTGGGAGCGAGCCACGGATAGAGCTGCTTAGGTACTGTCTGGTGCCAACCCTTGGAGTTCGTCAGCATCGGTTCCGCTCTCGTCCGAGGGTGTCTTGAAGATGACTCTCGATCGCATTTTTAGACTTGCATAGATGCCGATCATCCTGGCAGTCGTGGTCGAACTTTCGTGGCCGTATCACCAACATCTCTGTCGCCTGATCCTTGCTTCGGTTGGCTACGATCAGACCGAAATCATTCCGGGAAATTCACAGGATGTCACTCCCTATACACTTCTGCAGGATAGATTTTCGCCTCCCGTTCTGGACGGTTTTCGAGCTTGGTAAACGACAACAGATGTCGACGACTGGGGAGCCTTTCCGATTAGCGATTCAGAATGACGCTCTCTGTCCGAGGAGATAACCACTGGCGCGATGATTCCAGTACATTCATGGGGAATATAGGGGAAGCCAATTCGATCGTTTCCTTTTTCATTGCTTGAACAGCTCGCGGGGTTTTGTCGAGAAGAGAAAGTGAAAACCGGATAATGCTGGGCAGCTTGACCAAATGTCGATCTGAAGGTTTCAACCTTTTCCGGGAGCCGGAGAGCAATCAAGAAGGTCGTATCTAGAAGCAACGTTTCTTCTTCCACCGCGTGATAAGAATCCGTACCGATCCGTACCTTGTTCACGCACGTCGGAGTCAGTTTTTTGCGCGAAAAATCGAAGATTGGCCAAACAAATGCTGAATAATTTCGTCCACCGGAGAATTGTTTTCAATCATTGTGCGACGTCACTCCGGAGGCTTCGCTCGTCTCGCAAGTTTTTCGCGGAACTTCCATGGAGCAAGGTCGGAGTCGCTGGGAGTGGGGTGCTTGCCAATCGGGCAAGTGAAGGCAAGATCAAATACTCGACTATGATCAGTCAGCGCTTTTTTCCGGAATCGATCGGATTCGGATCCGAGAGGAACGGATAGCAATCTTTTCGGAACCCACGAGTGTAAGCAACATGCGATAGCTCGGAGCGAGTGGAGGAGAGAGACTTGCGGTCGGAGGTCCAACCAAATTGAAGAAGAACCTTTGCGCCGCCCCTCTGATCATACATGGAGCCCCTTCCGCGGTAAGAGTCTTCGGTCCGCCACTGAACTTTGGATCCAGTGGATTTGACGATGAGGGGAATTTGTTCCATTCGAACCTGAAACCCGAGCTGTTATCGAGTCGCTAGGGTCAATCCGGGACGTGGACTTCACAGAACCCTTCATCACGGGCTATATTCATGGTCCGTGCCGGGAGATTTCTGCAACGATCCATCGGAGAGCCCTTGGAGTCGCTGCGAGCCTTGTGTCGTCTTGTTCTCCCCGAGACCCATTCCGCTGAAGTCAATCCAGGTTACTTCCGCCTGTGATTCGGGCCGGATCCTTCCCTTCGGAGACTGTCCGCGTGATATTAGGAGGTGGATTTAAGGGTGAAGCCACGCAGCATCGACGAGCTCGTCTCTGAAGACGGTCCGCAGCGACTGTCGCCCCACTATGGGTGGAATAGACTCGTAATTGTGCTCAAGCCGATCTTTCTAGCGGAAAATAAAGGATAAAAAGTTGCGTTTACCAAGACTCGGCTCGAGCACGGCGCGACTTCGTTCCTGTTCGAGAAGCAGCGTCGAACGTTCGGATTTCGGGCTTCGGAAGACTGTAGCACTTTACCCGCAGCTCATACATACGTATCCCGATCGAGAATTCCGCTGTGTGTATATCATCGGCTCATGCGGCCTATCGACTCGAGCCCTGCCGCTTTCGGCAGATGTAATTCCCGACTTTGTTACCCGAGGCTCAAGATGTATCTATTGGCTTGCTTCGTCGGTCCGCAGGATGTCCCAGCTTGCCTCCGTCTTTTTCTCGTTTCTCGGTGTATCCGTTCCTATTTCGAGGAGTACCAGCTCTGGGGGCAGATGGAGGAGAACGTTCATTATTTATTGGGAGCTGTTGCGATACAAGTCATTAGTTTTTGAAGCAAAACTAAGACCATGGATGAGAGACGGGGAGCAAGCAACCGACAGAATAAATTCAATCGAAAGGAAAAGTCGGCAACAAAACGATTACAATAAGCCAGCAAAAGTTTTAACGAGCCGAACTGTTGGGAGAGCAATTATTAGAGGGAGCATCGAACGGACTAATGCCCGAGAGCGTGACCTGAATTAAGCAGAAGACACGAATGAAACACAGCGGTCAGACAACAACCTCTCTTACGCTTCCTCCCCCTGGTCTTTCATTCCCTGTTCGGGAGTCCCTCGCCACTCGAGCCGCGAGTTTTGTGCGGAACACACACGGAAATACTCCCGGTCATCGGGTGATGAACTCCGTCGACGATCCTCCATCCGATATATATTTTCCCATGTACAAGGCATGCGGAAAACACGCGAGCTTGGGGAGAATGAGATTAGGCTGGAGTCGGATCCCGTGAATTCATCCTCTCGGATATGTATTGAAACTGCGCTCCGATGCCAACCGAGAGCGTCGATCGGCCGAGAGGAATAGATTTTTCCCGCGCCTCGGCTTTGACTGCTGTGCGAATTTATGCATGTAGACCTCGAGAGTTCTTCCTCTTTCGCTATCATGAAAAAGGTAGTGTTTCCCATTCGTTATCGGCACTCGTTCCATCCTGGGTGACTCTTTCAGGAGAGATGTGAAACCGCCTTTAAACTCACAACCCTTCCTCCTTCCGAGGCTTTGCTCTTCCCAGACTTTTTGAATGACTTTCGCTTCTGACATTCATATGGAAAAATCTCGTGTCGGCTATCGTGGCATAATTCAAAAAAGACGCGGCCCAGGGAGCACGTTCCTGGGAAGATTGAGAGAGAGTCAGCGTGTGGAAGTGTGGGGGACGAGGATACACCGAGGGAGCAACAGAGAGGAAAATACGAGGAGATATGCGTCCTGGATGTCCCGACTCGTGACATCGTGAGGAATTCTGCGACTCAGGATACGATCAAGCATATTTGATATGTTGAAGCCGACGACATTCGACGGCGGGACGGCTTGCAAGATCCTTGTGGTGTTCGAAGAGTCGATAGTTCTGCAACGCCTCGTGTTCGCAGGAGACGTGCACGTGAATCGGTCGTATCGAAAATATTCCTCTCGTTCCTTGGAAGAGTTCATTGATGAATCCATCTCTCATGAATGAAGTCAATTCATCAATCATCGCTTCCATCAAGCCCTGGTCACATCGGGAAGACAACGCGCTCTCGCCGGGACGGGGCTCATCGCTGTCAGTGTCGCGCTCTCCTGGCAGGAGATTCGATCGGGGTTTTCTGCGAGCCGCTGTCGCGACAACAATAATCACCCGCTGTTCGCATTTTCACACACCCAATGAGCATGGTGAGGACACCGGTCGTTGTGGTGTAGGCGGTGGCACAGCAAAGGGGGTCTGGAGGAAAAAACGCGGGGGTGGATTGTTTTGCCTGTTGTCTCCGTGCCTCTATAAATCCTGCGACACGACGCACAAAAAATTAACAACATTAAGGCGGGACTTCCTGCTGAGAAGACGCTCCAGTCTCGCTCCCTTCCGCGTCTGCCCGATGAGTATTTGGTGGAAGACGCTCGCAGACTGAGCTGCCTGTCACGATCTGGAAGTGCTCAGATACACAGCGCGTAGACTCCGCGCGATTAGAAAGGATGCTCAGAGCCCTTATCCTGATTCTGAGAATCGGGGAGACAGTGTGCGAGTCGCGTGCAGGTATTGTTCACGGAAAGGGAGCGAAGAGGGATACGTTCCCAGATCCCCCCCTCCCCGAGATCGTCCCTCTCTTCGGTGAAAAGGGAATGGATTATACTGTAAAACGAGGCCCTCCTCGCGAAGGAGGGGGCGACGCTCAAGAGCAGAGACGCGGACTTCAGCGCATGGCTTCTAGGTTCCGGGAGAAAACTTGTTTCCTTTTAGTTCAATGACAATTGACGTACGAGCATATGGATGTGAGGGAAAGATGTACCCCGTACTCGGGGTTCCTGGGACTCAGCAGGAGCTGAGCCCGAATACGCCGGACTAGTTTCGACTTCTGCGGGGAGGAATCTCTCGCTTGCGGACGGAACCAGAGCGAAGGGTCAATTCTCGGTGGAGCTCGAACCACATTGCTCCGAATGAGCCGCTTCTGCCACTCAAGATCTCGGAGTGCTCCTCCGACCAACGACAGGCTAGAGAACGAAAAATATTCCCAAAAACTCCTGTACTAGCGACCTCCAAGCCATACGTTGTCAGTAGGCAATATTATTAAAATATAGAGCGATAATAATGATAATTCAGAACATCCACAATCGAGCCTCTCGAATTCTCTCAGCTAGATACATATTTGTTGATTGCCCTGTATTGGGCGATGATTCGCGAGTCCGAAGGCTCGAAAGCGCACCATAACATTTTCTCTGAAGGAGAGTCTCGTTCCCGCTCCTCGAGTCTTGCCGAATATTTCGAATACAGGCGCCACGCGCTCGACCCCTCTCCCCGTCGGCGAACTGCATCCAGGCAGGCAGAGATCATCCTCGTAGTCTTTTGCATCGCCAAGGTACGTGGCCCGTGTTGTCTAGTGAAGAAAATTATCGAAAACTCGGTTTAGGCCCCCGGAAGTGCCAAATCACTGTGTTCGGAAGGTCCAGTCAGACCTCTGGTGCCAGTATTGACGGCAGTTTCGGGGGAGTTCGCGATATAGGGTGGTTTCAAAGGGGAAATACTGTCGCGTTCGACAACGTGCTCCCTTTGGTTCAGCTTCGAGTTTCGGAAAGACCGAGAGAACTCTCCGGAGTTCAGCTCTCATAGTTCCGCGGAAGCATCCTGTGATCAAATCCCGGACGAGAACCATTCCATCCGGTTGTGACCAGGTCATTTCGAACATGAATAGACGTCGAGTCTGGACTTAACGACAGGAATCAAGATGGCGGCGAACGTGCTATTGCCCCGGCAGTCAGTTCTCGCGGGCACAACACGTTGTTGAAGCTTGTCTCGTCAAAGACAGGGTCTCAGTTGCAGCTCTCAACAGTTCCTAACAGAAGTCATTCCTCTCCAGTACTGGCTTCGTGATGCAGGTGTTCGTGCAGTCGATTGACGGGCAAACCATCCCGTGCGAGGTGGAAGAAGGCTCCTCGTTTGGAGACCTGATGCACCAACTCGAGGATGTTACCAAGGTGATTCGACGTTCATCGCTAGAATTTCTCGATATTTCACGTTCCGAGTGTAGACTTCCCGATTATCGTATGCATCCATTGCACTCACGAGAAAGCTGCCTGTGATCGGGACCCTATAATAGAATTGGTTTGCAAGCGTTGAAACTTCCTCCTTTTCGTTTCCCTTTATCGCTGGAGGTGAAATAGTGTTTGAGCTTCTCCGGAGATGCGATCAAATGAATACGCTCATCCCCAGGTACCATTCGAACACATGCGCCTGTCATGGGGCATCCACTGCTACAACGAGGAGTCCGTCTTCACTCCCCTTCTGAACGAGAAGACCCTCGTTCTCAACGCTCGGCTTCCTGGTGAGTTGAGAAACTGAGCATGGCTCCAGATCGCGTTTTCTATTATTTCTGGTATAAGCACGAAATATGAATCGGACCATTTATACCCTGTGCTGGGGGTGCATCTTTGTTCTTCTACGCGGCCGATCGGATGGCCACTTGGATGGAAACGGGTGCGAAACTGAAGAGCGCTTGTTTGAGTCGTCTGCGTTCGGAAGACGTTTTCGATATAGAATTTCGCTCACACTTCTGTCAAAGGAAACCTTCGAAATTTCATCCGAGGGTCCGGCTTCAGTGATTTGTGTTCAATGAATCTAGAGAAATCCGACGCTTCCAGGTGGTGTGATCGAACCTTCTCTTCTGATTCTCGCTTCGAAATACAACTGTGAGAAGATGATCTGTCGTAAGTGCTACGCGAGACTTCACCCGAAAGCTCACAACTGCCGGAAGCGCAAGTGCGGTCACTGCAACAACCTCCGCCCCAAGAAGAAGCTGAAGTAAACCAAACGCTATGCTCGCTGCTCTCCCATCACCCGCACCGTGCCGTCTCTCCGAACGCTGTGTGAAGTGGATGATACGATCGTGTGGGGGAGAACTGGGTTCAGGCCCAAGAAGTCTCCGTGGACATGCGTTGGATTTGTTACTCATGAAGCGATTCCAATAAAGTTTCCGTGGCTTCTTGACATGTGGTGCTTTTTTTTCTGCATAATGATGGTGACAGAAAGAGAGGGGCTGGAAAGCGACGAACAGTCGATGATGCAGATCTTGTCTCGGCTCCATTGAGTCCTTCCATGGGGCTGCGGATGAAGTTTCCGCCCTCGGCCGGGACACAGCACCGAGTCCAGCTGTCAGCTCGCTGACGGTTCACGTATTTCGGGTGAGCGGTGGATTTTTTCGGAGTCGAAAAACAATTGTGGAGCACGCTCTCGGTATCGCTCAGGAGGACGGGGTGCGAATTTGGAGAGCATCCCTCTGACTGAGAAAAAAATGCGGGAAGACAAGCGAGTTTGTCGGGGCGACAGGACGCGATGCAAGCGGGTGGAGAAGTTCGTTAAGTTTAATGGGGCGAGTCGACTCATCGCGCTAGGTATGATTTCAGGCATTTCGGGCTGCTGTGTCGTCGTCATCGTCGTCTTCCTTTTCCTCCTGTCGTTCCGTTATCCTCCACTTGCCCCCGACTGAGAGATGTAGCGCTCCTCGCTCGACTCCCAGGCACGCACACTTGCGCGCAGGCTCGAAAGCACAAAGAGGCTTGCAATTTGCTGCCGGCAAGATTCGTGAGGAGTTCCGTACGGTGCCGCGATCGGAATCAGTGGCTGCAGAAAGGCGACATCTCAACGCGCAGGGAATCAGCCAACCTTCAGATACCGCTGAATGGCTCCTTGCAAATGAATCATGAGTTGAGCGGAAACGATGTCACCCCTCGAGAGGTTCGGCTCCGCAGAGAGCGAGCCTCAATGAGCTTCACCCTGAATTGAGCCAAGGTGGACTTCCACCGTGATCTTAAACATTTGCATGCGGTGAAATTTCAACCACTAAGAAAGGATTCTCTCAATCGCATTTTCGAAACGTCCGAGGAATGACCTCATCCTCTCATCCGCCGAGCGCGCAAAGTACTCTTCTCTTTGTGAACACCTCTATATTTTTCCACGAGTTCGGTGGCATTCACGTCCGAGACAGTGAATCTATTGAGGGCAACAGGAAATCTTTTCTGAGGCAAAAAGTTCGATCCTTCTCGAGCGCTGGCAGCGGAACGACAAGGGCGATCAGTTTGCAGGAAGATTGGTTGTTGCGAGACCGTCCGCAACATCGTGATCCGTCACCAGTCTGAAGGTGTCAGGCTCTCGACCTCATCACCCTCGCTTGGGGGAAACGAGTTTGTGAGCTCGGGAAGTTGATGGAAGAGTGGACATCGGGGACCGGTCTCAGTGAATTTCACACTTCAACAAAATCATTGACTGTCTACAGGCAAGTTCTTCCCGGAAGTTCAGAGCCATGAATTCAAAATCCGAATGGGAGAGTCCTCGAGATTCCTGTCTTATCGTGTTCACAAAAACAGTAATTGCACCTTCATGTGGTTCTACTGTGAAACCGAAATTCATTCTTCAATTTCTCCTTTCGGGTTATTGACTCGGTAAACGTAAGGTATGAGCGGTCCGCAATGTTTCCGATGTTCCGCGGCCCGCAATGCCTCAGACGGAAACTCGATCACGGACTTCGCTCAGAACCGCTGGGCGTCTAGATAAGGAAGAAATTGCATTTCCATCAGCTGAGCTCTCAGTGCACGTAGGAGGAGAATTCGGCCGAAATCCTCCTCGGAGGAAGTCTTCTTTCTCGCCGGATCCTCGATTTATGATTCTTGTCGGTTCGGAGAGTTCTATTTTTCCGATTACGTTAGTTGATCCTTCTCGAGTTGGAGACAGCTCAAGAGGTTTGAAGTAGTGCTAATCCGCGAGGTGTATCACCGTGACGCCCTTCGTCTGCTTGCTTGTGAGTTGAGCGAGATGGCTGCGAGCCCTCGGCGGATCGCTCCGATGGTTGGCTGGCGGGCGGGCGGGCGCCCGCCTGCCTGCAATCTCGACTACTTCCTCTACGGTCGCTTTTGTCCCGTCTACTCAGCTGGCTGCCAAGAGTAGGAGAAGAAGTCATCATCTCCGGAAGGAACTGTCCTTTTTTCATTCGTGCTTTTACGCTGTTCTGCGAGGACTATGTGCAGTCGAAAGTTTTGCGATCATATCTCTCTCGGAAGGTTGGCGAACGCCTACTTTCGAAATTTCTGCTCTAGCCTGTGATCGTCCGCGAACGTCCAACTACGCGGTCACCGTACAGGGCGACTTTGACGACAACCTTTTCGACATCTTTTGTTGGTCCAGGAACTGACGCTAGATTTACCTCAAACTTTATCCGATCACCCGTATCGACAGAATCTCCGAAAGTGATCCAACCAGTGATCAAGCACGCCCGATACCACCCGCGCCGTGAGGTGCCGGTTCGAAACCTCAAACTTCAAGGATCTCCCAAGTTTTCACATCTGAAGCGGGATGGAGAGAAATAGTCTGACGAGATCTAGGCTCGAAATACATAGAGCCTGTCCGTGCGCTAACGTTTGATGAAGCCTCCCCGAATATGCCGGCACTGTCGAGTTCTTTGGAGAAAAAACGCCTAATGATTGTTCGATAATAATTTCTGTCTTGTTCGGCTCTAAGGGAGATCTTCATTGTGTGTCGGATTTTCTGAAGCTTCGCGCGACTGGCGAGACGCATGTAAGGCAGGTCTTGCAACGCACCATTAGCCAGCTGAAGTCGATTCGTGCTCGCGAAATGATGAGGTAATGGAAACTTTTCATAAAATCAATTCATTCCTCGGTCTCCTACACCTCATCTCTGATCGGTCCGGACTGTCAGTCAGCTTCGACTCTCAGGATTGAGGCATTCTGAATGTCGTCGGGCGACTTAAAATATCACCCACGATACTCGATTCGATGCATCGCCATCGATAGGATGCTGTGTTCCTGGACTAAACCCGAAGTGATGGCATAGTTTCATCAATATGGCTGCTCGTCTAGGATATACCCTTCTGTCTCCGAGAATTCTCCGCCCTCTATCCAACATTCGAACAGAATTTCCTCAAGAACTAAGCGCGGTGAGTTCAAGTCGTATTCGGTGGCTTTCGGATAAGTTGATGTAAAGTCATTATGGCCTCTTGCGGCAGGGGGACGGGTACGCGGTGTCGGTGATCATCGGAGCGTCGATTTCTGGGAACGACCCCGGACTTTAATTCGTTCATATGAGGCGCAGGAAAACGCTCAAGCCGCGAATTATCAACCGACTTACGCCACGAGCAAGGCACCACTGCTGTGATAAAATGCTGATATTCACAATCCGGCTGAAGCGAAATCTCCATAGATTCGAATCACTTTAAGCGTGGTCGCAGCCTTCGTCCAAGTCCGTATTCTTGTTTGGCCGAAGTTTCCAACCATGATCGATCAAAAACTGAGTTCCACACATTTTCCCACGGCTCGCATAAAATATTCTAGGATCTGTGGGGACGATCAATCGGGGACTTAGAATGCGTGAATATCACAGTTTTTTTCGGTTCTCGGCCACGTCAGACTAGTAGTTCTCTTTCTAGGACCTGGAAAAATTTTGGCATCGATTCCGAATCACATTTCGGACATCCACATGATCGGGGGAAAATTGAACATCCATTAGTTCATCATCATGATTCCATAATATCCTACAATACGGATTTTTCGTGATTCGTCCACACGCAAGATCTCTCTTCTCAATAAGAATAAGCTGATTCCTTTCATTTCGTTTCAATGTTGCCCGCCTCCGGTAGCTGATGTCGAACCGGCATCCCATCCTGAGGCTTCGATGACTCTACTCTTCTTCCTTGCTCTCGGAACGGGTCGCATCGTCGCGCGAGGATACGTCATCCTCGTCGCGAACGCATCAAGCCAGCTTATCGCGAGCATACGTTTTCCCGTCACGATCGAACATTCTCCATTTCGAAGCGCTCTCTCAATCAGCTGGACCGCGAGGTTGTCAAGATCGGTCGGCAGGTCCCTAACGACAATGTCAATTCCTTTCCACTTATTGTCAAGAGCCAGCTAATTCCCTCGGAACTGTGGGAACACTCTGAATAGGGCTTGTTCGTTCCAGGAAACGGAGCGGGCTGCGGCGGATCGTATCCATGGGACGAAGGACTCGCGAGAAGCTTCAGTAAAGACAATCTAATTTTATTGATCATTTTCTTCTGTTCCACCGAGCTAACGGTTCGAAGGATACCGTTACATTCGGGGTTTTAGCGGAAAAATCGTTCCTTCACAGGTTGACGCTTGAAATAAATACAGAGCGCATACAGACTAAGTTTGTCAGGATGAGACGCGGTTTGAGCTCTGGACAGAAAGCAGTAGATTCGTCAGAGTGCGCATAGTGTGAGATAGAAACGAAGGAGAAGCTTGAGACGAATAAATTAGACGAAGACATGGCGACTTAAAGTTGGCAGCGAGGAGCTCAAGTGGGATAGCAACCTATATCGGGCTTTCGACGTTAATCCATTGCACTTTTTTTCAATCCTATACACATCGGGTCTCACACTGTCTAACCGTAGAAGGGACCGGGAGCTCCGTACGCTCCATATCCACCGTAACCTCCGTAAGCACCGTAGGGAGCACCATAAGCCAGGGCCACGGGAGCCTTAGCGATGACGGGGGCGACGACGTGGGGAGCGACGTGGAGGCTTCCAGAGGGAGCGACCTTACCGTTAGCACTATCGTAGACGGCGGCAGCGGCATAAGAGGTCTGAAAATGGGATCCAATAGTAGAAATCCGGAAAACGGGAACAAAACACGAATGTTTCCGCATGGAGGAAAGACATCCCATCAGGAGAAAAGAGAAAAGGTGTTCCGTGTTTGGGGGCTCCGGGGTGAAAGTAGTCTTGACAGAAGCAGAAGCTCATCCATGATCAGGAGCCGTGGAGATAACCACCGAAAAATAAGATACGAATCATCAAGAAGGTACCTTGGTTCCAGGCTCGTTAGTTTTGATCTGAGCGCGGAATCCGAGTTTGTCAGCTACGTAGTGCACACTCCTGTGTCGGCCATCGACGTCTCCGATATAGTAGGATCCGACAACGGCTCCGTGGGATCCAGATTCTTTGCGACCATTCACGGCCCCATATCCGTTTTTGATGTCATAGCCGAAAGCGTAGTTTCCGTGATCCTGGAAAATTTCAGGAGAGGAGCCCCGAATTTACTCAACGATCACTCATGCTCGTTTCGAGTGACAGCGTCCGGCATACTCGGCCGATGGCTCGATTGAGTCGAGAATCGATCAGAAGATGATAAAATGAATAAGTAAAAAAATGAAGGGTGAGGGACGATTCGATGCATCGGAACTTACGTCTTGCTTCCTGAAGGAATTCGAATGTCCTCCTCCGTGAGGGATCGCAGCAGCCACGGCAGCGCACAAAGCGACAACGCAGAGGAGAGCCTTCAGATAGAGGAGAACGAGAGCCATTATTGAGTGAGGGCCAAGCACAGCACAGATGTTTCCACGAGAGAATGAACTCCAAGTGTACGAAGAGTTCCGGGAGTCACACAGACGGATACAGTACCTGCATGTTGTATTGAGAGTTGTGGGTGGTTTTGGTGCTTTGTCCAAATGCGTCTAGCTTTTTATAGTTGCGCCGCTCCCCTCAGCCTAGGTCCTTGGGAAGTCAGTTCCGGCGCTCGCCTCTGCGCCAATAATCTGGGCGCAGAAAAACTCGCTGCTTTTCTCCCTTAGCGGCGATTTTTGTCTCCGGCGCTGTTGAACAAACTCAAGACTTCGGGAGCTATGTACCATCGCTGAATGAAGCGAGCCCTACGGAGCCTCTACACCCGATAGGAGCGTTCTTGTGTCGTTTCAAAGATGATGGACGCTCAATGATGAGGTTCATCATTAGCGTTCCCACAACGGATCGAGCTCGGAATCAAAAACGCCCGCCGTAATTCTGGAGATGGACTGCTTCGTTTCAGGAGTCTCCCTAAAGCATCCCGATGCTCCTCGAGAGGTCGGTCGACCGCATGGAATGGCTAAATCGCTCACCAATTGGAGCTCGTTCCAGGCCGTTACTTCATTCGCAGTCTATGAGCCCAGGCACGGAGTGCGGTGACATTCCCCGATCATCGGCCGACGAGTTCAGCCGGCACTCACATCCGGGAGGAATCGTCTAGAAAAAAAGAAAGCAAGGGATACCTCAAGTTCGGGTGATGTGGCGAACTCATCGGCACCAGACGGGAATTCTGAATGCCCTCGCTGCATGCGCGGGGAAATTGAGGTATATCGAGAGATCGTCGAACAATTCGGAGGATTGGGTTGAGCCGACTCCCATTTTCTTCGCGGAGCATCGCTCTCGATCCGATCGGGAGCATCGCTCTTGATCCGATCGGGAGCATCGCTCTCGATCCGATCGGGAGTATCTCGGCTAGAAAAAAAGTCTAGAAGCTGTGAAGTTTTCACCAAGATTGGACTTGCAGCCCCGGCCTCCCGAAGTAAATTAATTTCGGACCTTCGTTGTGCGGCGATTATCGCAAAAAATGGCATTCCATATCTTCCACATTAACCCCCATTATTAAGTTTCAGAAAGCGAATTCATTCTCTTTTTTATCATTCCAGGAAGGATCTCTTCCTGACATTTTCCTCTTAAGCTTGTGTCCGAGCAAAAATCGAAAAAGCTCGTTGGGAAAAATATGAAACAGAACAAGTGGAAAATATCAACTCCTCAGAAAATCCGCTGAATGTCACGGTCTGAGCGTAAGAACGTGCGTTTTCTCTCGCTCGGTTACCGTTCGGAGCGGCGTTCGTCGAGTGTTCTGTCAACAGAAGGGGAGACACGACCGCATTTCAGACGTCCCAAACGAAAAAAATAATTGCTCCCTGGCTCCGCATTGGTCATCGATTTCTATGATGAAAAATACGAATCGAATCCGGCCAGGGAACGGTTCCCACCTGTGCTGTTCGACAGGTCAGAAGAGCGAATTGAATTGTGATATTTTTAACTAGTCATTGTTCTCCTTCTGTAATAATTGTGGCGGGCGAGGTGATAAAAATTAAGGTGAATAGAAAAAACTGGCCAACAACCGACCGGTTCAGCAAAGCCCATTCCAAACCTTTTCTGGAATATCAAACCGCTGCTCATATCTCCGTTTTCCGTCTTACTGTGGTAGGTAAGCGTCAGTCTGGTTGGTTACTCGGCGGCTAGCCAGCGGCCGAACCTCAACGATCAAGAACACACTTGATTGTTTCTGGGAGACGCGGATCGGAATGATTAGACGGCGATGAGCTCACGGGGATCAGCTAACTCACTCAATTGAGCTATGAATCTTATTATGGTCAATAAAAAATCGTGGAATGGACTTTATCGAAGAAGTGCATCTCATGGGCCAGATGCTTCGATCGGTTTCGATGCGTCCACTTCGGACCGATCAATGGGGCGAGGAGTCTCAGACTCAGGACTTTCCCGTCCGCGGCAGATGAAGGAAAACTGACCACAGTCATTGTCGCCAAACCTCCCGCCAGTCGCGTGGCAGTGTTTCTACTCCGGATGACTTCCGGAAGTTCACGGTGCAGGTTCCTGGAGACCGCAAGATTGCAGGATTCATCCGACATATGGGGTGGTGGGCAGCCTCCGGGAGAAGACTTGTCTCCTGAACTTCCGCAGACGCGGGACTTATCCAGTGCGTTTCCCCTGTAGGGATCGGTCCCCTCCGAGCGTCGATCCCCGACGCTGAGCTCGCGACTCAAGAAGACAACTTCCGAAGGTGAATTGTGTGAAGGGAGCTGAAGTGCGACTCCCATTGTTAATTGTTTTGTCGCTGACCAGAAAGAGAGGCGTACAACGTTGCCCGGCGGGCCTCCGATGCGGAAAGATGGAAGCACTGAAGCATATGATTCCTTACCGTTGTTTCTGAGGAGTCGAGTTTTTTTCACTTGGTGTTTTTCCTCCACCGAAACTCCCCATAACCATGATTTGACTAAGCATTCTACAGTTTTGAACGTGGGATTATTTTTGGTCGACCACTCCAGTTCCTTGCTGGCACCGGCCGCGAATGATTTCGACTTGAGTTTTTGAGTACGTAATTAAGGCCTTGAGAACACGTGCATTAGCACCATGACGGAATGAGGAACGCAGGTAGTTTCATTGTCGCCAAACGAGTCGTCTCATTGGGTCCGCGGACGTCGCCTCCTGGGCAAAAGAATCCTTGTTTTTCCCCGGGACTGCGGGTACTAGTTGTTTCTTCTGATAGTCGCTGAAAGAGGCTTCCGCCAAGCGTCAAACGATCTCACTCCGAGAGCCGCAGCACGCATCATTACTGGTTGAAATGATTTTTTTCTCTCCTGAAGCTCGGAAACGCTCCCTTGCTCAACGCGGGAATATGTCTGAAATATCTGCCTGTTCCTCGGTCGACTCTATTCTCAATCTCAGCTCGTTTTTCTCCCGTTCGCCTAAAATGTTTGGCAGTTTCGAAGGCGTTTGTGGTAAGCGCTCCGATTTCTTCTCAGGGCTTACTCTGCTCTCTGAGATGGCGATGAAGCTCATTTTTTTCGCCTTATCCGCACCAAACCACTTGCCACCGAAATCGAGTTCTATGCGGGTGGTGACTGGGGATCGGCTGTGCTCATCGCGACGGATTTTCTCGGGAATCTTCGAGTAGGTATTCTTGACGCTCTGATGTCGGAGGACTCCGGAGTGGCTTTCATCCGACCAAAATATTCCTTGGAGGATCTTTCGCGGTGCCGCTCCCCTGCAGAACGGCCCCGTCGTGGTCGAAATTGGTATATGGACGATGCAAGCCCACGGCCGTTTTCGAGATTTCGACCAAACCGAGCCGGGCGGAGCTCTCTTCGGCGATCGAGAGAAGCATTCGGAAGTCATGGCTGGACTCTGCGCTGAAACGTTGCAGGGAATCACGAGGAGTTTCCCTCCACGGTTTCCAAAGGACAGAGCGAGCTGGTGTCTCCGAGAAGAGCATGATTCTGAGCGCGCGCTAACTTTTAACAGCTTTGATCTGTTCGAGCGGACGCGGGAAGAGTTTTAACAACGAACACTTATGCATGCGTGCATGCATCTGTGCATTGCAGCAATACTCAACTCAAACGTGCTCGAACAAAAAGTCTCAAATCCCAGGTAGTTCAGCTGAGCTGTCGACTCCTCGCTCGTGGAGTCGACTATTTGCGCTTAAACTATCGCGCCGGTTCCGTGAGACCCGATGTGTTGATGGGAGCAGAATGGAACATTAGCTTCTGCCCTCTCCTCGGCGAATAACATAGGGCCCCGAGTCCCCTTCACCGTCGATGTCGAGCGACTTTTCAGAGCTGTGATCGTCATTACAGTTATTGTTGTTGTCGCTGTCACCGTTTTCGACCATTATCCCTATATTCTCGTCAACGTCGAATCCCACGGAGACTGATTTCAGATTTCTTAGCGCCGAGCGCAACGAGATTTACCCCGCTCGGAATTTCGTAGGAGAGGCGGACGTAATGGTTGTCTGACTCGATTGCTCCGTACCGGACGAAGTTCGGAGGAGGCAACACGCGATGGTGGACATGCTTGCGGATTTTTCGCGAAAGCGTGGAAAAAGAGGCTTCATATCGCTCAATGTGGTATGGGCGGCATGGAGCATCGCTCAACACGATCGACTTCGATGACCTTGGAAAAGTTGTGAGATTACGCTTGACCTACAGAGACGAATTCGATTACGAACGCGATGGATTTCTGACGATTACTGGAGCAGAGATTTGTTGTGAGTGACCGCCAGCACGGAAGTAGATCCCGGCATCCAATGACAGCTCCAGTCGAGCGCGTAATAAGCAGAGTGTTGTCCGACTTCTCGAGCGACCGCTGCATTTGGTGCCGTCGGTTTCTTCGGTCGCGGGGGGAAAAACCCCCAAAACTCGATGCTGTCCCAGAAATCACTTGTGATAGCAACTTATCCGATAGTGATGGCGCTGGACAGAACTTCCGAAATAAGCATGTCGCCGCGGCATTCATCCGCTTGCTCGATATATTCCGAGACCGAGTTATTTGCTCTTGACTCTTGATTCTTTCGCTTCGGTGTGCACTGCAGTGCGGGAGAGGCATCGAGGCGATGTGGAGGGAACATACTCACAATCGGTTTCGACTGTATGCGAAGACTGGGGTTTCGTTGCTGCTACCGACACTCAGAATCTCCGATTAATTTGCTCCCGGGCTCAACATCGATTGATGGATGAAGCAAACGGATCAATTCGTCTCGCAAATTGAGAGACGCAACATGAATAAAATGAATATGTATGAAATATCCTCCGAGGCAAGCGGATGTCTTTCTCAATGAGCCTACAGAAAACTCTTCAAGGGATATGTGATGATCCAGTAGATAGTTCAATAGAGGTAACATTTCCGGCAGAGCTAACTCATTCTCCTCGGAAGAGGCACGACTCCACCGGAGCTTCCCGGTCCTCAACCCGGTCCGAAACGCAGCAATCCACGACCAGATGTGTGCGTCTCAATTTTCACATTCAGTAGATTGAAACGTGCGCGAGGAGCGCTTTGGTGAGGCATAAAAAACGATCTGATCTCAATCGTCTGTGGGCGAGCGAAAAGAGGCAAAGGTTAGAACTCAGATGAAATTAAGCGTCAACACTCCGATTCGCTTAGGAACGAGACAATCAAGTAAGCTTACTTTCCACCAGCTCTCTATCAAGTGCTACAAAAACCCTCCATACGCTGGCCAGCACCCAAGGTTCTTTTGTGTTTGGCTATATAATCTGAGTGGTGAACACAATTTCTCACAGTCGATTCGACCGGTTCTACAGCAGCTCAAACATGAAGGTACTACTTGCATTGATTCCCTGGTGTGGTGTGTTCATTGACCGAGTTCCATCGGAGTACCTTCATTCCGACAGAGCATCATATGAAACAGATTCACGTCGATCACCACCCAAACGGGAGGGTCGCTAGTCCTGATTCGGAACAGAGTGATTCACGATCTCGAGCTCTCTCGAGGATCTTCTCTCCGCTCTCTCAAACATTATCTATTTCACTCCAGACTTTCGCGATCTTCGGAGTTGTGCTCCTCGCTGCGGTCTCGTGCGCCATTCCTCATGGCGGCGGACAGTCGAGCTCATTCAGGAAACAAGACGTTAGTTCCTTAGAATTCATCACTTCATTCAATGTTCAATCTTAATTGATTATTATTGAGTTCCGAGAAGTCCAAGACGGGAAACCAAATCGAGCGTCATTCCTCTTGATCGCCAATGGTCGGAATTCGGTTTCTTCCAGGACCACGGCAACTATGCTTTCGCCTACGATATCAAGAACGGCTACGGAGCCGTGAACGGTCGCAAGGAGTCTGGCTCCCACGGGGGAGTCGTAGGATCATACTACATCGGAGATGTCGATGGACGCCACAGGAGCGTGCACTATGTCGCTGATAAGCTCGGATTCCGCGCTCAGATCAAAACCAACGAGCCAGGAACTAAGGTGAATAATGATTCCTCTATTCTGCATATATATATTCCTTGTTCTACATGGGATCGACCAGAACGATTTTTTTCGATTTCGTAATGCTAGCTTTGAACGGAGTTATCGTATTTTACCTCCAAACCCACTCATCTGAGAAAGAAAAATTCCCTCAGACTTCATACGCCGCCGCTGCTGTCTACGACAGTGCCAATGGGAAGGTTGCTCCCTCCGGAAGTCTTCACGTCGCCCCTCATGTTGTCGCTCCCGTGGTCGCTCCTTATGGTTACGGTCACGGTTACCTGGGTTAGGAAACTGATTTTAGGAGCTATGCCTGATTGAGAACTCGAAAATCCCAATCGAGGGAAGGCTTCGATAGCTGTGATTGACTTAATGTGACGTACAGTATCCTGTTCCATGGCCTGTTCTAGTCTGATCGCTATACCCTGGACGGACGTCCGGTCTTTGTCTTGTGAAAGCTGATCTTATACTTCTTATTCCCGCATCTTCTGCGCTCCCGGCCTCCTCTCGAATCTGTTCTGCTCTCCTTATGGTGAAAGGGGGAACCCTCTTGGGAATAAAATACTGAATTCTATCAACAGACTCCTCGGAGTGTTTTTCTGTAGTCATTATCTTCAAGCCGCGCCCAAAGGTTTGAGCGAATCGAATATATTCAGCGAATATCATCGAATGTCTCACTGAGCTAATCAATGAGCAATATGAGTAGCGCGATGGGGAAGTTTGCGGCTCGAGATTCAACGCCATCAAACATAAGTCATGACTCATGAGACATGAGTCATATCCGATGCTAGAAATGGCTCATTGGAAATAATCTCCTGGATCTTCCTTGAGGGAGATGGTTTTCCATCCAACGGGAGAAACTCTGTATCCTTCGGCAAGTCAACGCGTGGCCTTCGTCGTCGTGTTCATCGCACCCAAGTAAGACGAATCCGGGGGCGACATAGGGACTTTGCCCCGCAGCACTCGAATTCACAGTGACGTCTTGTAGTTCCCCGCAAACTTCGTTCCAGGCAAGTTGCTCATGGTCAAGACCGACAGTAGGCAGAGGGTTTTTTTTCTCTGACAGACTGACCGCGCAACAGTTCCGATGCTGTGAGTGTCCTCGTCGGTGTTGCTCTCGTCCGTCGTCGTTGTCGAAGGATGGACGATGTTTGCCGCAAATTGGTCCATCTTGCCGCGGGGCTTCGAGAAGGGGCCAAGAGAATAACAAAGAGCGTTTGTTCGTTCGTACTTTCGGTCAGTCGGTCGGTCGACCGGGCGTACGCGCGAGCGGGTGACAGGGCGGGCGGGGGAACGGTCCGACCCGCTTAGCTGTCTTACGAACTATGGAAAACATACAACAGGCTTGTTTGGTGACAAGAGAACGCGGTAGCTGGCGGCGCCCACAAAAATAACATGAGAAACGCTGAAAAAGGTAAGACGAGACATCCCCCGAGGATAGAAAAAACCCCTTCAAAACAACACAACACCGTATTCTTCACTACTTTCAGTCAGCCAATAAGTCGTTTGGATTTTCCTCGTCTTTGTGTGTCCCGTACAGGACTTCGCCTCATTCTATTCCCCACAACGCCGGCGCCTGGACTTACTAGTACTCTATGACCTCTCCGGACTCCGGACCCAGTATGAGATGAGCTACTCGCCACAGAAAAGGTAAAAGCCCCACATCATGGAGTATTGATAAACGAAGCGAACACACATGGAAATTTCCTCCTGTAAGGCGCAAAAAATTTGGTTCGAGAGGATTGCGGGCCTCGATCGCGGGGCATTCGAAAGGGAGCGGTGAGAGCTCAGAGAGAGAGAGAGCTTGAATTTCGTCCGATAGCATCTGAAATCGGCCCCCGATCGATAGGATGAAGAGTTCACGTGGCCACCGGTGTGGCGAATAGTCTCCGAGTCCCCCACTCTCGCGAGGTTATCGGAATACACTGCGAGGCGCCTGGGCTACGCCGGGGGACGGGCCGAAGATCATCGCAAACAGTAGCAACGTCTGCAAGGTATTGAGGCGAGGTGGTAGAGAAGAAATAGCAGCCACGGGAGCAGCGAGGAGCGACGGAGGCGAATCGTCACGAGACGGTTTGAATACCTCAAGAAAGGAGGGCGCGTTCCAAAGTGTCAAAAACTGAGCGGGGGCGAAAGTCACTCTGAACCACAACTTGGAGCGCTACAATGGGAGCGTCTCGAACGTCAGCAGTCATCCACGCGTACGAATATTGGAAAGCTCATTTTGCTTTTCCCCTCCTTTCTCCCTTCCTGAAGCCTTGCAGCAGCGTGTTGCGGCTGCCGTCATACCCGGGAATACCTCGGGAGTTTTTGAGAACTGTTGAATGAGAGTTGCTTGAATAGATGAAAAGCGGCCACGAGCAGAAGGGTCACGCAAATGCAGCCGGATGTGAAAGTGGATTGAGGAGAAGGTGGATCAGGAATCCAGCGGAAAACATCCTCACAGAATCACCGCCTCCAGGCGTCTGAATTCTCGGAAAGGATGAGAAAGACCGGACATGGAAAATTCACGGCACGAGTGCTCGTTCGCTACCTCAGCGCGTCACCGAAAATCTCCGCTCTTCGAAAATACAGATCGTCGAGAAGTGCCTCCGACGTCAGAGACCAGATTTCCAGAAGACGTCTCTCGTTACGGGCGTTTGTCGAACAACCTCCTTATGACCCCTTATCGCTAGGCAATACTTTTCGGAGAAACGTATATTGAACCGAACTCATCCGGGCACGTGTTGCGTGACGAGAAACCCGGTGGGGATGGCTGGATTTCGATTTTGTGAGCGCACAAGGAAAAATCGGCAAGAGAAGTAAGCGACTTTCTGAAAGTTACGCTGTCATCGGACTTCGAGAGAGGCCGACCGCTAATGTAAGAGAGTGCGAGAAGAAAGCACCGCCGCTTTGCAGATGAATCTCAAAAAAGTTTAGGCTCGTCGCAAAAGAGGAGAACAACGGCCAGAGATGCAGGCCCCTCGATCCAGAGCCCCGCTTCAGAAGGGCAGCGACTGGCGGAGATCCGCATACGGACACAAAGGGACTCGAACGCCGAGGGGGGGGGGGGCGGCGCGGGTTAGAAGGGACAAGAAGTAATATCGATTTTAATTCGATTTTGTCGCGCGTCGACGCCCTGCACCGGCAGCACACGAGAATAGGGACGAACCGGAGCAGACTCCGGCTTGTCGTCGCATCGGCGTTCGAGTCTTCAAGACCGCCTGTTCGCTCGTCTGCCTGCCTGCGTGCTCGCTTGCTTGTCTGCCGGTTCGTCTGCGCGCTCCGCCGGAATCGGGCAAGATGACAAATTGTGGTAATTTAAAGCAAATCATGCAGAAGGAGATGAACGAAAAGCTGCTCCGAACGTCTCGCATCCCACGTTGCGGCGGCACAACACAGAATACGCTATCAATTTTGAGTTAGCGATCTTTTTGGATGGATGGATTGAGTAAGTGAAGTGAGTTTCTTCCTTCTCAGCCTTGCTTTGTTATTTTCGACTTCTCCTGATCGATGTACGAACGAGAGCCTGGACCCACGGATGCATGGATGGATAGACGGATGGAAGGATCGATGCGTATACAGAGTAGTCATGGAAGCTCCTTTCGTTCTCAAGAGGGGTGCTCTTGCCCTCCTGAACTGAAGATACCGAGGATAGGCGCGTTGGGCATGTTACTGGAAATCTCGGCAATTCGATTAGTCATCGTCTAACTGATCGGTTGACCTCACTCGACCACTTTACCGACTCGCGCGTGTCGCCATCCTGACTGTCAGTCCTGGAAATCGTAGTCGAGTTGAGATCGATCCCGAACCCGGCTGACCGAACATATATTTCAGAGAACCCTTGTCAACCGTTCGCAACGGAGCTCGCCGCTGTCCGTCCCACGAGAGAGCTCAGGAAACGTTCCATCGGAGCTCTTGACAGGCACTTTCGAAGAAAACGATCCGGCGCCGAAGTCTCTATGGCGTTTTGCCTGTTTTGTTCTCTTCGATTCCGTCGGGGGCGTTCTGTGGATACGTGCACGAGTATGTCGACGACAACGAGCCGGGGACGGCCGGGTCGGGGGCCGGGAGCCAGTCAAACGAAAAAGAACTCAGCGAGAATCGTCGTCGATTGACGCTGCGTGTATCTCGAGCTCGCGACGACGATGGCGACAACGACGTTATCCTCGATTCTCGTCATTTGCTTCTCCTGCCGACGATTCTCGTCCGGTTTTCTCGAAATGAACGAATCGCTGCATCGCTGCAACTTCGTTAAGGAGCGCTTTCAAAAAGAGTAGAAACGAAGGGATTTGTGTCTGCCCAGCCGATGGTTTGCATTCTTCGTTCGGTTGCTCTCCATGTCCCGTCGCCGCTCGACCCCTTTCCTTCTCGCGGCAATCTAGCATGCAGACCACGTGTTCCACCCACGGGAAGACGCTCGCCTGTTTGCCCGGAGTCGACCGACTGTACGAAGACCATTCGGGGAACAAAAGTTCTCCGAATTCATCACAATACAAGACAAACTTATCAGCGGCGTCGCGACAACGCCATCCCAGCAGGTGAAGCCCTGTCAGTCGAATAAAGAGAGGAGATCTCGGGAAGATTTGCTGTCGCCGAGCTCTCGCGCCCATGTTATTTATATTCGGCACGGCACCAGACTTTCTGTTCACTCGCCCTGAACTCTCATCTTCGAGCTGCGTGGGATGGGAGCAGCGGATCGTGGCCAAACTCGAAGATCATGAACTCCAAATAACGATCTCCATGTGTCTTTCAATCCGAGAAAAACTTCGCGCGTTATGCATCCGGCAATACTTGATGCCATCTATGTACGGAAAACGTCGAGGAGAAGGGTCCGGCTCGCTTCGACTTACTGCCGAGGTCGGCCGGAACATGAGCGGAAGGTACTCTGTGCACGTGTTGTATCGCACGGAGACGCACATCGACCGGTGAAACCTCCAGCGGTTTTCGAGCATCGTGAGATCGAGCAAGGGTGAGAGACTCATCGAGATGTTCATCGAGATTCTGTCGGAAAGCCGCAGATACATCTCGCGCCAGTTCGAGCCGCCAATCCATTCTGGTTCGCATCGAGTGTGTCTCGGAGGGATGTGAAACATGCAGTTCAACTTTGGGGGAACTCGGCTGAGTGAGCATACATATTCATTAGTTTCACACGTTTCGTAGCTCACCGCGACCGACGGCATCTACTTATAGAACGACACTCTCGGTCATCTGAGAGCCGCATCCTCGCTCCTGCGAATGATTGCCCGAATGCTGTCTGTGGAAATTGAGGTTGACCTGTAAGTTAAAGCGAGTCTGGCTTCGAAGGATCGCGAATCAAAGCCGCAGTCCAATGCGTTCGACACAACTGCTCAGGTTTCACCGCAAGGACGTATATGCGTTTCGCCTTTTACTAAACGCATCCGTGCGGAGGAACACCTACAATGAGCCTTCAGGCTATTTTTGCAGCCCCGCTCGGGGCACCCTCTCCCACCCAAAGAAATGGCACCTCTGGCTGAGGACGCATGTCCCGGAGTCGCCGCGAATCCCATGTCGTCGGCGGTCACTATTCGTCTCCTCGGGAGCTGACCACGGGAACACTCAAAAATTTTGTCCCGAA